TTTCGCCCATGTACCCAGCCATGGGTCCGGGGGCGGCTCTGACCTCGCAAGACAGGATCACTTGGTCGGCCGAATCCGTTTTTGTCCATGTGGGATCGTTTGTGTCGGCCGCATCCACCTGTTGCCATGCGGATGCCGAGCTCATCGACATCGCCTTGCTTTGCAGGAGTACTCGCTCACTGCCTACCTGCTCAACTCTAACAACGCTCCCAAACTTGCCCGGTTTACTCTTCTAGTCAAGCAAGACCTCTGTCGCCTGTCAGTCCCCAATCAATATGCGTCTTGCGGCCCCATCAAGACTACTGTTCCCAGGCCTGCGCTATTGAGAATCCATCAGCACAGCGTCCCGTCTGTGGCCGAAACTCACTCCTAATGCTCTCCGGGCGCTGTACTTAGTATGGCCTACTGCGCCTGGGCGTTTTAGGCCATCAAACGCGTGCTTGCGTGTTTGTTCTCTGAGCAGCACATCTTCCCGTCGACCAGAATCCCAGCCACTCCCTCGGCAGCATCTGATTCGACTCCCTTCAGATAGTTCAGCGACTCGAATATACTTACTCTCAGGCACCGTGGCTCCAAGTGAGCCCCTGCGCCAACTGCTGGGTTCGTAGGCGGCCACCCCAGCCCGGGCACGGACGTATCACCAAAGTTCGGATGGATTATCCAGGTATCCGTACCAGTACTTGATGTTGAGCTCGATATCTAACCTTCATGCTTTTTCGCCCCATACATAGCACAACGCGCTATGCCCAAGCAATCCTCAGACGGCATCTGCATGGTTGCCAGCGTGTTCAAAGTTTCCCCTTACAGTCTCGCTCGGGGAGCCCATCAGCCACCGACCATTGTTTGCTGACTGGCAAGCGTTGAAAAACCGGACCATCCAGAGACTGGGTGTGCCCAGGGGAAAGGAGTCAAACACGCCGTCAACGGCTTTTAGCTCTCGCGGCTTTCGGACGATGTCTCACGCGCCGTCCAAAACAGCAATGATGGCCAACCCATGGCGTGATGCTTCACGCTGCTTCCACGCGAGCCAGGCGCGTGGGTCCGACGAGTCCAACCCGATCAATGCTGCACGATAGGATATGTACACAGCAGCCAGTGTCGCTGGGCGTTGTCCCAGACCAACGGGCTTTGGATGGTGGTTATCTTGACCAATGATCTACACCAGGAAGCGTACATAGTGTACAATGCAGCCCCTTGCGGTCTGCACAGAACAACTAATGATCCCGGCGTCCCTGCAGATATGGGTCCGGAGAGGCAGGCCGCGTCCGGCAGTGCCAGCACTCTGTGGCGGCGGAAGAGGGGCAGTCAGGAACAACGAAACAGATACATCTCTGCCTCCGACTCATATACCCAAGAAGGGGTGGGGGGGGGCGTACCTTTGCTGAGTCGGGGAAAGGACCGGTCTGTGAGCATTTCACCACCTACTGCTAGTAGTGGCTGCAGGTGGCCCTCACATTGACCGAGTCTGGCATGTTTAGGGAAGAAGGTGGCGGCGAGCCAAGCACTTCATCCCCGCGCAGAGTCACTCGGAATCTGCCCACAATGCCTCCAGAGCTAGGCACAGGTACTTTTGTCGTCAGTGTGCTTTACCCTCCGAATGTCTTCGATTTGCAGCGCCCACTCGGTCCAAGGCTCTCCGAAAGAGAGAGAGAGAGAGAGAGAGAGAGAAAGACTTGCCAACGGGCCTGCTCTTCGGTGATAGGGGCAGGTACTACAAAATGTGCCAATCGGTGGGGGGGGGGTTGCGTTGCTTCTGCATTGGTTCAAGGCGGACCCGGTATTCTTCCTTTCTGCTTTGACACCCCTGCGACGAGACCGAGGACCTAATCTTTTTTATTTTCCGACCTGTCAACGACGCCGGAGTCGTTTGGCTCGACCCATAGCGCGCGAGCGCTCGCGCGGAGGCTGGAACACGACGGTGTAGTCCGTCAATGCTGACGAAGCTTGAGGGAAGGCTGTGGAGTGCAGTTTTGGGCATAGGATACAACGTGTATATGTCCATCTCAATATGCACCGGGCCGCCACAACTAAGACATTGGAGGTGGGGGTGGGAGGTCTGAGACACTCAACCTGTGCGACGAAAACCTGTTTGCATATTTTGTCTATCTCGTGGCGTCGTGCCCTTCGGCGGCCCGCAGCCAAGAAGTCTGGCTTGCCTTGCACCCACTCCTCCCACCAGCGACGAAGTGGAGTACAAGATGCAGATAGCCTTTGTTTCCGAGCCATTGGTAACCAGGCAAAGAGACGATGTTTCCGAGACATGGGCTGCCTTTGAGGCATCGTGCGCCGCCAGGAGGACATTTCTTCGGACGACATGAGTACGAAGGAATCAACTCCCCCACCCCCCACCCCCCTCCTCCAAAAAGCCTGCCAGCCGCCTGCCTCTCTTCCCAAGAGATGCCTCTGCCCAGTAGTGCGGTTTCAAAAGGCACTCCCAGTACGGATACACGAGATCTTGACAAGCCCCCACTTGCTTTTCTCGACAGTAGAGCGCGACCGTGGGCGGCCAGGAGGCTGGCGGAGGAGATTGTTGTCAGTGACACCAAAAGTGTGACGATCCCATTGCGATCCGGGCATCGGCCTGTGCGCCGATGTGGCGGCAGCCACAAAGAACAGGATACGGCCCCTATCCAAGGCTCATTCTCGGCCATTTCACTGCTCGCCGTTGGCCCTTGGCCTGGGCCTGTGAGGGCAGCCCAGTGATCTTTGTCAGATTAGCTGGATCTTGCCATTGCTGATTCGGAGGACCGTATTGGAGGCTCATAGGGGTTCCCCGGCAGGGTCCATCGCGGTATAGTTACGTTAGCGGCTAAAAGAAGGCGTCCCGGGCATGATTGTGATGGGCACTGCCATCGGGAACGTTTGGGTGGGTTGCATCCATCCCCGTGGCTTGAGCTGGCTTGCACGGCCCAGGGGAGAGGAACTGCGGAGGAATGTCGGGCTCCTCGATGCCTCTCATTCCCTCTTTTCGGCCATGTCACGCAACGATACGCAACCCTCGGGTGTCTTGTTTACCAGTGCACCAGGAAGGACTGCTATGCTCGTGCCACGTTTGCTAGACCCCCACCCCCATGATGAGATGAATGGACGCCTGTTCGGCTATTGAAAGGTGGTGTACCACGGCAACCCAAGCTAGTCCCCGCATCTCCCCGACCTTTCGAATCCGACCTCCTTTTGAGGCCAGTAGATTGATATACCTCTGTCAGTGGACCTAGATCGTGTGTTACGCCCGGGTACGCTGCATACTTGGGCAGGGCCCTCCAGCTTCCTTCGTCCGAGGATTCATTCGTGGCCGGTCCGTATAGCGAGCGACATGGCAAAGTGCAGAAGGGTTAGCAACCACAACCGGTAGCGGCTGACATGGCCCGGCCTTGCTATCTCTTCTACGCCCTGGAAGGTTTCGCGGCCACGAGCGAGGCCGTCTGGCTTGCACTTCACCACTCCTTCGGCAAAGGCTTGAACGAGATGTGGCTGCGACCCGAAACGAGCGTTGGCGAGTCCGAGCTTGATCGAATCTGATACGAAGCAAAGTGTTGCTGACAATGGACGTCGACGTAAGGAGGTGTAACCGTCCGCGGCTGTCATATTCGGGCGTATCGGGTTGGTAAGGTGTGCAACATGTAGCCGGGTCCTGGTCCAGAGTGGCCTAGATCCTGTGGAGATAACGGAGAGGAAGCGAGACGGACACCAGCGGTTCGATTCAACGAGGATAGCCTGTGCCAAACCCGTGGCAAGGCCCCTGCTGAGCGGCGGCTTTGGGTCGGATGAGGTATGGGGGTCATCCTATGGTCTCGGTGGCGTGGGCGATCGCGACGTTACCGGCGAGAAGCTTCGTGGCATGTGGGAGAAAGGGAGGACTAGGTAGGGGGGCTAGAAAGAAGCTGCTGAGGTTCAAGCGTAAGGCCGAAATCAGCTCCGTGTCGGATCGTGAGGAAGATTCAGTGGCATCGGACCGGGAGTGGCTCGCCCAGGCGCGGCTGTTGGACCAAGTGGTGCGTCGACCATGAATGGGAGGGTAGGCATGTGAAAACGTACAGGGACGCGTCGTGGGGAGATGGCCTGCCGCAAGCAGAAACGAGGAAACTATGGGAAGGACATCGACGGTAACGGAAAGTAAAATGTGGGCGGGTGTAAGAGTTTGGTAGCAACGCGAGAAAGAGACGAACGATACGGGACGCTGTGGGTTGGTGGGTGGTCTCTGGGAGCCAGCCGTCTGCCTGCCGTTGGCGGCGAATCACTAAGAGGGTCTCGGCCTCTTCTACATCGCCGGATTCTGATAGCATAGCATGGCCAATTGATTACTTGGACGACACCATGAGTTCATCCCTTTTCCGCAAACAGATGCGCGAGCATGTGGGTGAGGCGGGGCCGAGACGAACTGCGGGAACGTGGCGACAAAGTGCCGCCAGAGAAGTGGAGATACCCGCTCATGTTCTCACGTGGCAGTGCATGCTCGGGGAAAAGGGCGCATCGTGAAGTGGGTTGGGCAGATGCCAGTGTTGCGGAGTTTCGGTCTCGTCATTACGGAGTTGTTCATTGATTGCTACGGGGACCCGTGACCACGGATAGCGGTGGCCGCCGGGCGGGGCCGCGCAGCGTGCGGACTTTTGGGCTTACGCGCGGAGCGGAGTTTGAACCTCCATTCTCTCCGGCCCTCTCCGCCCCGCCCCAAATTCCAGCAATCTCACATTGGGAACCAACCTCCGCCCAACGGCTGGCTGACCAAGCGTGCTTACGGCTTATGGACATGGCCCACGTAAGCTCGGATCGGGCCTTTCTATCACTCTGAGACCATCGACTTTCGACATGGGGATCACAAGACTCTTGTAGCCCTTTTCTCAACCTTACACACACTCTTCTCACGCATTGTCAATCGGGCCCAACTGCGCGTACCGACCTTTCTGCCGTTTGCCCCCTTCTCTGTTGCTGCTGCTCAACAGGGCAACAAAGCCTAGTGCCCAGTACAGTCTCCCCCCAGCAACGGGAGGGCAGACGAGAAAATGCCAGCTGCCGAGGGCCTGAATATGGTGAGCGACGTATTGGACGCCGCGGACAAGTCGCGACAAAAGAGCTGCAACGCCTGCGTACGGAGCAAGAGGCGCTGCGACAAGCGGACCCCACGGTGCACCCGCTGCGCGGAGAAGAACTTCTCGTGCGTGTACCAAAACATGCCGTCCGCCTCCTCCGCCGCCCACGCCGCTAGGAGTGGTACTGGAGCCGAGGCGTGCATGCCCACCGCCAACAGCAACCCCGGCCTGGGCACCTCCTCGTCATCTCCCTCCTCTTTCCCTGCGGCATTTGCTGTCACTGGCCAAAACGACCCCCTCGAGGCCATGGACCTTGGAGACGACGATGACTGTATGCCGTCTTTCAACTTCAACACACTCGACGGCCACCACCTTCAGCATCGACACGAACAACAACAGCAGCAACAGCCGGGATCGTCGTCATACATCGACGGCGGACTCCGGACCTTGGTGGTGACAGAGGACATGAGAGACAGCGGCAACAACAGCACGCCGTTGCCGTCGACGCCGTCGCTGAACCTCGGCATAGACGCCTCGAACACATCCTTCGACTTCAACTCGGTAATGGACTTCATCAACGCGGACCCGGTGACGGGCGGTGAGATGCAGCTCTGGGAGATGCCGTTGACGCCTGTCGTGCAAAAGACCATGACGCCCGAGCTGAACCGGACGAATTCCTCCATTTGGGAGGAAGAGATGCCGGGTATGTGCGTAAGTGACGACTTTACTTATTCTACACTTGCCTTTTCGCGCATATCGAATTCCACTTACCCGCGTATCCCAACTCTTACGTTTCTCTTGTCCTTCCGTTTGCACTCTGCCTCTTCCTTCTACTTCTTCTTCTCTTCCCACACTCTCCTTGATCACCTCCGCCACACCAACCTGACAGACAAGAATGAAAACTCATGGACTGCAGTCAGAGAGCGCATTTAGACCATGGGAGATCCACGAACCCTCTTCGCGGGTCGGCCACCTCGTCGGCGCTGTCAAGAACATGCACGTCACCTTCGCCCAGACAAAGCAGACCCCTTTCCTCCACCGTCACCTCTACCGCGGCACACGCGAGACGCCACGGCCCCTATTGGCCGCCTACACTGCGATCTCGGCATACGTGGGGCGCACCGAGGCCAACAAGGACTGGGCCATCCGTGCCCTGTGTGAGGGCACGAACGAGGTCCTCAAAGGGTCTCTGGGCAAGGCGTCGCACCTGACGGGGCATGAGAAACTCGCCAGGACGCAGGCACTGTGGCTGCTGCAGACAATTAGGTGCTTCGATGGCGACATATATTTGAGGGCGCAGGCGGAGCAAGACATGGCCGTCCTACAGGCGTGGTTGAAGGATCTTGAAGTCATGAGGGACAACTTTGACGAGGTCCACTTGCTGGATGAGGGAGCGGTGAGAGGGAGGGCGCCACGGTCCTGGGAGGTATGGTTGTTTAACGAGTGTGTGAGGAGGATGGTTTTTATGGGATACATGTTCATAAGCCTTTTTGAGATGCTCAAGGCTTCTGATGATCAAGGTATGTCGGCCCTTGCCCTCTTCTCTGTCTTGATTTCATCCTCTCCATATTCAACGACGGCGACCTATGGTATAACTGACATCTAGGACAGGCCCGGACCCTACGCGCTGGCTGTTGCCCCACCGATGGACCTTCTCTAGGCACCTCTGGGAAGCCGACTCGTCGCCTGCCTTCTACTCGGCGTGGCGCGAGAAGCCGGTGTTTCTTGTCAATAGCTTCTTCTTGCAGCGGGTCGCCAAGATGGCGCGGCCAGCGGATGTGGATGACTTTGCGAGGTTGTTCCTCACCATGTAGGTTTTGTTACCGTGTCTGTTCTTGGTGGCTACTCGTCGCTCTTCGTAGACGGATTGCTAACAGTGTTGGGATAACAGGAATCTTGGCGTTGAAGAAACGAAGCATTTCATGCTTGAAGTATGAGATGGATACCGATAAGGAGTAATGATGATGAACAACTGGCCTATGGGTTTTTATTTTATTTTATTTCTTTTTTCCCTCCCTTTCACGGAATTATAGATGAGGTTTAGGATGAAGCGCCCGGATCTGTTTTTTGTCAACTGTCTAGGAATTAGTTGGGCCATCAGGTTGGCGCCATAGCTGGCTCCAACTCAGTCAACCTATCGAGTACTGCCTCTGGGACAACCAGGTGGCAGTAAATCGGCCAGTCTTTGAGAAGCAAAGGGGGGAGGGAGCTATGTGTGTTCAATACCTGGTATAAAATGCGTCAACGAACGCCGGAAGAGGAGGATGTTGGGCCGTATGATATATTATTGCGTCCAGCTTATACGGGACCTTTACAGCCCGTCTGGGACTCATCTTCAGCGTATGTACTTTGACGATCGGAAATGATCATTTTTGAAGGAATCAAGAGAAAACAAAGCGCACGACTTTCGACGGCATACAACCTTTGTCAGAAGATCGACATCGCGCAGTCGATATACCAGCCTCGATTACTTAGCTGAGAGAGGGATCTACTGTGAACAGCCTCTTTCATCCTGGCGGCATGTGCATTTAGAAATCCGACATTTGGATATTGAACATACAATATTTCGTAGTGATCATAGAATGATTGATCGTTGCATGACGCATAGCACGTGGATTAGAAGTCAAATCGCATCTTCTCCTTCCCTGGAAGCATTGGTCGTTTGTTGAACGACAATAGACTCGGGAATCCGTTACTTTCCTTCCATGTCCCGAGCAAAACCCGTGTCCCCAAGCATATCCCTGGGCCTTTTGTGTTTTGTTATGCTTCTCACGAGATATCTAGCTTAAGGCTGGTGTTGCAAGGAAGTCTTCGGTGTGATGTGAGTAGATAAGTAAGAATACCAAAGGCGACGTTTGCTAGAGAACTGGTCATGCCTAGAGACATTAGAATGCCGGCATAGCGAAATGCTCAAAGAGCTGTCTGCATTTTGAGTTGAATATGAATATAGAGGAACGATGTAGATTATTGAGATTTTCAGGAGGTCTGACCAATGTTCTCATGCTATTCACTTTCTAAGAGAAATGGGTTGGATGAACCAAGTCAGTTTCGCGTTCCACGGGTAGATCTGGAATTATTAGTTTGAAAATTTCAGAGCTTTCCTGGGTGGGCGAAGGGAAACAGGGAACTTACCTGCCCATAGCTCTTGCTTGGTTCTGGGCGAGCATCGAGACGAGCTTTTGCGTATGTCAAGCATTCTTACATATTTTGCTTTCCACAATGCAACCCGGACACATCAGATTTATCTTTCCACTGGCAACACTATACCATGCATCGCCGCTCAGTCGGCAAGGCCTGTTTGCATCCCTCATTTCCAAGCTCTGCTGCCTCAGGCTTTGCTACAGTCACAACGCCCGCTGGCTTCGTTTCCCGTGATATGAAGAGATGCCATGCTCCCACACGATTTGAGAGCCACCTCATCAACTGGTAGCCCGGTCTGCTGCGACCGCTTCACCCTTCCCCCCCGTTCCTGGAGTCAACACGCTTCCTCTAGTATGGTGCTGCTGAGACCACAGAGAATGCTATCGTATCGCTCAGTATCTAGAAAATGAAGTAGTTCGCTGTGAATCATCATTAGCGGTCAGGTGTGAACCACAACGACGGAGGGAAAACGCAGCATATTCACCTGTCCACAGGAGAAATGGTGCTGGGTATAAAAGCAAAGAAGGTACAGAGAGCTTCGTCATCTTCTTCATTGAAACAACGAAGCAGCCAGAGCGCACCAAAGAAAGCTCTTAGCCCATCCCGTCTCATTCGTCGAGCAAAAGCGAGAACATGCCGGACAAGAGAACCCCCATATACTACCACGACCCCACAAACCCTCCCTGGCAGGACCCCAGCCGCGGAAAAGGGACCCTGAGCCACGGGGGAAATGGCGGGGAAAAGGCACACGGCAGCGGCAGCGGTAGTTTCCGTGGCTACGGAGGGGGCAATAGTGGCAGCGGTGGCGGCCAACAGAACAGCAGCGGCAAAAGTGGGAAGAGTTAGTTGCTGGGTTTAATTCAATCAGTGCAGAAGAAGAGTTGGGGAAGCCATAGATTCCTAGGAAAGTAAAAGCCACCCGTCGGTTGTCTATTTAGTTGTGAAGACTCAGGAGGCTTCACTGTTCTGTACTCAGATATGTTCTTATTGTTAAGAGCATCTTGAAGCGGTGGTCTCTGTTACCTGTAGCTCACTGGCTACAGCCAAGTCAGAATAGGGAGGCAACGAGACCTCCTGGTCACCTAGCCCCCCCTATCCCCTCCGGTGTGAGAACTTGAGAAAGAACTCCAAATAGAAGATTCAAGCATGATTACAAAACGGACCGGTGTCAGCCCTTCCCAACACGATCCATAGCCCAATATCAAAGCATAAAAGAAACCCCCAAAGCTCCAACGTGTACATTGAGAGCCAACATGTATGTCAGCAGGCCAGAATGGCGCCGCCAACGCCCAGACTAAATCGTGCTGCCGCCGTCAGCCCCGTGCCCTCCGAGGGCGGGCACCGTTTGAACCCAAGAAGGCGGCGGGCCGTCTAGCCTGCCGCGCTTACGGCTGAAATTCGCGCCGAACCGGGTTCCGCCACCCGCATCGCCGGGCGCTCCTCGTGCGCCGCCGTCGTTTCTCGATCCTTGCCCAGGTTATCCACCGGAACCATTAAGGGGGGTATGATTCTCTGCCGCCGGTCAAGAGAAAGAAAGCACCAGGAGCGCGGAGCCCTGACGTGTTCCGTGGGGGCTGTTTTCACTGCTCGCCCGTAGCCGACGTGTTCATGCCAGTGCGCCGGAGTAGGTAGAGCGGCCGGCGCAAGGGCTTCCGGCGATTATGCGAGGGCGAAAGCGCCCGGGATAATGTTTAACAAAAGATGGAAAACTCTATATTGTCTTCAGCCCCGAGATATTTACTCATGGGCACACGCTCCTAAGGCGTCTCGCTTTATAGACAGTCGACGTCAACTCGGGAAGAGAAGCCTCTCTCTGTCCCGCAACCAAAACTCGATCCAATTTGTACGCCTGAACTCCCGTCTCTGATAGTCCTTTGAATTTGAGATCAAACCAATTTCGGCCCAGTTTGGCCTACTCCGATGCCTTCGAGTGCCCCCCCCAAGCCGACCTTTCCGTATTGTGGGAAGAAAAACAGGAATTGTAAGAAAAGAAAAAAAAGCCCAGCGGCCCCTGTATACAGAAACCCCCTAGAGTCCATACCTGGTCTATTTCTGGTTCTGTTTTCAGCGAATAAAGCATGCCCTTTGGGTGCCGTTGGCCGAATGACGTGAAGAGTTGGGAGGCAACGAATGACAAAAAAAATCGAACGTGGCCCCTAGAGCTTCATTGTCTATAAATGGGAGTGCCGTGACAATGGTTTCGTTGGGTATACGCGGCTACCTTGGCTTTATTTGCAATGCTATGCTGGCGCGGTGTAGATTGCCAATAGAGAGCAGGAGTGGTGTGCGTTTTCGGCGTCGTAGGTGTTGAGTTAGGTTATGGGTATAGTTGCGGTTTGGCGAGCGTGGCATCGGCCGGGCATGGTTCGGCGGTTGCATCGGATCGCGGCGGAGCCGGAAGGCGGGCGTATAGATCCCAGGCACTGGGAACAATGTTCGGGTGCGAAGCGACCGAGGCAATCATTGCAAAAGGTCCTTGACGTTTTCCTTGACGTTTAACGCCCATTTCAGCCTCGCTAACGTCGACCTTGTCTCTTCGAGTAGCCTTTCTTGCTCGGCGTCCCTCGCGGCCGCACCCGCTTTGATGTCCTTGAGCAGGAACTCCTGGTGCGCCTTATAAGCCTCAAAATTCTTCTCGATCTCGTCTTTCTGCCGCCGAAGCTCTTTGATGTTGCCGTCCTGCTGGTCGCACAGGTCCCGCAGCGCGGCGATCTTTTCGTCGTCGCGGCGGCGCTCCTCGACGAGCCCGGCAATCTCGGCCCGCAGCTTCAGGTGCGCGCGCTTCACCTCGTCGCCCTGGTCCTTCCAGTGAGAACTGATGGCGTTGTAGCGGCCCTCCATGAGAGCGGCGTACGCATTTGCATCTTCAACCTGCTTGGTGGTGGTAGCACGCATCTTCTCCATCTCATCGCGCCACGAGCGCTCTCGCTCCTGGGCGTCGGCGGTGCGTTTCTTCTCGAGCTCAACATTGGCGTTGAGAGTCTCGACCTGGCGCTCTTTGCGGCTGAGGAGGGTCTTGGTGACGCTCGCCTCGAGAAGGCGGCTCTCGTAGTCGCTGATGAGGCGCTCCATCTTGTCCTCGACAAGCTTGGCCGCCTGCTTGGCCTCCTCGGCGCGTAACCGCTCAATCTGAATGTCGCGCTTGAGGGACTCGTTGTCGCTGACGAGCTTGTTGATGACCCGTCCCGTCTTGCCTAGCCCCGCCTTGCCGATGGTCGAGTCCCATCCCGAACCCTGGGTGTCGGGCGTCCCGCCGACGACGTTCTCGTCGTCGTCTGCAATGGGCGGCGTTTCCTCACGTACCTTCATGGCGGTGGAGTCACCGCCGTTCCAGTCGTGTTTTAACTTGACGCCGGGCGTCCTAGTTTGGTGATTCGATGACATGCTGGCGGCGCTGACGTTACTGTTTACGGAGCTTGAGAAGGCGGAATTGTGAGAGTGGGTGTCGGAGCTTGTGTCGCTCGCGGCTTCGAAGCTGGATACTGTTCGGATGGTCTGAACCATCTTAGGGGAGCCTCCGAGAGACGAGGAAGGGCTGCTCGTCGTCGACTGGCGTTTCCCGTCGAGGCGAGTGTTTACGGTGCTCTTGCGGCCGGTGCGAAGGGCGATTATGGCGGGTGGTGCGAGGGTACGATTGGTCGAGTAACCACCTGACGAGGGCGCTGTCGCTTGGGAGGAGGCTTTGGCGGGGAGTCGTTGTTTGTCCTGTTTGTTGAGTTTTTGCAGTCGATTAGGCATGTCTCTGTTTCATCTCCTCTGCAGGATGCTCGGCAGTATATGATGTATTTGGCCTCTCGTCCAGATAGGCTAGTCGGCACGTCGGTAGGTCGTCGTGGTACGGCTAAGGCAGAGTTCGATTAGTGTTTTAGTGGTGGTGGTGGCGGCGGCGGCGGCGGTGGTGGGAGCAGCAAAAGAGAACTGGAGGGGGCGCTTTCGTCTTGGGAATCGGGGGATGCTTGTGTCTTCCCCGGCGTGATCAGATGCGGCTGGCTCGTCTGAGGCTGAGGCGGGATGCGGCTTAGGTGGGTTTTGGGGAAAAGCGTGAGGAAGAGGGGGTTAGAATGGGCGGATGTCCCGGCCCAGGTGTAGCGTAAGGTTGGAAATCCCGGCACGCAATGCAACAAAAAGGGTAGGGAATCCGGAATCCCTCTGCCGTGTTGGTAAGGTACGCAATGGGGGGAAGTAAGGGGAGAGAAACAAGTAGGTCCGGTCAACGCGAAAGTACAGGGTCGTGCCGAACTACGTCAGTTATGAGCCGTCAATCGTCTTCATCCTATTCTCCATCTAACGAGAGATGGGGGAATAAAGGAGGGTCGAGCGATGAAGGGGAAGGCCTAGCTACATAAACCAGGAAAGGCGGCCGAGACAGGCATAATGTAGTAGTAGATCAGAACGCGCTCCAGTCCTTGTCTGGGGCCGGTCAAAGTGGCTGTTTTTTTCCGCCTGCGGCTCATCCACCCCAGGTTTTTCCCTCTCTCTCATTTGCTGTGGACCGACTGATTGCATGGGACGGACTGTTCTCAGTCAGATGCCTGGGTCGGCCGGAATTCGGTTGCTTTCCCACGTCTGGTCTGCGCCCAGCCCGGTACCACAGGTACAGCAAGGCAACATCAACATCAACATCAATACCAACACCATTGGGCAAACAAACCGCAGTGCTGCATCGAGGCCGCATCGCGAATGCTACAGCGGACAAATAGCGGCACGGCGGGACGGGGGTTGCGGCAGACAGAGCAGCAGCCTTGGCTGACCACTCCCCCCCACACTCAAAAAGTTGGAGGCCACCCTCCCGTCCACGCTGTTCCCCAGCAACGAAGATCTCCCATCTCCCTCCCGGTGCTGTGCCATAACACAGCTACCCTACATAAGACAGACGCGTTGGGCGAGGCGTAGCAAGGCCATGAATGGGGAAAGGGACGCGGAAATAGGTAAGCTGACATTTTCGCGAAACGAATGCGCATAATATCGAATTTCCTCCCTGTTTGAAGTGCATATACCTACCTACCCGCCCCGCCCCTCTTTCTTCGAGATAAGTATAGCGCCCCAACTATTAATGTGTGCTGCTGCACAACCACAGAAAGCCCTTTCTATTCCATCATCATCACTCATCAAAACCGCCTCGCATAACTCGGATCCTTGCCCCTTTCTCTACTTAATCAAAGGAAATCACAGAATAAAAAGGTTATACAAAGTATTCAGCAACCCAGCCTATCCTCCCGTCCCATTTAACTCGTCCCAAGTGCTAAGCTCTTCTCACTACCTGCGACCCCCTGGCGCAGATCCAATCTCAAATTCTTTTCCTCTTTCACCTCACCATCCTATACCCCCTTTGTCTCACTATAAGTATAACCCGGCAAGCGGGGCCATCACGTCGGTGACAACCCAGCTGAACAACCACAATATACCGTAAGATATAACCAAGAGTTTTGCACCGATTGGCATCTGGAGAAGGAGCCTATGCCCTAAAATAAGTCCCGTCCCGATAGCTCAAAGCGTTGTTCCAATCAGCCACACAGCGACGTGAGGGTTGCCACAAAGGGTTTTCAAAGCAACAGACCCGCATAAACAACTGTGTCCAATTTTCATTCTGAAAACACCCACGCGTGCTACAACAAACCGAAACAAAAAAGGGAACATGAGGAAGGAATGAAGGAGAAAAGAAAAACAGAAAAAAAGAAAGAAAAAGTAAGACAAAAACCACCTTAAAAACCCGTCTATTCTCGGAATCCCATGTCAAAGGCCGCCCCACCGCATCGCCGCCCATCTGTCAGAAAAGGGGGAGAGTGGGGGAGTTGGGAATCTCTAGACTTTCCGTCTGCATCAATCTGCGCCACCAGAAGACCTGAACCAGGATGTCTTCGAGCACCTTCAATCGTTTGTAGAGCTCGGGGCAGCTTTGCCCTGGCCTAGATTTGTACAGTTCTATCCCCCATCAGCCCGGAACACGTCCCTTTCGGTCCATCACCAGGTGCCTTCCCGCCCGCCGCATAAACCTGCCGAAGCTTTGTATGTCCTCCAGTTGGATATCCGTCAACGTCCAGTATCCTCGGCGCCCAGACCAAAACTAGCCCCGGGGACCGAGAGACTCACGCGGTCGCCGGTTGGCAAGGCCCGTGACATACCGTGCCAAGACTCCAGCCAAAGAGAAGAAGAAAAACAAAGAACAAAACAGTACTCACACAGGCAAGACGCCGGATGATCGAGGCCACCACCGAAGACACAAAACGCCAGACCACCTCTCCGCCGGAACCCCGTTCGTGTATGGGTTCTGAGCATATCCAACCGTTGCCGCGTTGCAATAATGGTTGACTTGAAAAAAAAAAAAAGAGCAAAAGAGCAGGACATGAACGATGGCATAGGAAGAGACCCCAAAAAAGGGTTTGCGTACATTTGAAACGCCGCCGCTTCCCCTAAACTTCATTTTACTGACTTTTGTTTGCCAGGCCTGTTTCCCAACCAGGCCGTCGCACCCTTAAGTTGTATGTATACATGCCGGTCCATCCTTTGCACTTTCCACGGTCTGAACGGGGAAGCTTCTGCCATCCACTCTGCTCTTTCCTCCCAGTTCGCCTTCTTCCGTGGCCTGCCCAGATGCTGTCTGTCGATGCTTGTGATTGTCTCATCATTCCAACTCCAGTTTGTTAGGGTATACTAGTCGGACTCAGTGACCATCGAAACTCTGCGGACCCCGTCGCCTCCAAAGGAGATGCTGTGGCGTGGCCCTCCCATCCCACGTGTTAACAATACTTTTCTCGGTCATCAAATATGCGACACTCGGCGAATGCGTTGTGCTCGTCCGTGTTACGTTGTCCAGTAGCCGCATATCGGCGACTGATGCAACGGCCTCAATCACGCTGAGATCGCCGTCGCGTTGTTCGCCGCGGGGTTACCTCCGCCCTCCGCTGCTGCTTTGGCCGATTCCAACCATGCCGGTCGGAATTTGACCAAGTACTTGGCCGCCAGAGGTCGCGCGTCCTCGTCTACAACGATCAGTTAGCATGGGCTCATAAAATACTCGGGCGACGAGAAACCTACATTCTGTCCAGATGTCCTGGACCGTGTCCAAAGCAAGCTCCTTGGCCGGCGGTCGCATCATGACCAGGTATAACAAACTCGTCAGAGCCAGCGGCACCACCAGCGGATCGCGACACATGAGCTTGACGCGCGAGAGGATGGCAGGACTGAGCTCAGGGACCTCGCCTAAGAACCGGGTGAGGACCTTATCCTGGGCATTGAGGTATTGAGAGAAGCCGTCGATCAGCTTGAGCGCCCATTTTTCGTAGTGAAGGGGGCGGTTTCCCTCTTGCTTCTTCTGCAGCTGATCGTTGTACCACTCTTCGTGTAGCCAGGTAATAGCAACATCAATACGCCGTCGAAAGTCCTCGAGTACGTAGGTATACAGAGAGTCTCTTATGCTGTTGCCGAGAGACGGCCTTGGCACAGAACTGCTGGCCTCATCCTTGGGGCTGAACTCTTCCAAGCCGGCCGATGAGCGGCTGGCCAGACGTGTGATGATGGCAATCCAGGATTCCCGGTCGTTAGTACTAGCCGCTAACCGGTTGACACCGGACTTGGACTTCTTGCCAGGGTCTTCCAGAGTTTTCACAAACTGGAACAGCGACATTACAGAGCCTTGACCCGCGCTTAGCGCCAGTTCTGGCGTAAGTGCAGGGGGGGGCGGCAACTTAAATGTTCTCAGACCAAGATCGGTATCGTCTGCTCTGATCAAGGAATCTCCATCAAGCTTGTTGAGAATCTGCTCATTGTCCTCAGCGGCAGCGAAATCGGGCTCGTAATCATCATCCTCGTCGACGCCTAGAGGAGCAGTCTCGGGGTTGATTTGTGGTGGGGGCTGTGCGGCCAACGTGTTGAGCCGTCCCCGAATGCCCTGCGAAACGTCAGAGTAAACTCTTGCCAGTGTTATTCAGAGACCTACCTCGACGGCTTTCGCGAGAAGTTGCGCGTCTGTACGAATGAGGGTGTTGATGCTGATTCTTGCAGCCATGGCTGCCGGGAGTGTGCCCACGTCGAAGGCCTTCAGTCCTTCGCTCCCAGTGAGAGTAAAGACATCGCCCAAGCTGTGAGGACCTGGAGGTAAAGGTGTGACTTGAATCTGCGGCATCGTTGCCACCTGGGGCGCAACCCGCTGGCGCTTGGCATCCATCCCCGCGTGCTGTTGGGCTTCAAAGGCGCGCTTTCGTCCGGACTCGTCGAAGATTTCGTGTCTCATACGCATCATTCTCTCCACATGCTGCTGGATCCGAGGCCCCATTGGGTTGTGAGGGTCGCTGCGTTACGAGGTTAGCAGGGTAGGTGTAAAACATGGAGAGGCTCTGGGTTGTACCGTTTGGACAAATGAATCAAGAGCATACGAGTAGTCTTCTCCATGGACTTGACTATCACGCGGGTTCTAGGGGTCATGGGCGAGTTCGCAAGCTTCATGGGGTTGAAGTTGAGTACGGCATTCAGGATCCTGTTGGCCGTACCCGGCCGACTGCGGATCAAAATGGACAGGCAGTTCAAAGTAGCATCAACGAGAAGAACATCACTGTCACCAGAGTGCTGTGGTTAGCTGTGATCCAACAGGCCCTCCATCGCAGTCCTTACCTGCTGTTCTCCTGCAACACGCTCAGCATCCTGTCCAACAATCCAGCTCCTTCGGCGTCGAGAGTCCTAGCATCCAACGTCTGATGATTTGGTGGAATCTTGTCTAGTGAGATGTCCAGGGAGTCACCACGCTGTGCAAGATGTCAGTAAGCCCCCGAAAAGGAAAACGTCCAAAGCTCGGCCTACTCTTGGTTCGTTGGGGTTAGCCACCGATTGCGCGAGGACGACTCGTTGCGCAAACTTGATGCAGCATATCCGCACCGTTGACTCGGCTTCATCCCATATCTGAAGAATGCGCGTCTTTATCGCGACCATTCGTTCCCACGTGAGGGTATCGTACGAGTTGTTAATGCTATCAATCTAGTCAGCCTCCCGGCCTACGCGGCCAGAGCTCTCGATCGGAAGCAGGGTATGCACACGTACATCCATCGCACCGCAAATGGATAGATGCTGGCGGCCGTCTGAATGGCGCTGCGCAGGACGTGGGGGTCCTCGTTCGGGGTTTCGACCATGGTTTGCAGTGTGTCCAGCACGAAGAGCTGCATCGTCTCCTTTTCGCTCCCGGGCAGCGCCGGCGTCGAGAAGGCCTCGGCCAGGAAGTCGGCGCCCCATCTCCGAAGTTCGACACCCGCCGTAGGCCCGACGATGGGAAGGATGCTCTTGACGACGGTCGGGTAATACTTGACGTCGCCTAAGACGAGCTTCCTTGCATCATTGAGCTGGCGAATCTGGTCGCTCACAGATGCCTGCGGGGACGGAGCCGCCATGATCGCGGGCGAGCTCGAGGCACAAAGACGCTAAGAGTATGGGTGTGTCTGCAGAGAGAGGAACAATATGTCAAAGTTGGCTTGTGTGCGGCAGTCGCAGTTGGACGTTGGCAAGGCGAAAGGAAAAACTGGGGATCACGATGGCGATAGCTGTCGCGACTTGTCGAAATATGGAGAGCTCAGGCTTTTCCAGATCACCATCCTCCAGCGCGCAGAAAACAAGCAAGTCGCAATCGGGTAGGGTCGTATGATTCGTCGGCGTGAATGATGGGGAGAAATGGAAAAGACGATGGGGCGACTCTAGGGTGATTGATGGCTGCTACCTGTCGATGCAATGGCCTCGTTTTCCCAGCTCTAAGAGTTTGACGAGTTTCCTGCCGTGTACTTTGCAAGGAGGCAGCAAGCAAGCAACCTTGGCCGATGTCGAGTGACTGCGTGACGGGCTCCAGCGACGCGGGTAAACTACCTATGACGGGGCGTGTCGACCACCACTGCTGGCTGTTTTCGGTTAGCGCACCGGCTGCCCTAGAGCCTCAGCTGTTGGTGTTTGGCCGCCGCTCTAAGAAGAGAAGTTGCCTTTGTATATCCGTACCACCCAGAGGAAGATGGCAGGAGTAGGGAAGCAAAGTAGATGGTTATTCTTGTGGTATAATAATCATGGGTTTCTCTCTCATGAGCCAGAAGAGAAGTCGCTTGCATATGTACCTAGATAGGTAGGTAGGTGGTAGGTAGGGGAACAATGGAATTGAGGATTTTAGAGCCTGTTGCTGCAGTGCGTCTACGTCTACTCTGAGCCCAGTTGGTCAGAGAGGTGCTGCAGTTTGCGACCACCACCACACAAAAAAGACACGCCCGTGAGGCTAGACCCTTGTCAATGCTTATCGAACTAGTCTACGTCACTATCGTTTTTACCGTACTTTTCCCGCCTTATCGATAATGAAATGGCGTGAAGGGAATGGCTCGGCCTGAGTTTCCTCTGATTCGATCCCCGGCCCTTTGCGACAGGCTGAGGATTGAATATTCAAGCTCTTAAATCTCCACGGCGCAACACCAAACTGCCCCCAAGGGCCCAAAACGACGAACCCCTCCCCTCCGCCCCCAATCGATTTCCCACAGTACATCCGCCCAGATATAGTCCTTTCGTGGGGCTCCTCAGCATCCAGTCGCAATGGCCATGTACGCCACCCCGTTCCCTCCTGTCTGCGCCGGATGAGTGGCCTGACAAGTAGAGAATTACAGCCCCCAGAAGTCCTCGTACTACGACCGGAACCTCCGCCAGGGTCCCGCACTGATTCGAGCACGCAAGCCTTACCTCGCAAAGAACCTCGCTGTCGGTGCTGGGCTCTGGTGCTTCGTCGGCGCAGTGTGTACGTGAGCGGCCACCCCGCATGCTCACCCGATGCGATGCTCGAAAAACAATGTTGGACTGACCAGCATAACCACAGACTGGTACACGATCAAGGCGGTCGGCCAGGACGAATTCGAAGACGTCAAGGTCCCCGATGCCCCGAGGCAACAGGCCAAGTCTAACTAGACAGGAGGAATCGAGAGGATGAAAGCAGTCGTGTGAACAACCCATCGCAGGAGAGAGCTCCCAACGACGCAGATGCTGGTATAACTGGGCATGTGAATGGGCGTTTGCATTGTGTAATATATACCAGCGAGTACCAACTTGCTTCCTACGCCGTTTACATCAATGTAAAATACCAAATCCTCAATCAGCAACTCTGTACATGTCTCATTATAGGGTTGGACCTGACCATCCCAATGCAGAAGTAGCTTCCTACACCACTCCGAACCCCAGCTTTTGATAAATCAAGGACCCATCTCGACTCCACGCGAGCCCAGAAAGCAAATTCCGTCGTGGTGTCACGTCTGTACGCCAGTATAGATAGCTAGTAATAAGGAGGAAAAAAAAGGGGGTGGGGGTCGCCCTAGCCGTCGTGGGGTATCATAACAGTTTACTAAGCCTCGAAAACGCCGTTGGCCGTCCGGTGATGCCGCTCTAACTTGCCATCGCCGACACCGGTTCCTGTTTAGGAGCCGTGTCCTTCGCAGCTTTCGAAGTGCGGCTCCCCGCACGCTTCATCTGAGCGCTCTGGGTCAGAACATTGGCTGTTCGCACCATCTCGGGAGACGCTGAAGTAAACCGATTCATGTGTGGCGAAGCATGCGCGGCGGCATGGCCATTTGTGATGATTGGCATCGAATGAGCGTGAGACGGGCCTGCTCCTGTTTTACTTGCTTGCGCTGCTTGGGGTTTTGCGCCAGCAACAGGTGCTACTGGCCCTGTGGTGATCTTGTGCGCAATGTGGTTCGGGTTGGCCCAAGGAGTGTCTTTGATGAACTGCTCACCAGCAGGTCCAAGATTTCCCCCGAAGGCAACCGCCTGATAATCCTCAATTGGCTGCATGATTGATCGCTGACGTGGCTTTGAATTGCGCTGTGCACGGTCAACGATTGTATAAATGCAAGAGCCCGGCTAGCGACTAACCTTCATGGCCTCCAGATCATCTTCAATCTCCGACCCATTTGCGCCTCGCATGGGCGGCACTGCCGGGAATCCCTCGTGCTTGGCAAGCCCAGCCAAGAAGGAAACTTCCGAATTGTACGCGACAGCGTTCCTCGTGCGCTGTGTCGGGTTGGTAGGAAACAGAAGCCCGTAGTCCGGAACACTGTGTGCGCTGCGTCTGGCATTCTGCGTCTCGTACCATTCCTTGTTGAGGTGTTCGAGCATCTTGGAGCGTGATTCTCGAGCTCCCTGGTAAAATTGATTCCAGATCTGAGCCCGGCGCGCCACAGCGAGTCGCTCCAAGGCTTCGACCGATAGCTCATACTCTTTTTCAATGTTGCGGAGCTTCTTTTCTAGCCGTTCGTCCAAACATTGCTTCATGTTTAGATATTCGGGGTGGCTTGGCGGCTCGGCTTGCAGGGACTGTTCTTCTTGCTCGAGGCGCTCTAGTCGATCCTTGTATAATCTGTGTAGTATTCATCAGCATCCGTTCAGTGGCATATGCTTAGTGTAGAAGACGTACCGTTCACGGAAGACCACAAACTTCTCCTCGAGATCAGTCCACTCCTCGACTGCTGCACGCTTTCTTTCCACTGTCGCAATAATGTCAGTTAAGCAATAAAGGGTCAATTGAGAGGCTTCTTACTCTCTTCATCATTCTTTGACGCTTCCGCGTCCTCGTCGCCCTCTTGCTCAGCATGGTCGTCAGCGTGGGGTCCCGAGTCTTCGTCATTGCGACCATCATCCCGACCGTCACCATCGAGACCCTCGTGCTCGTTGGTCTCTGGGGCGTGACCCTTCCGCCTGCTGCCGTTGCGGGTTATCTTTTTCGTTATTTGTAAATCCTTGACCGGGCTGTGACCGTCTCGCAAGGGACCACGCTTGATGGGCGCAAGTTCTGGAGCATTGTCGTCGGTCGCAGAGTGGTCGTCAGTGTGGGAAGCTGTGGAGGGGACCTCGTCCTCTTGCATCTCCACGTCATTCTTGCGCTGGTCCTGCTCGTGGGGCACAACCGACCCAGTGCGCTTCCTGGCAGGCTGGCCTGGCTCAGACGACTCCGCGACCGGCGATCGCTTTCTCTTTTTCGTATCAATATTCTCAGTATCATCCTCGGTAGATGGCAGCGTGGTGGACTTCTTGGGCTTGCTGGGTGAGGCTTCGTCGGCGTGGCTTGAGATCATCGACACGTCGTCGCGGTCGGAAAGGCTCTCGTCGTCGCCATCGTCAGTGGCGTCGACGGAAAATGTTTTTTGGAGCTTGCTTGGTGTGCGATCGAAGACCTGCCCGTCGTTGAACTGATTGACAACCACGTCCTTGTGGCGCTGAGCCTGCGGGGTGTCGAAAAGACGCTCAGTCTCCGCCTCAGTGTCGTTCGCCTCGGACAGGTTGCTGTCAGAGTCGAGCGCTTCGTCGGGGTCGTCCTGAGGAAGGTCCAGCTGCATGCCGTCTAGCGAGTCAACCTCGCCGTCCTTGTCTTCGACGTCGCTCAGAGGGCTGGAGATGTTGCTGTCGTGATCAAGCGTCGCCTGCCCCGGAGAGAGGGCAGGCGGCGCTGACGCCGTAGCTGCCATTTGGGAAAATAGGTTGAAGCTGTTCAGTGGAAGTTCAAATTGGGTGGTCTGGAGGAGATGTGCGTCGTGAAGAGGTGCAATTCGGGTAGACTAGTCTTCGTGGTAACGGAGATGGGCCGTGGAGGAACGAGCAGCAACGACAGCGTCCGGTCGGGGAAGCGGGCTGGGTGCTGTGGGCAGGGAAGCAAATGTCTCGCAAACTGAAGTGACAAAAGAGGGTTGTTCGAGAGCAGCATTAACGCGTGGTCCCGAAAAGCGGACGTGGGCGGGCGCAGGTAGTGTGGTGTTGTGGTGGGTTTTCGGAGAGGGAAGAGAAGCGTTAGTGACCTGCCGCTCCGTGGAGAGAGAGATGCGCTCACCTGCTCTGCTCCCTCTCTGTCGCCTACACCCCCCCAGCCCGGTGCGGAACCAGGATCGATCGGCAGAAAGTCTTCGCCCTGACAGCGAAAGCGGTGAGAGCTGGCACAACAGTGGGCACGGGGCACTTATTGACGGTAAATAGCGGTCTTCTGAGGTTTTGCACCAATTGACGGTTGTTCCGCCTCTTATCGGTGCCGCCTCGACCCTCCGATATTTCTTATCGGTTTGCGCGCAGAGATAGCTTGATATTTTTTCTTGAAGCGGAAGCGTATTGGGGAATCGGTGCATCCACAGGAGGCCCATCGCAATACATTTCGATTCAATAATTCGAATAAAAACTGTCGCAGCAATGGCGAAGAGGTATGTGCATTGTGCGATCAAGAGGTCTCATATATTAATATTTGGCGTTACAGCGCAAAACTGGCCGCCTCGGGCAAGGCCATTGACCCCACTCTTGATGCCCTTTTCGCATCCAGTGTAAGTCCTTTGCTACAAATTGAGCAATTAGGGCAAAGGAGTTCTAATATAAAGTAGGCAGGGCCCGTGAAAGCCCCCGAGAAGACGAGATACGCGGAATTGTCTGCACCAAAGGCAAAGGCTGACCCCGAAACCGCCGACTCCGACGAGAACCTTCCAGACGCCGACGAGGAAGACGATGAAGAACTGTCCGAGCTTGGCAGCGAGGATGGCGTTGACCTTGACAATATTGCTGAGGATGAAACTTCTTCCGAAGCTGACGAGGACGCCAAGGACGTATCAGACGCCGATGAAGAAGATGAAGCCTCAGTGCTAGCTCCGAAGACAAAGAAAGAACGGAAGCGCAAGCGGGAGGAGGACGATATTGAGGGCAAGTATCTGAGCAAGCTTGCGGAGGCAGAGGAGAAGGAGAAGCCTGCCGAGAAGCGCACCAAAAAGGAGACCAAGCCCGACGAAGACGGCCAGGAGGCGACCTCGGAAACGTCGTCCGAAGGCGAGGATTCTGACGAGGAGACACCCCTTGTCCACGAGTCCCTTGCCGCCGACGCAAAGGCCAAGGCCAAGGACAGCGAAATAAAAAAGGCGAACCGCACCGTCTTCCTCTCCAACGTCGCCGCCGACGCCATTGACAATAAGTCGGCCAAGCGCACTCTCGAGGCCCACCTCTCTAGCGTTCTCGACAAGGACGCGACCCCGCCACAGAAGATCGAGTCGATCCGCTTCCGCTCCGTCGCCTTCTCCGGTGGCGGCCTCCCCAAGCGCGCGGCTTACATCACAAAGTCCCTTATGAAGGAGACGACAAAGTCGGCCAACGCCTATGTCGTCTTCTCTACGCCCGCCGCCGCGCGCAAGGTCTGCGCCGAGCTCAACGGCACCGTCGTCCTCGACCGCCATCTGCGCGTTGACAGCGTCGCCCACCCGGCGCCTACGGACCACCGCCGCTGCGTCTTCGTCGGCAACCTGGGCTTCATTGACGATGAGACCATCGTCTCTACCAACGACGAGGGCGAAACGGTCCAGAAGAAGCGCACAAAGGTCCCCGCCGATATTGAGGAGGGGCTGTGGAGGACGTTTGGCAAGCACGCTGGTAAGGTCGAGAACGTGCGCGTCGTGCGCGATCCCAAGACGAGAGTGGGCAAGGGCTTCGCCTACGTTCAGTTCTACGTAAGCATCTGCATACCCCTGTGATTCTCCTTCTCGTACACGGCAAAACTGACAGAAAGCAGGATGGAATCCACGTGGAAGCCGCCCTCCTCCTGGACGGCAAGAAGTTCCCCCCTATGCTCCCCCGCATCTTGCGCGTAACTCGCGCTAAGGCCCCTCACAAGACAGCCCTCGCCATGGAGCGAAGTAACAAGGCCAGGGCTGCCCAACCAGGCGGGCCGGGCGCTCCTGGTAACACGAAGTACCGGGCCAAGATCACCCCCGAGCAGCAGTCCAAGGCCGGCCGCGCGGCGCGCCTGCTGGGCCGCTCCGGCGCCAACCGCGAGCGTCTCGGCAACAGAGGCGACAGGGAAAAGCCGCGCATCCCGGGCAACGGCTCCGGCGTCGTCCCCAAGGACCAGATGAAGGCGCCCGAGGACTTTGTCTTTGAGGGCCGACGCGCCAGCGCCAAGGATGGCAGACCCAAAGACCTCAAATTCAACAAGCGGAGCAAGCCCAAGGGCGTCAGCGGTGGCGGCGTCAAAAAGTCGAAGCCTACCGGCCGCGGCGCCAAGAGAGCGTCGGAGTGGAAGAAGAAGCAGGGTGGATCGTAGTAGACAGCGATGTGTATAAGGCAGGGAGGCGTCTCGCATGTACAAATCTCTTGGCATACCAAAAGTGAGCATAGATAAGCGTCGGGAAAAGGCGTCCAAAATTAATCGTCATTTCAACCAAAATGCTCGTTCCTGATTTTCGGCAGCATTTGCATCAGTCAATCTTCAAAATGGTGGCGCGTTACTCGAAACCGCCAACGTGACGCTGTGCTATTCAAACATTTGGAAAAAAAACTTAGTCAGATGCATTTACAAGTGACTGCATTGAATCCCGCGCGGCTCCCGATAGGCAACTTAGTTAACACATGTACGCTTGTGTAGAAGAAGAAAGTGACTTGGGTCTCATCTATTATCAACTCGAGCTCGACTCAGTAATATCCATTCATGGCTATGGGGGAATCCAGTGCCTTTCCGCGCGTCCATGTTCGTTCAGCGAGAACGACAACAGAGAAATCTACCGAACCAACCCTCCAACGACCGCCAAAGAAACAAGCTTTTTCATGAAATTCGTTCAAAAGGCTGCCACCTGGTTCGTGATTTGTTCGTCGCAGCGGCTGGCTTACCGCGACACGAAAAATACAGGAAAGTCGCCGAAGCCGGCTTAGTACTCGGCGTCGTCCTCATCGGCCTCGAACGAGTCGGCAGCAACCTCTTCGTAATCCTTCTCGAGCGCGGCAAGGTCCTCACGGGCTTCGCTGAACTCACCCTCCTCCATACCCTCGCCAACGTACCAGTGGACGAAGGCGCGCTTGCTGTACATGAGATCGAACTTGTGGTCCAGTCTCGACCAGGCCTCGGCGATAGCAGTCGTGTTGGAAAGCATGGAGACGGAGCGGTCGACGGAGGCAAGACCACCGTCGCCGGCGGCGGCGGGGACAGCCATGGGCTTCTGGTAGTTGATGCCGAGCTTGAAGCCAGTGGGGCACCACTCGACAAGGTTGAAGGAGGACTTGGCCTTGAGGGCGGCAATGGCAGCATTACAGTCGCGGGGGACGACGTCTCCGCGGTAGAGGAGGGCGACAGCCATGTATTTGCCGTTGCGGGGGTCGCAGACGACCATCTGGTTGTTGGGCTCGAAGCCTGCAGTTGGTTAGTCTCTTGGCGCCTGCAAGCGGGAGAAGGCGTGACATACACTGGAAGGTAAGCTCCTGGACCTTGAAGCTCTCGTGGGAGCTCTTGTTGGCCGAGATGACAGGAGCATAGCTGATCAGAGGGTAGTGGATACGGGGGTAAGGGACCAAGTTGGTCTGGAACTCGTTCAGATCGACGTTGAGGGCACCGTCGAAGCGGAGGGATGAGGTGATGGAGCTGACAACCTGAGCGATCAGGCGGTTCAGGTGCTCGTAACCGGGACGGGGGATGTCGAGGTTGCGACGGCAGATGTCGTATACAGCCTCGTTGTCAACGAGGAAGGTGCAGTCCGAGTTCTCGATGGTGCTGTGGGTGGACAGGACGGCATTGTAGGGCTCGACAACGGCGGTCGAGACACGGGGGGCGGGGTAGACGGCGAACTCGAGCTTCGACTTCTTGCCGTATTCGGTGGAGAGACGCTCGAGCAGGAGGGCACCGAAGCCGGAGCCGGTACCACCACCGAAGGAGTGAAAGATCAGGAAGCCCTGGAGAGAGTGGCAGTTGTCTACAATGGTGGTTGGTCAGTCTAGGCGCGGCCCGAGGGGGTAAGTGGGCGGCAAGTGGAGACAAACCAGCGACGCGGCGAACGCGGTCAATGACATTGTCGACCATCTCCTTGCCGATGGTGTAGTGGCCACGAGCGTAGTTGTTGGCAGCATCCTCCTTGCCACTGATCAACAGCTCGGGGTGGAAGAGCTGGCGGTAGCCGCCAGTCCGGATCTCGTCAATGGGAGAGGGGTCGAGGTCGACGAAGAGGGAGCGAGGAACGTATTTGCCATTGCTAGTCTCGGTAAAGAACGTCTCGTAAGAACCGCCATCGACGATATCCTTGGCGTTGGGATCAGGACGACCATCGGAGCCGAGGCCGTGCTCGAGGAGGTAACTGTGCGTTGAATTGGGCCGTCAGCTTCATCGGCTTTCGCATCTCCCTTCTCGGCACTAAGAAGGGATGGGATGGAGTTGGACGTACAGCTCCCAAGCAGAGTTACCCAGCTGGGTACCGGCCTGACCGAGATGAAGGTGAAGAATCTTGAGGCATTACTGTCAGTACTAGAGCAGCACACCAAGGTAAGAGTAGGAAGGAACAGCTAGCTCGGTTGCCAGGGGTCGCTTCAGCAGCCGCAGCAGTCGTACTGAGAAATGGCCAGTTGACGATGCCTCTGGCGCTGCGACAATTGAGGGTCGGGAGAGAGCAGGAATAGAACAAAGCGGTGTTTGGCTTACCTCGCCCTTCATTGTGTATTGTGACTCGAGGGATGTTGGAGAATGTTGCGACACAAGATGGAATGGAGAAGGGGAATATTTTCACGCGCGCAGCGCAGAGTTGAGGTTCGGAAGAGCTAGGGGGGAGGAACAGTGTTGGTGATGGTTTTCAGACGTTTGGAGGGTCTCTTGTTGTGGGCAAGGCGGGGCACAGTCACCAAGGCCGACCAGTGAGTGGCACAATAGGCTTAGGGGTAAAGGGTGTTCCCTCCCCCCTTCTTTACTGGGCCTAGCGCCTGTCTGCCACTTTGATGATGTTGGGGGGTCTCCAGCACCAAAAGTGATGGCGGAAGGGTGCTGTCAGCCAATTAGGCCTTGGTGACACTCTCACCGCTAGATGGTCCAAGCGTTATTACTTTTGGTCTATTGGGCCAAGTTCAGGGGTGCATGAAGATACCTGCCCACTGCCACCTACCATCAACAGGTTCTTGCTGTTTGGTGCGAGATGTAAACACACTGGGCAATTGGTGGCACTTTCTAGGTACCTGCGGTTTTGATTGACCTTGAACATAGAGGCAGAAAGAGTGACAGACTGAGAACCGCCAGTCTTCCTATTTGCGCTACCTTCACCGCTCATAGTCAAACTGAACCGCCTGTCTCTGAGATCAACAACAAAAGCTACCTAGTCAGTCTGTGCGGCAAATCCAGGGTCCAATGCATTGACTTTCGGTAACAAAAGAGCTGGCTGTTGGCTGGGTACAACAGATATTTGATACATCTTTCTTCATCCAGACCCATTGTACCTCAGTTGAAGGCGCCACAAGCAAAAGCCATTGGCAGCTTAACGCACCAGCAATAACTTGAAGCCTGCAGGCCTCGTTTGCATCTTGATTAACTGGGTATAAGCAATCTCAGCCTGGGAGCCTTGTGCTTACTTGAAAGTACATCCACACGGCCAGCCGGATTGAGGTGTTTTTCAATGTGCTGAACCGAACTCTGCCCCACTCTGCAGTTGTCTGCGCAGTATGGCTTCAGCAACTTGTGACTGACTACCTAAGTCTGATAACGAGCACCTTTTCGCTTTTTTTTGTTTCTTTTCTTGACCTTACTCCTTTCCATAAGTTTCGTGAGTACGTAATCACACCAAGAAGACATGTTGTCTTTCAGTTGTTTTTAAACATACACACAGTTCTGGCTACATCATACCCAGATAGATGTTCTCCGTCTCAGAGTGGAGACATACATGTCGATGCCACATCCCAGCAGCATGGAGTAATTCATATGCGACGGGATCTTGACGATATAGAACTAATGAGTGTCGCGCGTCGCTCCTTTCCCGTTGTATATCATGCTCTCAACTTCAACACCAGCATCTGGGGAGAGATCAAACAGCTCATCGCATATAATCCGCTTCCGCCCTTGTTACGTCAACAGGGAGCTTGGAACTCATAATCGTTCGTCCGACGGTGGGTCCGAGGCTTTTCAGGACGTTTAAAACGTTAAGAATTCCCCATATAGCCGCGGTGAAATGAATCTCTCCCACCCCAGCGCGATGGTCTGCATATTATCAACCGCTTGAGTCCGACACTTTAGGGAGACTATTTTCGCTTGTTACAAATTCTCAACAATGTCAATGTCAATTTAACGAGAGATTTGTATCGTTCCCCGCGTAAAGCTCGGGGCGGTAGAACGCCCTAAGTCCATCCCTACCCGTACAATATCAGCTTTCGGAACTCACAACTTTTAGGTGACAAGGGCAGGACCTTGACGTTTCATATCCCAAAACTTTTCACCAAGCCGGTGTTGATGTTTTGATTTCATTCTGAATGATTTCCGCTGAAGTCGTGCTTACTAGTTTAGCCTTGATCTCCGGGGATTCTCGTTCGGGGCTTGAAGAAATAACTGGTCAGCGACGACACCCTTTCCATAACCAAACACCCGAAAATACCCATATTGAACTACTATCCATTAAAGAAGAAGAAGAAGAAGAAGAGAACTACAGATGTTTCTGGGCTCTGCCCATTAGTCCTTGTTCTGCACGAATCTCCGGCCTAAATTATAGCTGTTCCTCCTCACTTCAGGCGTAAAACCTCTAAACTGCTTCAACATAAGGCGGAACGGAAAGACGCATAGTGAGCAGGCTTGCCAAGATAAGTTGAGCCGGTGAATTATGGTGCTGAGGAAGCGCAGCACTTCTTGACAAGTCTTGTAATAGTGACAGAAGTAGCCCGGGGTAACGTCTCGGACCTCCGTGTTGATAAGGCTGCATAAAATTGAGAAGGATCTTTATCGTTGCATCTTTCTCTCTCTAGCGTTGGACCTGTGGGTTACTGAAAAAGGGACGACGATGTCATACGAAGGATGTCGGAGAGCCGGTCTAACAGATATCTCGGGTTGTTTGAGTACAAGGTGTAAACAGCTTCGTCTGCATCCGGAATGAGAATATCCTGGTGAGTATGCAGAATTAGTGTATTACGTAGATCCTATAAGCTACCAGAATAAGGACTCGCGACATTGGGCTGGTCGTTTCAACAGTAAAGAAATCAAATCCAAAGAGACCAAGCTCCTGCCGGAACGTCATGTGGATTCGGGGTGGTTTTTTGACACGAGAGCGGATTCTATCGTACTTTATCATAGATTAAAATACGAAAACGAGGTGTGAAATTCCTTTTGAACAACACGTGTATGTCTTTGGCTCATTTCAGGAAAAAGGGACTGCTGGTATGCCGTAGCTCTCGTTTAGACTTTCAAACCCATTCATGCATTGGGATTCTTACACTTGCACATCGTCATAGAACAGAGATAAAAGGAGACCGGAGATTCAACACCTCTTTGTCCTTGCACCACTTAGATTGAACATGATAGTAGATAAGGCCTCTACAGTGTCTCTAGGGGTTCCAAGCAGTAATGACATGACCAGAGACAATCCTGTGCAGGACGTGGCACTGGAACAATCAAGATATTCACTTCAATCTGTGTGTAAATTGGATTGAACCATCAGATATGCCAAGCCTGAGGAGTAGTCTCAGTGTGACAATAGGCGCATGCTTTCCAAAATAATCTCGGATCTGTGATCACATAGTTCTCATGTGACTTCAATATTTTTGGAATATCAAGAAGAAAATATCTATTGCCCTTATTTATTTATAACCCTCTCGACAATAGGCCTTGGGTCAGGCATACAAGATCTCGGTGGTGGAGTGACTCATGTGTACTGTCGGTATGAGGCTATGCAACATCGGCACGACCGTAAACACGCTAATGAATATCATTCATCACTCATCGGGTCTTCTAATTCTACGAAAGTATCAGCCTCACACTCCAGTACCTAGCCCTGGCCCAATCTTGCAAAGCTACTACGGTTCATATCACCAGAATCAAATCAAGAATTTCCCTCACATTGAGTCCATAAATTTCCATTATATCCAGGTAAACAGCTATGGTACTGTTTATACTACAGATCGTATTCAATGGGACGAGTCTCTTAATGAAAGCAGACTATTCTGCCTGGGACAAGGGAAGCCCGATGGTAGCGAGAGGGCAACAGTTTCTGTCCGCGGGGTTGGCACCATTATTGAAAGGGCAGTTGCATCTCGTGGGGAGGATCAAAAACGCTAGTAGAAGCTTCAGTACTCATATTCATTCCACAAAACAGATTCAAGAGTGCAGTTGAGACAAAAGGATGATCGAGTCCATGACAATTCTAAATTACCATGGGTTATTAGTTGGTAGCCGTAAATATACCAAATGGGCGTATTACCACGCAAATTAAAGAGCCATAAAAGAACAAATGCTTTAGTTGCCCCGGGCCTCATTATTCTGTGCACGGTTCATGGTAGTGTTCGGCCAAGCGGGCATTGTGCCCAGCTGTCAACTTCCGTATGGCTTGCGGCTAATGTTTTTGGATCGTAGACAAAAATAGTCACAAACCTTAGTATTTATCCCATTACATGAAACGCAATACATTGCTTACCGTGAGCAGCATTCTTATCCTACGTTGGGTTCCGCCCGAAAGTGTGGTTGACATAGACGCCACGGCGCCACGAAGCCGAGAGATGCAAGATACAGCCAAATTGCACTATGCCCTCACTGCTCCGGAACGCACCAGGTCATTCTGCGGGTAACTTGATCCATCTCATCATCTTTGCGAGACCTCGTTGCGGAGCAGCGTTCTCAAGAATCCCACTATTTTTGTTGGCGGATGAACGGCAGCAAACTGTGGACGTAGGCTCAGCCTGATGAGAAAGAGCAGATTTCGAGAGTAAGCAGTTGACAGTTGGATAGCAATGTTCTGCTTTGGTCCTAATAGAGACGCCATTAAGCCATAGTCACAAGTATACACACCCACTCACCCACCACGTACTAAACCAAGAGGGTGTCGCCCAAGATTCTCGGGTTCGTCCAAGACCCGCAAAGGCCCACGGGACACGAGCAACTGTTCTACCTACCAGGGACAGGGAAATAGAATTTGAGGCGCCGCGCCGCCAATGACTGACTTTATCTCCTTCCCTCGCCCAACCGGGAACGGACATCGGTCCCGCCTAGCAATGTTCTAGAAAAAGCCTCAAGCTGCAGCTCTCGTCTAGAGCGCTCCCCCGGAACCCATACGACTGGGGGAAAACAGGGGCTGCTTGTCGCACTGAGTCTGGGTACGGCCTCATGACAGTCCGATACGGGGTCGCCCTTGGGGGGGGGGAGACACGATAAGGTTCTGACAAAGCGGCGGGCAACAGACCCCTCTGTGCTGCACGTGTCGTATAGCTGCAGCACGGGTCCGCTTGTGCGGGGGAAGCTGCCAGGGGGATGGGCCGGCAAGCCGGCAGGCCTGGTTGACAGAGGCTTCTGGCCAATCACGCGCCCAAAGCGCGGCAGTGTTCAAAACGTCAGAGAGAGAGCTCCCTCCCCACACTAGCAAAGACCAAGCGCTGTAAATCACTTGCAGCTGCGCTCATAGACTGCGCGCCGTTGTTAGTTTTGGATCGCACCAGACGAAAGTCTACAGGCAAGGTGAGCATAGGCAGTAACTTCGAGCGTGAATACTTTCCGTCTCTGATGCTATCTGTCAGTCTTGTTCAGGGCGGAGCGATTGCGGGCACTGGGAACTCCTCAAGACTCCCTGTGTCACCGCACAAGTGGGTACACAAGTCGCTTGTAATACGAATAAGAATAAGAGATGTCTGGGGAGTTGGCGAAGCTGTCCGGGTGAAGAAATGCCGTTACACACACTACCTGTATACCTACATACCTAGCTTAAGCAGGACGAATGCCCCGCCTGTGATTTCGGCTTTGAAATGGTATTCGGCGCAAGGACTGGTGAAGTGGGGTTGCTTCAAAGACTTTCCGCAAATCCCGGTTTAGCGCATTGATCGATTCAAGTCCAGCTGCGACACGCCTGTCGTGTAGCTCATGCTCGTCATGACAATAGCACTGCATAAAAAGTGACACGACCCCTCCCCCCTCCTTGACGTTGCCTCATTGAAAACAAGCATCTTCCTAAGCTGCAACTCTCTCTCTCTCTCTCTCTCACACACACACACACAAAAACACACTCTCTCTGTTTTTTCTTCTTTTTTCCCTTTCTTGTTAGCAGCATCAGATCGCGCGTACTCCTAGCTGGTTATCGACCTTGGGTACCGTCAACGAGCGATACCGGACGATATTTACCAACATGGTGCTGGAATCATGGACCGCCAGGGTCGCTCTCGGCTTGGTGACAACTCTGCTGGTGTATCTCTGGAAGATCAACCGCGCCATGTCGACCTCTTACCCTGAGGCTCTGCGGATTTCGCCGGACCGATGGACACCAGAACAGATCAAGCGAACCTTTGAGCGAATGGAGAAGCAGCCCATCGACTGGACGCCGCATCTGCCGCCTAAGCTGGACAGACGTTACATCGTCGTCGGTGGCGCTGGTATGAATATCTATTTTCTCATGGTCACGTAGCACCCCACTGACCCACGATGCCACTTAGGTTTGGTCGGAGGGCAGATCGTCATCCAGCTCATCGCGCGTGGCCACCCGCCAGAGGCCATTCGTATCATTGACTTCCGCAAGCCCGGGCGCGACGACATGAGCGAGGGCCCGGTGTCCAGGGTCGATTTCGCGCAGGCCGATATTTCATCAGAGTCGGCGACCTCCGCAGCATTCGCCAAGCCATGGGCCGAGTCCGTCACCCGTCTTCCGCTGACAGTGTTCCATACCGCCGCCGTCATCCGCCCGTCTGAGCGTAGCCCATTGGTCTACGACCGCTGCTCCCGCGTCAACACCGACGGGACTGCACACGTTATTGCTGCTGCCAAATCCGCCGGCGCCGACGTCCTGGTCTTCACCTCATCCTGCAGCGTGGCCCTGAAACCCGTCAACTTCTTCAACGCCCTCTGGAAGAAGTGGCCGACAAACTTTTTCCAGATCCTGGACGAGACTGACTTCAAGAAGCCGCTGCGACCGCACGATGAGTTCTTTGCCAACTATGCGAAATCGAAAGCCGAAGCGGAGCGCCTCGTCTGCAGCGCGAACACTATACCACAGGACCCTTTGCAGCCCGGCGGCTTCCGCACCGGGTCCATTAGACCGGGTAATGCCATCTACGGGCACAAAGACGACTACCTCGTCGGCTCAACGGTGCGCATGGCCAGCCTCCCGACCTTCACCGCGCCTTTCATGCAGAACTGGGTGCATGGGGCCAACGTGGCGCTGGCGCATCTTCAGTATGAGGCGGCCCTTCTCGGGCCGCACGCTCACAAAGTAGCCGCTCGACCGTTCTTGGTCACGGATGGGGGCCCGCCTCCGATCTTCAAGGATTTCTACACACTCGTAGAGTCTCTCAGCGTGACGAGCTTCCACGTGCAATATCCACCGCCGCTTCTCCTGCTACTGGTAGCACACTGCATAGAAGCTTATTGCCTGTCGCTTTGGCGGATACCGATGTTGCAGAAAGTGTTCCCAGAACCTCAAATGCAGTTGGCCATGCTGCAACCAGCGACTATAGCTGGGTCCATCAATGCCATAATCAACGATTCCGACGCGCGTAAACGGGTGGAAGATGGCGGCTTGGGATACCAGGCCAAGTGTACGACCATGGAAGGGTTGTGTATGCAGTTGGGGGCATGGAACCGATGGGTGAGGAGCGGAGGCGAGAAAGTGAGGAGCGAGAAGGGCGTGGTGAAAGACGTGCTCGAAGTCGCAGCAGAGCCTGTTGCGAGAAGAGCCTAGATTCGAAAAGGTCAAAACCTCACAAGAGGAGAGCGTTTAGCAACCGGTTAGACGGCTACTGGATATGATTGGGATGTGTTGCATATTGAAGCACACCAGACAACTGGCGATAACAGCCATTGAGCTGTCATGCTGTTGCTGGTCTCGGACATTTAGAGCAGAAGGCATTGTAGAGCAAACCTCGGTTCGGCAAACCGTTTCTATCGTTAACTTCAAGGGATCCCCAAATGCGCGGAACATCGGAGGCAATAGCTTTACGCCAACTATGCGATATCTGATCAAGGGAACCGTATACGATGTCTAGGCACGGACACGGAGACGCGGAACCTGGATCCTCGTCGGGTCTCCACCAGCCGGCGTGCCAAGTTAGTGTGCACCTAGTGGCGTTGGGGGCGGCTACATGGCGTCTCGTAGATCATTTCTTGTCCCATGATGGGATTCTCCACAATCCGATTCCTGAACGAGCTTGCGCCTTTCGAGGAGAACATTGTTACGCTTTCAGAGGGGCGGGAAAAATGGAAAAAGACTACAAAAAAGCCATCGCCTCGGTTCACCGACTTTCTGAAGAATTGAAGAAAACAATTTGCGGGGGGAAGGGGGGCGGCAATGATAAAGACGGACGTAGCCGAAAAAGCTCATCGAGCCCAGCCCCCTGATAAGCAACAGACGCCGTGATAAGTGTGTTCGTAATCCCCAATGGCAGGGCTTTATTAGCGGTGCAGAAAGCAGAGTTCGTATCCGCATTTTGGTGTTATGTATTCTAGACCAGTTCTGCGTGCAGCACGTCAAAAGGCTGCAGTTGTATGCACATGCATGGCTCGGGGTGGTTGGCGATGGAGGAGGGTGTGATGCGATGAATGCAGCTGGAGGTGTGGCTGCAGATGGATGGATACGATGTCGGCTCAGTAGCTCAGGAGCGACTTGGCAAACCGCTGGTGACCGTCAAATGTCTAACGTTGGATTGCCAGGGGATGAGGATGGATGTGGAACCTACGAATTTGGATAAAAAAAGCCAGAAGCTATTCATGACAAGCCAGACTTAATTGGAAGTTGACAGACAATAAAGTCTCCCTCGGTGTTCTCCAGCGATCAAGCCCCTCATGATGACGATCACCAAAAAACTGGGCGCGCAATTGACCATGTTGATTGGACAGCAAGCTTGCGGCTAGTTCGGCGCCCAAGACGTCGGGGAGCTCACCTGTTGGTTGCCACAGCCAGGTTATGCTGTGTACGAATAGGTCCTAGGTACTCGCACTAGGTACGTACGGCGTGAGTGAGCCGGCTCCAACTTTTCGGGACGAGGAGGCGCCCGCCACTTTGCAGGGTGGCCTCTTTGCACCACAATTGTTCATTGGCGGCATCCAACGGCGTCGGGGCGCGAAGGTCCGCTCGTGCCGGGCTTGCTCCACGACGAGGTGGATGGACGAGTGGATGATATTTTCTAGGGCTAGCAGGACAGGGCATTGAGTTGGAGCCGAGTTCGACCCTACATAGTAAGCTGTTATCCATTCGGCGGCCTACTATGTATTACAAGCGGTTGGTACCGTGTGGTGGTCAAATGCTAGGAGCTACCTATTTGGTATCTGCGTTGGGGACAGACGGGTTGAAAGCAAGGGGGTCTCGCAAACAGAAACAGGCCATGGGACAAGACCGCGGCAGGGAGCCAGTGAGCATGGCTGCATTTCGGAGACGCCAAGAAGAGGACTGAGTGATATGATGTGAGAAGGGGGCAGGATAAATCGAGTTCGTTTCGGAGGATGAGACATCGTGAGGGAGGCAAATGGCACCATGCCGAGTAATCAGAGGAGATGCCGGTTGTTATCGCTGTTCGTTGTCGTCGTCGTCGTCGTCGTCGTTGTTGTTGCTGTTGCTGTTGTTGTTACTGATGGTGCTGATCACCGCTTGACCTAACCGACCATGCAGTCCGGAGATAGGACGGGAAGCGCAAAACCATGCAAAGATACCGTGTATCCGTAAACTGCGGAGAAATTGCATTCAGTTACCTAGTCACCGCGTCAAGTCGTTTAAACCCGAGAGAATGCGAAGACGATGGGAGCAGAGAGCGAGAGGAGAGGGAGGGGTGAAGGCAAGTGGAACGGCCGCAGGGGCATGATGGATTGCGTCCAATTGATTGGTAATAGATAGCCATGTATCCATAAAACATGTGGGTACACAGCATCTTGGCTTGATCCACACAGATATACACTAATGTGAAGTCACTATAATGTGAAGTCTCCACGGACTACGGCAGCAACCCAGCTGCATATCTGTGGCTGGTGTTCCTGGCGGACTAGTCCCGATGGGGTATGGCGTCTTCACCGGTAAGCGGAAGAGAGTGGGGGATGGAAAGAAATGCGGAAGGTGAAGCTGTGTTGGGTAGCAGTACCTAGCCTGAGATGAAAAGCTCGGGGCTGCAAGAGCGAAGGACCCGGAACCTACCCAACGCCAGCAAGCTTTCTCTCTCTCTTTTCATTCTTTCCGTCAGGTATGAGGCCGGAGCCGCGAGGAATGTGACTGCCATGCCTCCGTAATGGCACCTGGAGCTGTGACAACGCCTGTTCGATGAACAGACAGACGGACAGAGACGAATACTACTACGAGGGCCGGGTTGGAAGCCATTATCACATGTCGCCGGTCGCCGTAGGGACGACAAGAAGGAAGAAGAACAGGGGCGAGGGAAGAAACTATCCATCCAACTTGGCATGATCATACTCGGCAGCAGTGCCGTTGGCGTACGACTCCCGGGCCATGTCTGGAGTAGTCCTGGAAGAAGGTGAAAAAAAGAAGCGACGACGCGAGTGAGGCCATCACGAGGAACCCAGGAAAGTTTCAGTGTCCAAAGTCTGAAGCGACCGGGGCCAGGGACTGTGGTAAACAGGGCAGCCCATGCCTGCTCATCCACGGGCACCACAAATGTAGGTACTTGTGTACCCCTCAGCAATCGGCCTCGACGACTGTGATTACGCCGCAAAATCACGATCAAAACTTACTATGTAGCCACGTCAACCTCGCGGGATGGCCGTGTCTTGGCATTTTCTCACGACAGCCATGTCGAGGAGAAGAGTTGGGCATTTCACTTCCAGTGCCCGAACGCTGCGTTCCCAGTTTACCTCGTGTGAGCCTACCTATTGGGTACGTGCAGCCCCGGCCAGTCGGTCGGCAACCTATCCCTGCAGATAACAGAAAACCGTGGGCCATCTGTGTGAACTAGGTACTGGCTACTCCGATCCGGTGTCGAGTCGCGATGTGAGGAACATCAACAACACACTCCGAAGAAATTGTCAACGGAGAAAAACGCTATGGGCGCGCTAGGAGAGGTGGGTACCTTCCTTCCTGGTCGTTTCCCTTTTCCACCCGACGTGTGGATCCCAGCCACAAGTACACAGTTTGCGTGTGGGAAGGAGCCTGCAACTAACTTACATACCTAGTATACAACATCCACACCCGCATGGAAAGTCGGCATCGTGGGTGAGGGGAGGAGGAGTCCGCCGGCCGGACAGGTGCCGCAATCAAACCATGCCTTGCCTGTCTTCCTGATTTATGATGTTTGCAAAAGGAAAGGTGTGGTTTCTCTTGTTCCACCAGCCACCCTTGTAATTGTCTGTCTTCCAGCACCCCCGACTCCGTACCTCCCTTCTCACCCCCCCCCCCCCCCCCCCCCCCCTATTGCGCTTACCGCATTCGAGGCAAGCGCGGCCCGAAGCTAGACGTGGGAACCATACCTACCTATCTGCCTGTTACCCGTTGTTGCATGCTTGCCTGTTAATAAAACCACATCGTTGCCCGCGTCGCCCGTCTGTTGTGATCGTTCTTTTCCTCTTTTCCCGCCCGCCGTCCAACATCACCACGAAGCAGATCAGACACAACATCCTCAAATTGTCGTCTACGACACCTTGGAACTCAGTATAGCTTGCTTGGTCGTCAGACATCTTCACTGTCTTCCTTCGTCGATCCAAACGACGCGACACCAAAACCACACATTCTACTATCTCGCATAACAACCCGCCAACATGCGTACTTCTTTCGCCGTCCTGGCCCTCTCGGCTGCCTCTGCTGTCTCTGCTCAGCGCAAGGTCTTCACTGCTGCCGACATCAACGTCGGTGCTCTCACTGTCAACGAAAAAGGTGAGCCAAGTCGAACTGCATTGCTTTTGCCGGCGCCACCGTCCTTGCCCTACGTTAGAGTCTCGGAATATGATGCTGACTTTCATCCCCAGCTAACTGGTGTATCGCCGAGCGCAACACTTGCCAGTCCCTCTGCGATGCTGCTACCAAGGAAAACAACTGTGACACGGTAAGTCGCTCTGTCTTTCTCCAACATCAGCTAGCCAACTACCTTGTTCCTCGTCCTCTACATGCTCTATCTCTCGCTGTCTCTCCCCAAATCCCCTCTCCTTGCAAGAAGGTTCCATTACTGTAGCTGTGCTAACTCCCAATTGTCAGACCACCCTCCAGTACTCTTGCCTCTGCTCCTCCAACGGCTCCGCCCCCGGTCTTGAGTACTACGAGCAGACTATGCCCACCTTCATCTGCAACCAGGCATTCGAAGATTGCATCACCGCCAACGTTGGCAACAAGAACGGCCAGGACAACTGCACCACGTCCATCAGGTCTCAGTGTGGCACCATCAACGCCCAGGCTGACCAAGCATCTGGTTCCACCACCTCGGCCACGTCTGCGGCCACCCAAGCTCCCAGTGCAACTGGCGCCTCCAATGCTGGCGCCACCACGGCCCCCAGCACTGCCGTCTCGTCCGCGTGGGCTGCCCCGACTGCCGACCCTGCCCGCTACGGCAACGCTGCTGCCGTTGCTGCCATTGGTCTCTTCGCCTACATGCTCTGAACGGTCTGCGATCCCGAACATGGGGCTACCCAAAATTGCAATTGGTTCATGCGGTGACATGCGTAGCCACCGTAGAATTGAGGAACGGCCTTTCACTTCTCTGTATTCACCTTCCCTACTACCCGATCCCGCGTGCTTACCGCGTGGCTCTAATTATTTGACGAGGAATACGTGGAATCACGCAATGGAGACGATGGATATTCCCAACCGTTGGTATCTTGAAGTTGGAGGAGTCAGTGCGTTATAGGGCGTGGGGTGATGCCACCCAGTGTTTTGTGTTTTGTTGTTTTTTGCTTTGCATTTTGCGTTTTAGGTATGATTGAGGACAGTCAAGACGACATCAAAAGAAATGAATTGATCCCCCCCCAACCTTTGCCCATATCTGCTTTGAGTCTCGGATCTGAGTGTCAGTATGGTTTGTCCAACAATGAGCTGAGACAGCTTCTGGTGCATTATCCTCAATGTACATTGTGCGCTCGGTCACTGGTGGTTCACTAACAATCCTCTTTATCACCACAGCCATCAAAGAGCTTCAAAGGACGGTTGCACTAGTGCCATTGTCCTGCGCTGCTACTGTTCTTCAAGAGACATCATTTGAGGACAACGCCTATTGTCTTTCTAATGGCGTAGAATACTTTGACGGCAACAGTCGTGATAGTACATATTCTGCCTCCTCCCATCATGGACAAGATGCCAATTCGACATTTCTGACACATACTCCAGCAACAAACAGTAATATATCGCAACACTGACCAATCGCAACCATTCAACTCTACATCAACCCAAGACGATCAGCTTTGTTATCAAGAAAACTCCGAATCAGCTATGGGTGACCTCAAGAAATCCACCACGCCCCCACGGGTTTCCTTCGGTGTGGAACTCGAATTCTTCGTCGCCTTCATCCTGGAAGGAGAACACGACCCTGATGCAGACATCAAGGACCAGTTGCAGCCGCTAATTACCGTTCCGGTCGACTGGGAGCGAACCGCAGAACAGAGCCGTAAAAGTGGCGTCCCAGGTAGGATTCATAAGCCGAAAACAGAACACGTGTATGGCCAGATCGAACGTGCTCTAGCCGATGCGGGTCTACCCGTGATGAGCGACAGGGAACATTACGGTAAGCCCGGTTCCGCCCAAGCCATCCATGGCGAACAGACCATGTCATCATTCCGGCTCGTGGAGGACGTCTCTCTCAAAGCAGACCAGGTCGACGGGTACCGTTGGGAACGGGTCGAGTTGAACTCCCCGGCCATGTATGACATGGAACTGTCCTACGACATGCTCCGAGTCGCGGTAAGTACAATCACAACCAGTTTCCGGTGCCGCGTGAACCCCAGCTGCGGCTTTCATGTCCATGTGGGTGCAGGACCGACGCAAAGAATCGATGCGAGGACGATGCGGCAGTTTGCCGCATTGCTGTGGGCGGCTGATCCTGTCATCAGTAGACTCCACCCCCCTTGGCGTTCCGCCACCGCATACAGTCAATCTGCTCGAGTGAACGCAATCACTGATCTCGGCAAATGCCACAACTCGGCCAGCGTCATTTTTGATGAGGTGAAGAGAGGTATCAGTCCCCAACACCAGGACGGGAAGAACCCGTCAGGATTCAAGATGACAAAGTTTCTTGGGAGAGACCGCCGGCTTGGTGAGTCGGTTGACGTAGATATGAGCCCAGAGGCAATATCTCACGAGATCGAGCTGGACCAAGAGGGTGACCTGGCGCTCCTTGAAACAGAGCCATGGCAGCACCAGCAGGACGTACCGGTGGCAGAAGGAACCAGGCCAGACGCGGGTGACATAAGCGAAGAATTCGGACCCCCCCCGTTCACTTACGAAGCCCCGGGCCCGATGCCGAGGAAGTACCGAAACCCTAGATCCGACATATACGCCCCTCCCCGGCCTCGCCCTCCACCCATCGCCCGCCGCTACCGTCGTTTTCCGGGGACGATGCGAAGGGACATCCGCGGGGACCCAAATTTCCTCGACGGGTATCTCTTGAGCTCCGGAGGCAACGTCGAAGTCCACGGTCATAGGGTCCCGCCGGCCCGATCGGACGTGATGTCCGGCGTCCGAGACCTCTTGGGTGCCGACTTGACAGTCGCCCAGGTCGGAGAGCTTATGAGGAACAAATCGTTCCCCAAACACATTAACTACAAGTTCGACGCGTACAGCCTCCGCAGTGTCAAGGCCCAGGACCCGAGGCGGAAGGCCGACCCGTTCGAGTGGCACGGCGACTGGTACGACAACAAGAGTAACACAGTCGAATTTCGCGAGGCGGCGGGGTCGCTCGACATGGAGTGGATCGCGACGTGGGCGCGGATCTGCTGCCGACTGCTCGAGTGGAGCCGGGACGCGGCGCCAGCGGAGTTCCTGTGCGTGATCCGCCTGCTGGCGTGGGCCCAGGAGGAAGAGGGCGCGCAGTACGACGTCGTCGACTTTCTCATCGACCTGGGGCTCTTGAAGGAGGCGCGGTTCTGCGAGGAGAGGCTGGAAAAGGGCGAGGCCGCGTGGTGGGAGTGTCTGAACCTGGGCATGCCCGAAGGTACCAGCGAGAACTGGCAGTCATTGCCCGAGATGGGTGAGGACTTTAACATTCCTTGGTATGGAAACGCCGGCCATGGGCGGACCGCCGACCACGGGGGAGTTGCCGGTCATGAGACGGCCGTTGGAGATGTATGGGGTGCAAACGATGGCGAGTACCAGTTCGGCGAGTCAGAGGATGACGAGTCGGACGAGGAGCTGCAGCCGCCTTACGACATGGAAAAGCTGCAGGAGCCTGTCGAGCAGAATGCGCAGGGGCCTTTCGAGATGGATGCCCATGATGCCCAGAGCCTCCCGCGTGAGGGCAATACTCTCGATGGGGCTGTTGCGAGCGGCGACGACGACAGCCGCGTGGAGCAAGGTGAGTCGGCGGTGGTGGCAGTGGCGGCGAGGACCTATTCGAGGACGAGCAGCAGGCGTCGCACGGTTTTTTGATTGTATGTTGTGACTGATTTCTGACGGTAGCATTCGTCGGAGATGGGGATGCGGATTTGAATTCGGATTTGGAGCGGGGGTACTTTTTGGTCGAAAAGGCGTTTTCTGAAAAGGAGGCTATGACGGACGAAGACGGGTTTGAGATTCTGTATGACGAGGAATGAGTTTGGCGTTTGGTGCAGCTGGCGAAGAATGACTGGTCTAGATGGCATGGTTGATATTCAAGATTGTGTTTTGATACTGATTCCACTGCAAAGAATGATTGTTTCTGATATTGAAGTTTTCCCTTTGGCCAATCACGCTGGTTTCAAATATCTGGCGGCCGTTGTTCGACCAAAGGCCGCGTAGCCACTTGAGCTCTTGACTCCCGAACATCGTCCAGAACAAAATTGCCAACACCGACAGAATGACCCCTTAGCGCAACACTAGCAAGGAGTCAACTGTTCATCACGACCTAGAGGGGCCAGGAGTATAGAAAGCTATCAGGAGGAGCACGATCACTCTCATCCGTGGCAACGTGCTGTATGGGAAGGCAACAGACAGCAGCGTTAGAGTGCTATCTCGTTCCTACTGGAAGAGGGCGAGGACTGTTCTCGGCACGTTTGCTTTGGATAATCGTCGCCTCGGAGGCCAGATATTTGGAACCCACGCGCTGGTGTAGACTCCACAGACACAGGTTGCGTAATATGTCTGTCTCTTTTCCGGAGCGACAGAGAGCTCAGAACCTATCGTGGGTCGCCAGGGGCGCTCGCGAAGCCAGCAGGCCTCGATATGTGAGCAGGACGACTGAATCCCTTGACCTGAACAAACCGACCGGGCGTGGCTTCCCGTGGCCCGGACCTTCCACAATGTTCAACAATGTTCGAGGCTTCGAAAATTGGCAGCCAGGCTTCAATGCATTGTTCACTGCCTCAGGCCGGGCCAGGATGGTTATTGTTGTTGATGCCCGCTGCAACAAAGAGACAAATCGGGCCGTGAGCCGCTGTCGAAGTTGGCTCGGGGCTCTATTAAAGGCTGATGCCATGCATTGGACATGTAACTCAGCATCAGTCTCTCTCTCTCAGGCTGAAATACTCCGGACTACGAGATAAGACGACGGCAAAATCGCAGCATACTCTAGATCGCATAGCATCTCATTCCATCATGGACTCCAACACGGCACTCCCGTCGGACCTCAACATTCTCGATCGCCTGGCTCTTCTCCCCATCGAACTCCAGTGCGAGGTTCTCTTCCATTTTTTAACGGAAAGCAGCCCCTGCGCCATGTCACTCTTCGTCCCGGACTGGGACGTTTGCACGCACGCGGCGGACCCCGTCAACGACATTTACGACCTGCAGCGGATCGACGTCTACACCAGGGGCGCAGGTGTCGTGCGAGGTAAGTTCGAGGCCCGGGTGAAGCATGACGACGACGCCGGCGGCCACGTGGTTTTCCCGTTGGCGAAGCAGACGATGCCGAACGGCTATGGCGGGCTGATGGGCGAGCTCGGACGGATGTTCCCGGACGCGATGGGGAGGGCTCTGCGAGACCTCGAGCGGCACGGTCTGCACTGCTTCCAGCAGCTCTGGCCGAGGGGCCCGGACGACGAGATAGGTAAGTGCATGGCGGGCGGGGGGTTGGTGTTCCGCGAGCAGCGCGGCGGGACGACTGGCGATCTGGACGCCGGACCGACCACGGTAGGCGCCGCGATGCCTCCTCTCCGCCATTTGATGTTCAACGGCTTCCCCAGGGACCCTTGGCGAGACCTGCGCCTGCGGCGCAACGCGCTCACCAGATCCCAGCTCGAGATGAGGCTCCTCGTCGAGCGGGGCCCGGACCTTCTCGCCGTCACGTGGGGCGCCATGACGCAGCTTGAGACTCTCTACCTCGACCTGCGAGCCTACGGGCGGGGGCAAGTAGGCGAAGACAGCGTCCGCCTCGGCGCGAGGGCGATGGCGTGCCTGCGGCTCGGGTCTCTCGTGATCGCTGGGCTGCGGAGTGGCGAGCGGTACGCGAGGCCGGCGGGCTGGCAGCTGTACGACTGGGAGACGGACGAGGCGGAGGCCGGGGGCGGGGTGAACTGGGTCAAGGTGTTTTGCGGGGCCGTCAGGGAGGGCGGAAGATTGGTGTTCGTTGATCGGCGGATGTTGGATATCAGCTGGGAGGGGTGGAGGATGAGGGCGGAGAAGGAGGGGTTGCTGTCGCCCGAAGCCGAGGAGACGGTAGTGACCGGGGAGTCGGAGAACGCGGCGTATATGAGGCACGTAGTGAAGGTGCTGACGTAGAACGTAGACAGACCAAGGCGCCTCCCCTCCCCCACCATCAAAGACTCTCTGCCATACTTCGTTTGCGGCTGTCTGTGGGTCCGGAATCTCCGACCAGGGCAAGATGCCGCCAACCGCGCGCGCGCACGCCGGGCGGCCAGTATAGGAGCAAAACAACCAACTATATTTCCTATCTGTAAAGAGCTAAACCCTCTTGCTCCCACGTTCTTACTTCCTCGCGCCGCAGCGCTCCTTGCCGACGGACGCGCTCGCGCTATTGCAGCTTAAGGTTGCCTTGACAACCATACAGATGTCGGTCTGGCGCTCTTGCCCAAGGCCAACGGGGTGAAACCGACGACTACTTCGCACGACGCGTCTTGCCCCTGTATAAGCGCTCCCCCGCTGCGACGTCAATGGGAAGTTGTCGCGGCATTTCCTGGTTGTGGGCAGAGCTACTGTGACAGTTGGCCTCGCAACACCGTTGCCTCCAATAAAGCTGCGACGCTTCTGCCATTAATCCAGTGATTGTTCTTCTGTCTCCTCTTTGTGAATCATATTAATTGGGCAGTCGAGATGCTGACCCGCGTCTTCTGAGGCTCCCGGTTAGTTCTTCCGTCGACTTCCATCCGGAGCAGGCGGGCGGGCTGGTCTTACAGGCAATCCGTCCCGTGGGGACGCGTAAAGGGGGTTATTTGTAGGCCTGCGGACAAAGGCGTTCCCCTTCTTCTTCTTCTTCTTCTTCTTCTTAAAGCCGCTCATCCCAGACCCAACGTTCGTTAAGTTTCCCTCCGCACTTGGCGCGGTGGGGATGAGGAGGAAGTCGCGTTCACTCGTCTTCATTCTCGGCGTCGTCGGCCAAGACGCGCAACCGCGAGGCCTCCTCCTCGGAGTCGCCTGGGGGTGGCTTGTTGGGCTTGATGCCCTCCATCTGGAGGTACCGCACGAGGGTCTTGGTCGCGCAGGTGACGCCGGCCTCGTGCTTGAGCTCAGCGTAGGAGACGGCGGGCTTCTCCTTGAGGACGCGCAGGAGGTTCTTGACGTCCCTGTCGGACAGGATGCGGGGGCGGCCAGGGCGCGGGCGGTCGCGACCGGCCTGCTGGAGGCGATAGCGGGTGACGATGCCCTTGATTGAGGAGACGGGGACCTCCTCCTTGAGCGAGATCTCCTTGAGGGACATGCCGAGCTCCGAGAGGACGGCGATGCGGGCGCGTTTCTCCGGGGAGTACTGTGGCTTACGGGGTTTGGGCTCCAGGGCGGCGCGGCGAGGCATGCTGGGCAAAGAAGGGCTGCTGGGCTGGGCCGAGTGCGGTAAATGAGCGGTGTGAGGAAGGAGGTCTGTTTCGGCACACGGAGAGGAGCAGAGCGGTGTCGCTGAAAGGAAAGGGGATGAGTTTGCTTGAAAGGGGACGTTGGGGTGATGAGCTTTTGGAGTGTGTGAGGATGAGAGGATGAGAGGGCGATGTTCGAATTTTCTTTTTTTTGTTTTTTTTTTCTTCCCTCCTTCCCACGGTCCGGGTGGCCGTCCCACTTTCTCGGGGTGGATCAGGGGTGTCGCATTCGGAGTAGTGGATACGAGGGCTCTTGGGGCGGGTCGCGCTTTTGTGTTGTCTGGGGAGGTCAGAGAGAGTTGTTTGTTTGTGTCTGGTTGGTGTGTGTCGGGTGAATAAGCAAGTTGGGGCAACCAGGCCTCGGTCAGAGGCGCTTGCCTTTTGGTTTGGGACCGCCGGTTTGTAGTGCAACACCACCACCGTTGACCTCCATCCTCCTTGCACATGACGGCCCTCTTGTACCCTCGACTTTCGCGGTCAGATGCGGCCTCAGACCACGGGTCGGGAGTGCTCGGCTAAACTCCGTATCAAGTCACCCGTCTGCCCACGATAACTCTAATCTCCGTCGCGTCAAATCCGCTAGCCAGCCAGCGAGCCAGCCCGTCAGCTCCCCCCCCTTTCCTCCAAGGTCCTCCTCCAAGGTCCTCCTCCAAGGAGGTCTAGTGGCAAAATCAACCATTGCGTGAAGTGGACTGACGCGTTGCTTATTACAGCCAACTTTGTGAGGAAAACAAGGGGGCAGTTGGGGAGACAGGGATACCTGCAATTACCCGTCGGAAAGCGCGTTTTCGACCGCATCCAGCTTTCTCTATACTAGTCCTGGTGCAGCCGTATCGTCATTTTCTCAACTGTTTCTCCATGTACCCTTGAGACTAGGTGCATGGGAAAAGAACCCTCCGTTTCAACACGCGCCATCTCCTTGGCCAGAGTCGGCAGATGTTCGCGACAAATGGCGTCCAAGAAGCCAGCGAGCACCACGTCCTACTGAGTTGAGTCTCACTCCTGTCGGCCAAAACTCACTTTGCTTCTTTGCGCAGCCTCTGTTGCCTAACCGCTGGGCTCGGTCAGCTATGGTTTCTTTTCCCGACCAACTCCTCCCGAGATGATGTAACCCCTGATAAAACCAAAGTCCGCTGCAGTAACTATATGTAATCACGTGATGTCCTTGGATGGAGAACATGAGTTCTGACGACTGATAGCTTTCTTATAGTTGGGTTCCTTTCTTTTCTCCTTTTGTCTTCTTTTTTTGCCTCTTTCCTCTCACCCTTTATCTTCCGAAAGGGGAGTAAATATTCAGTTCTTTTCTTTTTGCTGTCTATGGCCACCTCATGACCCCCCCGCTTGGACCTGGATTTCCTTCGCCGAAAGCTGGTTGAGACACCGGCCTCGGTCGAAGTAGTCACATCGGTTCAACACTATCGTCGTAGTCATATTGGGTCGATTATGGGCCTGCTTCAGGTTGTTTCCGTCGTGTGCCCATCAACTCAAGGGCGGGGGGTTCCTGTGATGACATTGGTCACTCTTCGTTGAGAAGATTGTGCGATGAGAATCAAAGGCAGATACCAAGGAAGGGTGAGAGAAGCGACAGCCGTTATCCCACCCAATGGCCAAAAAAAAAAAAAAAAATGGTCGAGGGGAGTACTTTTTGCCTTGCTGGTATGGAGACATCAACCGCCACCGCGTTGTATCATGGCCAATCCCTCGGTGGTTTTTCGAACAAAAGACATAGCTAGATGGTTCACGTACAAAGTCGACACAGATACTCATCAGGCGACATAGGTGCCTTTGTACGCCGTCGCCGTTACGATCGATGGACGCCTCGGGATTCTCAACTCCAAGGGGATGGAGCCTTGGCTCAACTAGTTAGTTGAGTCCCTACAATCAGGTCTTCGGGCGTATGTTACATGCTCTGATTGCCATCCGACCATGGAGCCCTCTTGAGCCGGTCAACGGCACACTTGGGCATGCGGTTGTGCCTCGGCAGACCCGGAAGTCAGAACACCACGGGCCAAGCTGGGTCAGTGTCATTAAACGTGTTCATTCTTCGTTATGTCTTTGTTTGTAATAAGCCTGTGCGGAATCCTGTCAACGAAGTGAGGTTCTCGAGGCGTTACGATATTCTCGACTACTCCTGTCACACTTCCCAGCTTTTACGAAGGACGCGTTTCATCCATCGCGTGCCACGTCTGTTATAACGGCCATAATGAACCATCGCGACTCTGGTCCCTCAATCACTTTTCCCCGCCTTCTTCTTCGTCTCCTCCTTGAACTTCTCAAAGTCCGCCTGCCTCTCCGGCGCCAGCTTCATGAACGGGATGTCGTCCTCCATGACCTGGCCCGCAACCCGTACCGGCTCAGCCGGCTGCAGACAAAACACTACCCGCGCCCACTTGTCGGTCGCGTTCTTCCACCCGTGCATCGTGCCCCGTTGGATCATGATGTCACCCTCTCCCAGCGTCCTCACGGCGCCGTCGTCGAGGTGGCACTCAACCTCGCCCTTGAGCACGATGCCGTAGTCGCACGACTCGGTGCGGTGCATCATGGGCTCCGTATGCGGACCAAAGTCAACGACGCGCAGCACGGAGCCCGAGGGCAGGTGCAGAGTCGGCATGCGCGGGTGATGCGGGCCGTACTCGGCTAGATCCTTGTCGTCATTCATCCTGACAGGCGACTCGGAGGTCGTGTAGCAGGTATGAAAGAGCATGTTGGGCAGAGGGTCCGGCGTTACTTCCAAGGGGAAGGCGTCCGAGTAGACGGCGCGGCCGTTGGCGTCGTGCGTGGTTATGTGCCGTCGGACAGGGCCTAGAGGGAGTTCCTCGGGAGCGGGGACAGCTCCAGAGGACGACATTATGCGTCGTACGTATAAGCGGTTGGGTGAAGAGACACACAAGACAACAGATCGGGCTGACCTGTGGAAGAAGCTGCCGGGGAGAGGAGCTTAATGACACAGGCTTGCTCTGAGAAAGAATCTCCTATTCCTTGAATCCTGATACAGTCTCTTGTTTGGGAAGTCGCCCAAGTGGGTTGTCTGTCTCACAGGTCAAGGCAGTGCTCGCTCCTCAGAAGCGGAAATGGATGAGGAGAAACAGGGAACGAAGGGGGCCTTTTTATGAATGCATTGGCTTCGGCGCACAGACTTTGGGTTCTCGCCGACAAAGCTTGAGGAGAAAGCCAAGGCTCTAGCTGGGCATACGTCTCTCCCGCATGACTTTTCGTATAGTTTCGCTTGGGTATTAGACACCGCTTCGAGGTGGATAACGCACCAAGCTGGCGTGGCTGCATACCGTGCTTACTTCCTGCCCTCGCGCTCTCTCCCCGAGTGTTTGGGGAGACGTGATGGTGGCTGGGGCAATCATGCTAGAGAGACTTATCTGCCGGTGCTAATCATGGCTCTTCTACTTATTCTACTGTGATTTGCGCACGCAAGGTCAGCGGGAATGTCCAAGACGTGCAGGAACCGTTAGGTGCATAACACACGGTCACCAAGTGGCGGCGGAGTGCCGATCTCGTGCAGTAGTGAGCCCGTAGGCTATCAACTCCGAGCATCGGGCATGAAGAGCTCGCCAATGATGACGGGGAGCTCGTAAGCAAGAATGGCTCGATCTTCGAGCGGCGACCCGTCACTACGTAGCTGTCTTGACTGCGTGCGTGGGTGGCTTCGGGTTTGATCACTCATACATAGCCTACGCCGACCGTGCTGGTTGTACCCGGTCAGCGTTTTAATATCTATTGGAGTTTGGTTGCATAATGGCTGCACTTTGCGCAGGACGCGTAGCAAACATGCAATGCTCGCTTTGTGCGACAGAACGTCAATAGCAGTGTTTGGTGCTTGGCAACCAGTCAAAGGTTAGGACCTAGTAGGGCATAGTCGGGCCTCGCTTTCTGGGTTAACATAGTAAGTCAATTTCGTGCTGTCAATTGCGGACATCATGACACAGTGAGAAACCAATGTAATTCAATGAATTGATATATGGCCTGCGCCAGGCCAACGAGCATTGATAGGCTGTTGCCGAAGCCGAAGCAATTTGTGGAACTGCAAGCCTATCAAAGCGCAATATCGTGGTTGGCTAGGTCTTTGATCTTATTCCGCCCGGCTGACGCAATGGTTTCGAGACCTGCGGTCGTCTGTTGCTTCGGGTTCTAGAAGGCCACTAGCAGAACAGCCTGCGCTCTTTAGAAACCCTGTTGTTCCCGAACATCCACTTGAAAGCGGACCTCCTCAAGGCATCCACCCCCGGTTCCATCTGCCTCGTACAACAGTCCTGCGAAGAGGGAGGCTCCCCGTAGGTTGCAGTCGAGGTCTTGATTCTTCTGACGCAACATATCGGGGGGTGGGGGGTTGCCGCCGGGACATCTTGCCGATGACACCGGTTCGATAAGAGCGGCGATTTCAGTGCGTCTGTCTCTGATGTCAAGCCTCTTGAAGCACACTTCGAACGACGAACAAACACTCATACACCGACAAACCACCGACTATCCTCGCCCGCTAGCTTGTTCTTTCTTCGGTAAGAGTTGAAGGCCATGAACATGGCAACCTCGGAGAGGTGCCGTCGGGACCGAGTCCCGAGCTGATAAGAAGATATCAACGATGGCATCCGACCTGACAATGGGTTTGCTGCTCTCAACCGCTGCCTTGGTTGGTGACATTTCCTGACCACCATTCCTCCCAGCCGACAACCTTTTTCGCCGTTCTCGCCTCTTCTGCTGCAAACACCATGGCGTGCGACCGAATGACTTCTTCGAGAGAACAACCGATGAATTCGTTTTGAGCCCTCTCTGCAGTCCAGCCGTGGTTCTTGACCCGATCAACCGCCAGGATGAACTGCCGCGCAAGGCCCTTATCGCCACCCCCATGGCCGGCGTCTTCGATGGTTGGATGATATGATTGAGTGGCGCCCGTATTGAAGTCATCAATGGTGATTGTACGAGCGTCGGCGTATACTTCGCCATCGACGCCGTATATGTGCGTATACCTCTCGCATATCTTCTTCGTGTGCGCGACCATGTGTAGCGTGGCAGATTTGGCCTGCTTGGGGGCTTCCGAATCTGTCGTAGTGGCATCGTCCCAGGTGATGGTCACAGTCTGATCGTCGCAAACATTGTTATCCGCTTCAAACACACAGCGTCCGAACCAATTTCGCGAAGCTACTACGTCCTTGGGGGTGGTCTCATCGTAGTCTTCGGCAAGTTTGGCAGCCAGGGCTTTGTTTCGTTCAAGTGCCGTAGGGAAATCCTCAATCTCCGGAAGCACGATGCTGACCGGCCAATCGGTATTCCCAGAACCGAGGCCGTGAAGGTCTGGGCCAAGGTAAACATTCTTAGCCGAGTACTTGCATCCTTCCTCACCCAGCGGACAAGTCAAACAGTTCGTTGCGTTCCCTGCCGCGGCGGGTTTTCGGGCTTTCCTAAATAGTTGCAGGGAGCCAGTAGACGATACGGTGGATGGAAGATGGGGGGTACCCTGCCCGGCTTTGACAGGAGCACTGAGAAGCCAGAGAAGCAGATCAATGTCATGACAGCTCTTGGTCAGAAGGCTCGGTGCCGTCGTTTTTTCATTTCGCCAGTTGCCGCGCACATAAGAGTGTGTAAAGTGCCACCAGCCCACTGGTTCGGTGTGCACGATTTTGATAATATCGCCAATGACACAGTCCTCGAGAAGGAGTTTGCGAAGAAGCATATTGTGAGGGCTGTAACGAAGAACATGACCAATCGAGAAGACGTTCTTAGGCTCCTGGCCGGCAGGTGGCTTGAGAGCATCGAACATGTCGAGACAATCGGCGAGGGATGTCGCCAGAGGCTTCTCGCACATGACATGCAGGCCCAAGGGGGCAAGTCCGACGACGACATCGCGGTGCATTTCGTCAAGAACACATATGAAAGCGGCATCGACGCCAGGCGGCACATCTTCACCGGCGGCCTCTCGCTCGCGACGGCTTGTTTCGTAGGCAATAAACTCGGTCCAGTCGGAAAACTGTTGTCCTTCCTGTGGATTGTCGGAACCCCAGATGTAGGTTCGGCCGAAGGTCTGCCGCTTATAGGCAATGGGTTCAGCTACAGCGGCAACGATACCGTTGCTGGAGGTCTCGGTCGCACGAGCGTAGGCCTGGCCGCGAGAACCAGCACCGATGATGAGTATACGAGGTGGTGAAGCGGACATGGCAGGCTTCTCTGGTGGTACTGGAGTTGGCTGCCCATCATGAGGGATCGCAACTGGTGAGTCCGACTTCTTGACGGACGACATGACGAACGAGCTTTCGGAGGAACTCAAGCCTTGGGCCTCCCTTGGCTTTGGCTTCCCAGGCCGTTAACCGATTGTTGACGGTTGTTTCAACTTGGTGAAAGCATGAAGGAGTGCAGATTGTGTATCCGGTGGCAGGAGCCCGGGTGGTTTTATCATAACGGCATCGAGGTAAATCGGCCAAGCGGGGTCTTGAGAGTCTTGGCCAATGACAAGGGTGCTATTTGAAGACGAGTCAGCATGGGGTGAGTTATGCTTTATCGGTCCTGATAAGGAATGTAAGGTACGTACTAGCTCGCCGTCCATGAGGCTTTTGGCGGTGAGAAGACGAATATCAAGTTGGAAGCTGCTGCTGGGATCACTAGATGCCTCGTGCATAACACATACCCCTGTTGATGTGTCAATGCTAGCAGGCCGCAGCCGAGCTTTTCCTGCTGCCGACAGCAACCCCCCACCTTCACGTCAGGTACCACCTTGGGGACAGAGGCTGCATGTTGCGAATGCCTTCCTTGCCGCAGCTTACAACGCAAAAACGTCCAGGGTGTGATCAAATCATCAGAAACTGAAGCATCCAGTCCAGATCACCATGGAATTTCTCAATCCTCTCAATCCTCTTAAGCCGAAGTCGCATACGCCCGAGATGCAGCCTGCGTCGGATGGTCCCCTCGTGTGGATTGACTGTGAAGTATGCTTCCTATTTCTTTTGGACATGTTGCTGCCCTAAGAACTGGCCTGTATTAACACACCCTCAGATGACCGGACTAGATCCCGATCAGGAAGAAATCATTGAGATTTTCTGCATAATCACCACCGGAAACCTGGAGGTCGTTGACCCTGAAGGTTGGGGCTGCGTGGTGCACCAGACCGAAGAGCGCATGGCACAGATGGACGCCTGGTGCACCCGGACGCACCGGGACAGCGGCTTGACAGAGGCGGTCATCAAGTCGACAATGACGCCGCAGCAGGCGGCGAATACCTTGCTTGAATATATCAAGAAACACATACCGGAGCCGAAGACAGCGCTGTTGGCGGGCAACAGCGTGCACGCAGACCGTTCGTTCCTCAATAAGCCGCCGTACCGCAAGGTGGTAGACTATCTGCATCACCGTATTCTCGATGTTAGCTCGCTAAAGGAGGCGGCGAGACGGTGGTGCCCACCACATATTGTGGATGGCGCTCCCGTAAAGCAGGGTCTTCACCAGGCCAAGGAAGATATTCTTGAGAGTATCGAGGAGGCAAAGTACTACAGAGAGACCATTTTCGGGTTAGCATGGAGACGGGGAGATGCCAGCGTGCAAGAGACGCCCATCAGCGAGCGTGATGAGGATGAAGCGTGGGCAGACAACCTGCTATAGCCGGGACCGGTGTGGTAAAAAGTCTATAGGTAACCCTCTCCTCCAAAGCAGCCGACGTGGAGATGAGTGCATCGCCAGCAAGGTGTTGCGGGATTGATGCCAGTGCAGCGTACATTATAGGTATTATTGACCACTCCCAAGATATACAGTGCATTGAGGGCTACACGCTGTCTGGAACGCGGTTAGTACTGCGCGTCGACTACTGTGCGAATGACGGAGCATGCACTACCGTAAACCCCCCCCCCCCCCCCCCACTTTGGCGAGTGAGGGGCTTCCTGAAGCTGCCCCTCCTTTGCTGTGAAGTGACCCCGCCCACGCCTGGCCTCAGACTGATATCACTGGTCCAAACACCGTGAAGCCACCCCCACCACGGCGAGCTCAGCTCAAGTGAATAGCATGTTGGGCCGTCGCCTTCTACCAAAAGCTGCCACAGTGTTCTGGGGTCTGCTCTCACCGCACCAAGCTTTCCTTGTCTGCCCCGCCCCCCGCCAGGTCTGTTACCGCTCCTACGCCGGTTCGCATGAGGGGATGAGGGAGATAGATACTAATACTAGTTAACAGCTCCCAACGTCCTCCTTTTCTCTCTTGCATCCTTAGACACTAACCCTTTGGAACCTCCACAACCTCAAATTGCACGGCATCATGGACGTCAAGACTGTTGATTTTAAGCCCTTCCAGGACCAGAAGCCCGGAACGTACGTCTAGCCCTTTTCGAAAATACCTCCCTCTTCCTCTCTCTCTGACGTTATTCCTACGTCCTCACGACTCCATCTCTCCCGACTTTTCGCGACCCCGCCATAGCTCCCTCCTTGTCTCATACCATAAGACACATCCATTTTACCGACCGGGAATCGCTAACAAATTCTGCAGGTCTGGTCTTCGCAAGAAGGTTACTGTCTTCCAGCAGCCTCACTACAGCGAGTCCTTCGTCACAAGCATTCTTCTGTCCATCCCCGAGGGCGTTGAAGGTAAACACGAACCCAAACCCACTCTTGCATTCCGTCATTGGCCTTCCTCCCGAAACTGACAGGTCGTCTTTCTAGGTTCTTTCCTCGTCATCGGTGGTGATGGCCGCTTCTGGAACCCCGAGGTCGTTCAATTGATCGCCAAGATTGGTGCCGCGTACGGCGTCAAGAAGTTGCTCATCGGCCAGAATGGCATCCTGTCCACGCCTGCTGCGAGCCATATCATCCGCAAGCGCAAGGCCACTGGTGGTATTCTTCTGACTGCCAGCCACAACCCCGGCGGTGTGTACCCTCCTAAGCACACTGATGCGCCAATTTGCGGCTAACCGATACTTCCTAACAGGTCCCAAGAACGACTTCGGCATCAAGTACAACCTTGCCAACGGTGGCCCCGCCCCCGAGTCCGTTACCAACAAGATCTACGAGGCCTCCAAGACCCTTACCTCCTACAAGATCGCCGACATCCCCGATGTCGACATCGCCACAATCGGCACCAAGACCTATGGCTCCCTCGAGGTTGAGGTCATCGACAGCACCACTGACTACGTCGACATGCTCAAGGACATCTTTGACTTTGACCTGATCAAGAAGTTCTTCCAGTCCCACCCAGACTTCAAGGTCCTCTTCGACGGTCTTCACGGCGTCACCGGCCCCTACGGAACCGCCATCTTCGAGAAGGAGCTTGGCCTCAAGGGCGCCACTCAGAACTGCGTGCCCAGCCCCGACTTCAACGGCGGCCACCCCGACCCCAACCTTACCTACGCCCACTCCCTTGTTGAAGTTGTTGACAAGAACAACATCCCCTTCGGTGCCGCCTCTGACGGTGACGGTGACCGCAACATGATTTACGGCGCCAACGCTTTCGTCTCTCCCGGCGACTCCCTGGCCATCATCGCCCACCACGCCAACCTGATTCCCTACTTCAAGAAGCAGGGTGTCTACGGCCTTGCCCGCTCTATGCCCACCTCTGGTGCCGTCGACCTGGTCGCCAAGAAGCAGGGCCTGAACTGCTACGAGGTCCCCACCGGCTGGAAGTTCTTCTGTGCCCTCTTTGATGCCGACAAGCTGTCCATCTGCGGTGAGGAGTCTTTTGGCACTGGAAGCAACCACATCCGCGAGAAGGATGGTCTTTGGGCTGTTATTGCCTGGTTGAACATCATCGCCGGTATCGGTGTGCAGAACCCCGACGTCACCCCCTCCATCAAGAAGATCCAGCATGACTTCTGGAACGAGTACGGCCGTACCTTCTTCACTCGCTACGACTACGAGGATGTCGACAGCGAGGGCGCCAACAAGGTCGTCGGTGTTCTCAAGGACCTCGTCGCCGACCCCAACTTCATCGGCAGCAAGGTTGGAGGTAAGCTTTCTCTCGACGCGAAATGTTTGAACCAAACACTAACCCCCACAGACCGCACCGTCACCGGCGCTGGCAACTTCTCCTACACCGACCTTGACGGTTCCGTCTCCTCCAACCAGGGTCTGTACGCCACTTTCTCTTCTGGCAGCCGCATAATCGTCCGCCTCTCTGGCACAGGTTCTTCCGGCGCTACCATCCGTCTGTACCTCGAGCAGCACAGCAGCGACCCCAAGACGTACGACCAGGACGCCCAGGACTTCCTCAAGCCTGAGATCCAGATGGCAACTGAGCTGCTCAAGTTCAAGGAGTTCATCGGCCGCGACGAGCCCGATGTCAAGACCTAAGCCATGTATAAAAAGAGAGGGGGTGGAGTAGTAAAAAATGGTACGCTTCGGTATAGAGAAGCCAGATATCCAAGTGACCTTGGATGATGTTACGATGGTACACGATTGCATTAAATTGAATCAATTCACCTAATCACGCAACGAAAACCGCCCAGATATTTCGTTCCAGCTGCTTGTCCAGCCAGCATTTGCTAAATTGTGTCATACGCTGCAGTTGAGCCACTCGTTGAATGCTACATCCCTCATTGTCCATTCTGTGGTAATGAGACTTTTTCTTCCATTCATAACGTCATCATATCATGATTCATAAGACATGAGGAAACAAAGAGAAGAAAAAAAGAAGAAAAAAAGAAAAGAAGGTAGACTTGGACTGGCAAAAGACTTAAAAACAAAGGGAAAACAAAGATACAAATCAAGTCCAAACCTGCCGGCGCTTCTGTCCTCTGACAAATCCAGTGCACGCACTCTTTCGGGCCCCTTTCTTCGAAAACCAACGTCTCCGCGACCATCTTGTGGGGGCAGGCTGCTGTCACGATGCTGTAAACGACAAGAGGGCGAACCTAGAACTGTGAAGAAGCTGCCTGTTGCTGACTGGCTTGGATTCCTCTCGAGGGTTCTAGCTGGGAGGGGGGGGGGGGGGGGGGCAAGGCTTGGGTTGGTGAGCTACTTGGAATCCTCGATGGCCTCACGAGAATCTGTGGATGGTTCCGAAACGGTGGAGGAAAACGCCTCGTGGAAGTGCGCGGCACCGTCCTCAGAAACAAAGTTGATCTCGAAGGCGCCGGCCTCGCCCTTGCGCTGGTTCTGCTGGCGGTAGCCCTTGCAGAAGACGTATAGCTGGACGTCCTTGAGCCAGACGCAGTGAGGGCTCTTGCGTCGGAGCCAGGTCGGCGAGGCCGACTGGTGCGTAACTGCGAGGCGCGTCCTTGTGAGTTTGAGGTGGCGATGGACAGGGCGTTGCGAGCAGCGAACAAGCATCTTTCTTGGGGAGGGAGTAGTGTTGAATAAGCAGAAGACATACCAAAGGCGGTCCAGACGGGACATAGACGGAGCTCGCCGTCCCAGACCGCGGCGTGGAGGCGGAAGCCCCGGGTCGCAATATCTTGGTAGACCATGAGGGAGTGCTTGAAGCCGTCGTCGATGATTTGCCTAATCATCCCGCGAGTTAGCGAGCGACAGCTGCCGACAGTGCCATATCGTCGAGGAGGCGCCTACGCTTGAAAGGTCTTCTTCTCTCCGGCGAGCTTGAATTCCCTGGGTTGCATGTTGGTGGTCATCGTGTTTCGGGCCTTCAGGGAGACGAAGGTGCAGTGGAATAGGGTCAGTTCTGAGGTGGTGGGTGTGTGTGTGTCAGCGACATCAAACTCTGACAGACAGCAGTTTTAAAGGGTATATAGCATACCCTCCCATGTCTTGAAGTAGAGGGAGGCCCAGAGCTTCGGCGCCCCCTGGGAGATACTCCAACGTTTGAGCTGCAGGCAGTTCTCTTCGCGCTGGAGGACGAGCTCGTGTGTGCCACGAAGGGAGAACCACGGGGCTCCTAGGTGGTAGGTCCTGAGCAGAATATAGGGCGTATGGTTGACGAGGTTGAGATACGCCATCAGCGCAAGGCGGTCTTCGTCGAAGGGTCTGGTAAGCAACATTAGCAGGCGCTCGCCCAGCGTGGGAGTGCCGTCACCGTACCTTCTGAAGAGCATCTTGGTTTCCTTTGGAATATTGAGTTGACCCCATGCTTGGAAAGGACCGCAAGCCTTCGACGTTTTGGTGTGCTTCAGGGCCGTTCGGGACGGCAGCGGCAGAGAAAATATCTGCTCGGCCCAGTGTATCGTCTAAGGGGAGTCCATGTCAGCACAGCCTCTTCATCTCAGCGAAAAGTGCGTACTGGATCTTGGGTTATCGGCATTAGTAAAGTCTCTGGTCGGACGACAGGCCCAACGTGGGCGGGTGTGGCTGGTATGGCATGTTAGTATAGAATTTACTAGGGGATCCAGAGGGCTCTCTTTACGCAGTCCTCTTGCTTCTCGCATCTCGATTATCCTTGTCCGTAACAACTCCAAGCCATTGAGATCGAAAGTGGGCGACCTGGACGATTGCTAGTACCTTATCGTCCCTTTGTTGACGGGAGTAATATGCAACCTACCTGATCAGGAGCTGTTTCAGGCAGTCTAGAAAGTGATTGTAAAGCACAAAACGCTGTGGAAGTGGGAGAGCCCCGACCTCCTGGGTCATCTTGTGGTACATCCTCCGCCACCGGATGTCCTTGCTCACGGTGCGGTCCTCATAGTATTCGGTAATATCGCGAAGTGTCCGGCTCAGACACGGGAGTATGATCTGAAGGTAGTTGAGAAGGATGGGAACCCGGTTGAAATGCATTTGCGATAGGTCGGCCAAGTCCCTGAGTAGCCGTGCACACTTCCGCATGCCCGCGACCAGAGCATTTATGGGGCCGCCATATGACTCGGGTAGGGCCATCCGGAGCCCTTCCAGGCTCACCGACACAATGTCAGCGCGTTCGGCCTCTAGGCAACAGCCTTGAAGCAGGCGGTAGTCGATCTTTTGAAGACTCTGTTCCATTTTGTCGATGCGTGGATTGATGGACAGGGCCTGAATGGCGGCGTTCTCCCTTCACGGCTCCATCGTCTAACGAACGAAGCAAGCTATTAGGACGGAGTAGTGGCTGTACCTCCCGCCTGCCGTTCCGCGCGGGGTCTTGGCGTGGATTTTTCGTATGTCTCCGATGCCCTCGTCCGGTTGAAACACCGTCCTCGAATAGTAGCTGAAGAACGCCGTGGGCGGCTCACAAGGGTTATGCCGATATACCGATTGGAGTTAGTGGCAGGAGAAATGCAGGCCAGAGGGAAGAGGAGAGGGAAAACGAGGAAAGGCCCGCCTCTTGTGCTCAACATGGTCTTCTATGCAGTCGCGACCGCTTAATGGGCGGGAAGCAGCTGCAACTGCGATTCGGAGCTGCAGGTCTCGATTTTGACGGCCGGTCAGGGAACAGACGCCACCACCCCGTCAAACCTTTGGGTGCCGTTTCCTGTGTTGGCTGTACGAACCGAGATACCGGTTGTTTACATCTGACGTGTACAGCGTCCTATGGTCTCTGTACATTGGTTACTAACGTTTTGTCTGATGTAAAGAGTGGCCACACTTCGTCGTGCGTTGTTGGGTAATTTAAACACACCATTGCTTTTTGGGGAACGACAGCGGCTGAGAGCGTGGTTCTGGAAGAAGCCAAACTTTTCTTGGAGTTCGGTTTCGAGGGAAGCCGAGTACCCTCGTCGGACACCAAGAGGGGAAACGTCACTGCATCATATCAATCAGAGTGAGCGGCGCGAGTGTCGCCAAGGCCAGACGGAAATAGCACGAACGGTAGGGATTCAACGCGGGAGCCCAGAGAAGTCTGGAAGAAAGGAGAGCAATGCATGCCCTGGCTAGACTACTGGCACAACAACATAGGTATGTGGGCTCAACACATATCGATCTGCCAACCGACTAGCCAGAGCTTGCCACGACTGCTAGGGATGACCCCATGGGCCTGTACGGCCCCCCTCTGCATGCATTAGGGACGCCCAACTTGGAACGACGGACGAATGAGGCCGGCTCGCAGCCGGCGGGGGTAGCGTCTGGCTAGTTAGCACATGCATGAACGATGCAGACAGGCAAAAGCAAAAAGGAAGAAAAAAAAAGGAAAAGAAAAAAGAAAGAGAATGAGAAAAAGAATATACGTACGGATATATGTGAATATTCACATGTTGTTAGCAGAGACTTCCGGGGAACCCATGGGAACAGTTGCGTCAGGTTACAAAAAGAGACCACTGACTGGCTGTGCTCGTGAATATAGAGTACGGAGGCAGCAGAGAAAATTATCTAGAGAGACAGTAGCACTAATCCAGTGGTATCGGCGCCGCATGCCGTTCTTGCTACGATCAATCTCCTTAAAAATCTCCGGTCTGGATTTGGGGACGGATGAACGAATTATGGGCTCGGACCGGAACCCGGGTCTAATAAACGGCATGGGTACTACCGGTACTTTATCAGCACCCTGACGGCGCTAAGGGGTAGCCAGTCCCCTTCTTCTCCGGCGCCATTCTCTAATGACAACAGCATCAAACTCATCAGTTGAAGCGGCTCACAACAATCTCATGGGTATTACTACGTAAAGGGTAACCCCCCTACGTGTACCTAATAGTGTGTGTGGCGCACGGACTGACAAGTGCTGTAGGTTGGGGACGCTGCTGACGCAACAGACTGGAGCAAGTCACGTGCACATAAGTTTCTACCGGTACTCCTCGCCGATCAGCTTGCGGTTATAATCGTACTAGGCCCTACCCCCTATGCTACAATTCTCCCCTACCTACTCTATCGCTGTCTTCACCTCGGTGTAAGCAGCAAGCTCGGCGCCCTACGTCTACTCCAACCCCATTGCAGCCAGCATACAAGCAAGATGGCATTTGACGATATAACGAGGATGAAGCTGCCGAATGGCAACTGGGTAACCGTCTGTGCGGCCCACAGTCAAGTCGTGTGTGGACGGTGCTGTGTCGACTTTAGCTTTGATCTAAATGACGGCGAATTCATCTCATCTGACGACGAAGGCATCTTTGGTTTTGACGCCTCTGGTCTCCTGCCCCGAGACGTCACCTTTAAGGCCGTGGCGAAGAGCAAGTTCGGCCGCGTGCCGCCGCGCCGACGAGGAAAGGCGACACCAACAAGGCATGCCGCCGGGGCGGGCAACGACATGAGCATGCCTCTCGGCGTAAAGGACGAGGTTCGCCGTCCGAACGACGCCTTGCCTTCACCTTGCGTCTCTGGTGACGTCTTCCCGACGCTCTTCTCCTGTCGAATGAAGCCCCTCGACGTTTTCCCGCCAGGCCAGGATCGCTTTTATCACCAGGATAACGATGGCGAGGTGTTGGTATTTGTCGACGGGGCTTGTTCCGGTAACGGGACCACGGTCGCGGTCGGAGGCTGCGGCTTCGTCTTCAATTCGCAGGAGGGTGGCTCTGTACGCTTCCCGCTCGAAGGGCTGGGCGTCGATGGGGAGCTCTACCCGATGACGAGCAACCGCGCCGAGCTTCGTGCCGCGCTGGGCGCGCTTAGCTTTCGTACATGGCACGGCGAGGGCGTGGAGAGGCTCGTCATCGCCACCGACTCGGAGTATGTTGCTACTGGCGCCACCCTTTGGGTTCGCGGTTGGGTGGAGAAGGGCTGGCGGTCAAGCAAGGGTAGGCCGGTGAAGAACCGTGATCTCTGGGAGGCCCTCCTACGGAGGGTCAAGGAGCTACGTGGGGGAGGTTGTGAGGTGTCCTTCTGGAGGATACCGCGTGAGTGGAATACAGAAGCCGACCGGGCGGCGAAGGAGGCAGCGGTGGCCGGTGTGCCCCACGACAATTGTGTTGACGTCGTTGGCTTTGCGGTGTTACAGTAGCCCTGTGCTCTTGCAAGACGAAGGCGCAACAAAAGGGGGGGTTATAGCCTCTCGAATGAATCGCTTCTACTGAACCGCCTCTCCGCAGCGCGTGGGAGATGTCAACCGCCTCTATCCGTAGCCTGCCGTGCTTTGTCGGCCGATGGTGCAAGGCGCAGAGAGTCCGTCCACCGGGGTGAGATGAGGTATTCTAGTGTAGTGCGAGGTAGGACGGTCATCCGAATTATGGACTTCCTGGACAGGGATCAGCAGACCATTCGTTCATTCGTCCGTCCGTCTGATACATGTACGGAAAGGCCCTCGCCCTCCAGACCCGAACGCGACCGGACATCCACATTGATTTCCACCCGATCGGCCGACCGCCCCGGCAATCCTCGGAGGTGGCTACAAGTGTGGCCGGTGGCTGCAGAGAATGTATTGCGCGTTGACTTGGGGAAGATGTCGTTGAGAGCGGCACTCTCAAGCATGTTCGAGTTTTAGAAACGGAATGGCGGTGATGGTAATGGCGGTTGGTTGACTGCTTATCTGCAGATCCGGGAACGTTAGTAGATGGAAGCCGATGAGAGAAGACTGCGGCGGCGGGCGTATATGAACTTGACGGCCATTGTTTCAAGCCATCGAACCGGGACGGGGCCGCGGAGGAATGAGAGTGCCGGCAACCTAAAGGTAGGCCGCTGGCTTGCCACTGGCAGTCCTCCGATAAACTCGAAAGGCACCTATCCATCCACATACACCCATTATATCACGTCTTGCATCGTCTGCACGCCATGTCATTCCTGCCTCGCAAACATACCGTGTCACGAAGGGGAGCACGGATGCGGTTTGAATCCTGAGCCACCAACCACGCCGCAGCAAGTGCCTGCTCTCACTACCAATCGGGCCTGGCGGCCCCAAATGGGGACCAGCCACAACCGTCCCCACCCTCTTCACCGGCGAGGGAGCCGGTGACTGATCAGGTTTACCTTGGCTCAAATCGCAGATCCAGCCGCGGAGCGGCAGGGCTAGAGGATTAACCAGGTAGTTAACACCCAAGCTCCCCCAAATCCGGGCCATACAGACTGGTCCATCCATCAATCATTGTTGGCATCGAGCACATCCGGTCTACATCGTTGTCCGTGCCAACTTGTATGTAATGTGCGTCAAGTAGTCGAGCAAATCTGCAGCGTCAAGGGTGGTGCTATCCTTACCCTGACCCCTAATTACATGGTTGATGAAATCAAGAAATCTCTAACCCTGGTCCCTGATCCCGGGCGAAGACCCCTATGACGAGGGCATGCCATACATATGGCATTTAGTAACATTCGACACTGCCATTATCGCATGGCCGTCGCCTTGCTTCATGAGTTCAGGTACACACACATCCACCTCACAAAGGCTGGATGGAACGCAACGGGAAAAAGTCATACAAGTTTGTCAACGTGAGCCGTCAAATGTCATTTAGTCCTAATCGTGGACAGTTCCGTTCCGCGAATGGCGGCATGACCAGCTCTCCTACGGATACGGGGCGGCTTAGAAGCGTCACCTGCCTCGTATCGCCCATCCTGCCGATCCTGAATAACGAGAAAAGCAACCCATTTCAATCCCATCATACACCGCCGAGCCCAAAGTTACAAGAAAAGTCCGAAAGATGTGCGGGAAAGCAACTCAACGCCACCCATTCGGACCGAGAAGCAACAGAAATACAGCAATCAAGAAGACTCATCCTCCTCTTGTTCGGCCTTCAGATTGACTAATTAGCTTCAGCACTACACAACCATGAAGCAAAGGGGGAGAGATGTCTTACGTTGTAGGCCTGCTTCTCGTCCTCGTAGCGCTTCTTGTCGGTGGCAGCCTTGGCCTCGTAAGGGGCACGCTGCTTGTCGTTGAGCGCCTTCCAGCGCTCACCGAGGATCTTGCCGACCTGGCCGAACGAGATGCCGGGGTTCTCCTCACGGACGTTCTCGCGCTGCTCGTTGGCGAAGAACATGTACGCGGACAAACCACGCTTGGGGGCGTTGGGGTCTAGACAGGTGTTAGCCATCTGCAAATGGCAGTGATGCATCTCAGCGCACGACACGGAACGAGTGCGTCAGCATGGGCGCCAGCGTCTCGATAGGAGCAGGGGACTAGTTTGGTGAACCTGTCCCCAGCCTGCATGATATCTGGACGACCACGACGTGACCTCACTTGGAGAAGTGTCTTTCGCGTGTGACGGGGAAAAACTTACCCTTCTTCGCGCGCTTCTTGTCGACCTTGCCGGCCGCGCCTCGCTTGGTGGAAGCCTTGGGCATTTTGAGTACCTGCATAACAAAAGGGTTAATCAGTCTGCTCCATGGTGAAGATGAAGCGAGATGATTGAGAAGTATGGGTATTGGGCTATGCGTTGGTTTGCGGCCTGACGGCTGAACCGAGTCGCAGCGTCGTGGCGCGAGGGACGTGCGATGATGAAAACGGGACGCTACGAAGCGGGACCCAGCGTGTAGGGTACTGAGGCGCAAATGCAATTGTGCTCCGCAACGCGAAGTAATTGCGATTTGAAGCTCAAAGTCGTCCAAGAGGGGTCGAAAAGCATACCTGAAGGTGGTTTTTGGAAGGTAGAGAGGGTGTTGTGGTTGAGGTGTTCTGGACGCGTCAAGCTCTTGTTAGCTGGGAAGCTCTTTGGACGATGTTGGGTGTAGATGAAGGGTGCTCGATAAGAGCTGGAGGGGTGCACGCCATGTTGAAAGCTCCTCGTCCGACTGCCACCACGATACCAACTTTAGAAAAAAAAGAGGTTTCTAGATGATGCTAATCGAGGCGACGAGCCCAAAATGGCGGCGACGTTGAAAACGGAAAAGTAGAGTGATGCGCATGTGGTTGCGGTGCTGATGGGGTTGGGCGATATGGGCGGACGGTACTCACAAGTTGAGTGCGCGTAGGCTACAATGTGTGGTATTGCGAGAGTGCGGATTGTATGAGAGGAGGATTTGGGTGGGAGATTTGTATGGGAAAAGAAGAGGGAGGGAGATTGTATGGGGGGAGGGCCAAGCAGCCTTTTTACTATGGGGGAGTGATTGTGCGGGAGCAACGCGCCTGGGTGCACTTGTTTTTGCTGGGAAGTCTAGGACTGGCAAAGACTGGCAAGGAAACTGGGGGGGCGTCTAAGGTGGGAGGGGGTCACCTTGGTCCTTCCTCCTCTTTTGCCTTGGATCAGCTCCCCTCTTGCCTGGCCTTGTCACTTCTTGTCTGGGAGTCTGGGTGTAGACACTGTCCGCCTGGAGGGTGGGCGGCTTGGCTGGCTGGCTGCTACCCGCTGGTACTCCAGCTGGCTGTTGAATGGCTATGGGTGGTGTCTGGGTAGGTATCCGTACAAGGGAAGGGGGCAAGGTCTGCGCACTGGCGTTGGTACTAACACCGGCAACACTGGGCATACGCACGCGGGCAGGAAAAAAAAAAAGAGGAGGAGGCAAGAGAGGGGAAGGCACAACAGGAAGGGAGTAGGGTGGGCACGCCTTCCCTCCCTGACTGTCGAGGAGTGTGGTGCCCCCCTTCCCTGTGCTCCAGCGTCCCTTCTCGTTTCCCTTTCCTAATCCTCCCATCACCCTCCAAGGCCCATTTCAAGTCTATGTACGTACGCCCGCGCCCACCCTCAAGGTCAAGGTAAAGGTAAAGTAAATGTACCTTGCTACGGACACTTCCAGGGAAAGTACCTTGCCTTCCTCCTTCTTACCCCCCCCTTCTTGCCGTCTGTTCGTCTCTCCAAGGGGGCAGACGACTGCACCACCAACCGGCCAGCGACGAATACTTTTACCCAAGTACCTCAGTACCTTGGCTAGACGGAACGATACCTGTCTAGTGTAGGTAATCTGCAGCGTGTGCCTGCCCGCACGCAACCAATCCCACACACCTTTCGTACTTTCAACTCCTACTCCTCTTCCTGCGCCAGAACCACACCCAGACCAAACCAGTTCGGGCCAGGCGCGCTCACACGACGCGAAATGCGAGCGCAGGAGCAACAGCAGCAACAGCAGCAACAGCAGCAACGGCAACGGCAAGCCGTCGTAGTGAGCAAGGCAGAGGAAGCAGGAGCGACACCCGGCATCAGATATGGAGCAGCAAGAAGAAAGAGAAGGGGCCTTCCTTCCTTGTCTGTTCATACTGCCTTCTCGCCACCCTCCTGCCTCCTTTCCTATGCCGTTGTCTTGTCTGTCTTTCCTTCCTACTTGCTCCTGCTACGGTCCGTCCTTGCTCCCTCGCTTCCGTCTATTTGGTTTGCCGCTGCTATTATTGTGCGGTACTGTATAGGTACAAGCGCGTGCGAAACTCCGCACCGAAGTACTGTACATACTCTTTGTACTCTTGTTTTACATCTAATATTCGCACTGTATACCTTTTTGGCGTGTTTCTCTTCCACTCCCGTTTGCTACCGGTACCTATCTACCTTTCTTTCGTGCCGGTCTTTTTCGCCCGCCCGAGATGATGTGGTGTGGTTTGCTCCTGAAGCATCTTGCGTCTTCCGTCAACCCCACCACTGGTCACACGGACCACCCTTCTCCCATCTCCCCAAGTCGTGCCATTGCCGAACCTGCAAGTCGTTTACCTATTCTTCTCGCCATTTCCACCTTGGACGTCGACCGGCACTTACATGGACTGAGAGCGGTTTCCACGCAAACCGTGTCGCTTCATCCAATAGAAACTCCACTTGTGGCTTCATCAAGAGGAGTTATCTATGCTTTGCACCAATATCTCCGTTACCCTGCCCTAGTCACACCCTCCTCTAGTGACCTCCCTCGAGCATTGGTAGCATGAAGATGGGATGCGGATACATCTAGGTTACAGAGAGCAGCGACAAGCCTGCTGCGACCGACTGGATTTGGTCCGAACCAGGCAATTCCTTCATCATATTCACCGGCGCTAAGGGCTACCCTACCTTCTATAGCCTGACTGGTAAGGTCTCAACCTACCAGTCGATATACCTCAACCTCAGGTAGTGTACTTTGCTCCCCTCTTGTCCTCAAGAAAGCCCGTGACGCACGGGGACAATGGAACTGAAGCTGGCCGTCAGCTTCGCCTCAGCCTCTCCAATTCGAGTACGGATAGGTACTGTCCATTTGGCACCCAATTGCCCAATGTGGCTCGCTTCCCTGTGGCAAATACGATGGGTGATCAGAGCTATGGTCCTGTGCTAGTGTGCAACACCTGCGCGATATCTGCAACTCCTGAACTGGATTCCTGGAACCTCACCACTTCCTACACCCAGAGCAAACTTTCTCCATGGTAGACACCAATGAGCAGTCTGTACACCGTACACACTAGGACGCTCATCATTTGCATCTTGCTGGGGGTTGTGGGCGTTGGCGACCTCATGTTGAAGATGTGGCCCTCTTAGCGCCTTGTGCTGACAAGCTTCTCGATTTTTTAATATGGTCACAAAACAATAAGGGCCCCGGCGGCTTGGACATGAGAGAGATGGATCACTGAGGGCTAAGTCGGCGAGGGAGAGATGCACAACACCACGGATATTCGTACAATAATTCACTTGGAGTACGGATACAACCCAGTACATTGTGCAAGTGTCACCCTAGGCATCGCTGCGGTTTCCCCCACACCAAAACACTATTCGACACACTTTGCGGCATTCCCCTTTCCAAAAATGGCTTGTCCCATCATCATTACTCCCAAGCTCCCAAGCACACCAAACCCGCTGCACCATCGGCACAAAGTTCGTTCCCGACAAACGCACTATGCCTGGCTCAGTGGCTCGCCCTGGGTTGCCAGTCCACGCGGTCAGGCTGGATATACACGGCTAAACCCATGTTGGCCTTCCTATGCGGTGTAGATTGCGACACCATTAGCTGAGTTCCGGCGCGAAGCCAACCCATCAGCTCCGACAAGCCTTGGACAACTCCTTGAAAGCTTACGGGAGCAGCAGCATGGTGCAACCCCATGTGGACCCCAGCCATCGAGGGTCCAGTTCGTCAGGTTCTCGCCGCTCGGTATGATACACGGGCCCCCGAATCTGCAGGGAAACAAAGACTTTCGCCATCTGGTGGCACCCAAGGCCCGTCGGCGGTTTGACAAGGACGACTCGTGAGGCAGCAAGCTACCGGGCGGATAAGCCTCTGTTGCTCGGGGAGATGTGACAATGGAACGATGGCCGGCTGTCGCGAAGACTGATGGGGATGGCATTTGAACTGGTCGATGGCCGAAACGGATCCTGGGTACTTGATTCATGCATACTCCTCATGTACCGTCGTACGAGATTGCCATGTATTGCTACTTTGACTAATGTACCGCTAATCTGGTCTACCGAATCCGGAATGAGCCTGGGTTCGCCCAATGACTCCACTCGCAGCTCTCGGTACACTCTGGACTCCCCGACCTCCCTTTTCAGGTCGACTTGTCTCCTTGTCACTCTCGCCCCTCACCGGAGAAGAGTGATACGTGCGGGACGTCTTCGAATCACTAACAAAAGATGACACAAATTGTCTAAGCCCCTCAGTGACTGCGTACGAGCGAAAGCACTGACAGTCAAACATCAACTGGTGGATGCTGAAGATGCCACAATACGATCATGACCTGCGCCCGCCTTTCAAAGCCGTTTCCAAATAGAGATTTTTTTCGGGCTGGATAACTGATGCAGCAATCGACTGTCAATGGCAGGCGCACTTGAGTCGTTTCTACGCAGCACGATATCAAGACAGTGCAACACTCGGCATCTAGGAAGAGTGGGAATACTTTGTCATGCGCACAAAATATGCGGGTATGTCCTGTACCTCGAGGCACCAGACGAGGTGATGCCTGCAAGACAATCGGAGGTAGCCCCCCGCACCAATGCACCCAATGCGCATCCACCCAAGACGCCCAATGCAGGCCTCCTCTTGCAAATTCATGAGCCGGCGCAGCTTGTGGCCATGGGGCCAGACGGTGTCTGCCGGTCTGTGCCAGTAGGAGGGCGTTTCCTCACCATTCCAGATAGGCTGCCGGGCCCAGCCATTTTGCTTTTTGCCTGCTTGTTCCCTGTCTGGCCGGGCTGGCGCTGAGAAGGCAGTAGTAACGGACGGGCGAACAAAGTGCGCAAAGTACCCACGACTTGCAGCGGATACACGGAGCCTGGCAATCTGGCTGGTCGAGTTGCCTTTGCCAATGCTGATACTGTGCTGTACCTGATGCTCCCCCGGCAATTTTCGCCCTCCCTGACCTCAGACTTCGCACTCTCACTCACACACGCCCCCTCCCAAGCCAAACATCCAAGTTGCTCACACCAGACGACATGCACACGAATGTACCATACATGGAGAGTGTAGCTCAGCGCCAGCCAGCTCCACTCCCTCCTGGGTCTCCTGGCTGATCCGGAGGAGCAGGCACAGAGCTCGACTGTCGGGGAGCTTTGCACTCCCCCCAACTTTCAATCCTAGTTTCCCTCCTTCTCTCCTCTTCTTTACACACTCGGCACCTATTGATTATCTAATCCTCAAGAGCGTGTTCTTCGCGACGTGGCGCGAATGGCTCAGACATGCGCGTATCACCTGTCCACGTGAACGCGCAGGACGGCTCACAGTATACAAGCCATGGATAAACATTGGGATAGGATACTTTCTCGCTGCGAATGCACCTTCCCTTCTTATTACTCTCCTTGATGGTTATTGAAACGCGTTTCATCAAAGATATATTACCCTTTGGCCACTTCAGAGTTTTTACAGAGAGCGTCTAATGCCGGTAGGCTGACTCTACAGAGCTGAAGCATTGGCCACAGAAGCAGATCTCGGAGCCAAGTTCCCACGTGATCGCTGCTCGGCATCATCGCGGTGGTCATAGCGCATGGACGCACTAAGTTCTATTTGTCTTTATTAGAGCTTCTAAGTGGTGAGGATCCTGTGGAGACCGGCAGGGGCCGAAGGCACCGCGAGCTTGATGACCAAACGCGACCCTTCAAGTGCCAGCCGGTACGGTGCCTGTGTGCAGTGCCAAAGGATATCTCTAATCCATCTCCCGCAGGGCAGGGCAGGTACCGCGATCTGGGGATCCCATCTGGCCCGGCAAGCCTGCCCACAATCCGGTCATCATTTGCCTGTGAGGGGGCCGTACCTGCGTACGTACCGTGCATCGTGGGTTTGAGGCGAGTGTTCCTCTCTGCCGAGGTACTATTTGCTCAACCATAGGCCACTCTCTGGCGAATCGTCCAAGCTACATTGTTCCAAACGTCATTTGCCGTTATGGACATCCTAGATTTTCGACATGATTCAAGCTGGAGTTGTTTGTCATAAAACATATCACAGGCAAACCCATGCCCGCTTCCAACCCGCACTCACCGCTCTCGTGACGTAAGGGCATGGCCATGCCTCTCGTGTATTATATCGATCTCAGGCCTTCTCCAACACCCTTTCGACTCATGGGCATTGTTGTCAGGACTCATCCTCAGGGTCCAGTACGATATCCGTCAGTGCTTCATCCCTTGTCCAATCGATGCCACTGCCGACCACTATGGCGCTGGCTGTACCTTTCATGACCTTCCAACGCTGTCTACTGGCTTTGACCTCGGCTTGAAGCCTATACATATCCCCCTGCACGCCGAAGTCGCCGGTTTCGCCCATTCGCCTGGCCTCCGCCTCCTCAGTCAACCGGAGAATTTCGGCCGTGAGCTCGACGTTCCGCCGACCTACCCGCAAGCTCTCGGCCTCGACTTCCGTGAGCTCGTTGATGGCAGCACGGATGTCAGAAGAGGTTTCCGAGAGCGTGACCGAAGTGGCGTCGCGAGCACGAATGTGAGGGAGGAGGTCACTGGGTGCTATCAGCTCTCGTCCTAAGTGTACCTGCATATACAGGAGTGAGATGCGAAGATGCAACCAACGTTTCTATGGGTGTGGATTGCGTGCTACTATGGACCGCTTTGAGAATTGGGTTGGCGGTCATGACGCTATCCGTAATGTCGTTCCTCAGCAGCCATCCGGCACGCGCCTTGGCCGCATCTTGCTGTGCCTGTCGCACATTCTCCTCGGTGTTTTGTAAGAATGGCTCTGTAGAGTCGTAAGAAAAGATCGAATCAAGTGATTTCGTGCGCGGATTGGGTACCTGGGGTGTATCTCTGCTGTGCTTCAATGAGGGCAACCTTGACTTCGAGGTCGCGAAGTTCGTCGTAGAGCGCCAGAACGCGACGTTCGTCATTCGATAGTAGTAGAGCAGGCGCATCAACGGCTTGCTCTGCCGTCCTCTGGCTTTGTGGTTCATCCATGGTCGAGATCATAGTTTGGCATCAGATGGCGAGAACTAGCATGATCGAGACCGGTGCCCGATTCTCAACGCCCCGCCCTTCGGAGCGCATACGCGACTCAATAATTGGAATCCGGCGTGTGCTGGTTTCGGTTCCGGGCGGGGAGCCGGCGAGTGAGCTTAGGTTGTGGCTAGGGAGACTTTGTCAGCCTCTTTCGATGACGCTATCTTATCTGTGGCTAGTGATCGGCAAACAACCCAATCATATGACGGCAAGAATCACGAGGCTACATCACGCTATACCTCCCCGAGCCTTTTAGCGGGTTTGTAGTCTGCACGAGCTCCGAAGGGTGCCTCAGCGGTCATATGTGGAAGCCCGGCGAACGAACCTTCGCTCGCGCCTTGCAACAGCCATTCATACATGCGCCTTTTCGTCCGGCGCGTGTTGAAGCTCACAGCAACGACGAGCAAACGGAGCAGGCGGGAACGACACACTCAAACCTCGCATCAACCTGGCACGACGTGGCCAGCATCATCGCATAGTCCCAAGATACATACCCCAGTAATCTTACCGCGAAGGCCAAACGGCGGGCTAGCTATCGCAGCTTCCGCTTGGAGATGTCCCGGTGATGGCGACGCAGGTGTTGATAGCCCATACGGGCCAGCGCCTGCAAGTGGACACCACGCAGTTCTCAGCGTATGTGATCGCTGCTTGCGATTCCAAGATGGGGGAGTGGGAGAACTGACTGGTCGTCATAGGCTCGATGATTTCAAGGCCTGGATCGCAAGGCAGACGTCGATTCCGGCGCATCAAACTGTTGCTTTGACTGCCCAAGGACGAAGTGTTAAGCTGCAGACTCTTCACCAGGAAGTATGGCCCTTCTCCTTCCTCCATTAGATCAAGGACCTTGCTGACCGTTGCGCAGACGGAGATCTACATCTACGACATCCGTTTATCGCAACCCAACCCTTCTGGTGCCGCCTCTTCTCTCAAGTCCGAACTGCCGCTTCCTAAGCGATACCCCGTCCCGAACGCCCCCAACTACATCGGCAACATCCGCGTATTGTCCGAATGGCAAGCTTTGTACAAGGAGCGCCAGGCATGGGCCCTCGGCATCGTCCAGGACTCTACCCAGATGGCAACCGAGATCCAGCAACGATACGGCGAGATGGACGTCATTATCAAGTGCTTGGACGCGGCAGTAGCCAATCTGGAGATTAGTGTAAAGCAGATTGAGCCCAAGTACGCCGAGCTAAAGAAGTGGTTGCAGCCCGCGCTGGAGGAGTACGAGCAGCTCGCTGAAAACTGGGAGCACTACCTCACGATTGCGCGCAGCGTGCCCATCTCTGCTGCCATGGTGCGCTTCATGACATCGCGGGACCTCAAGAAGAAGCAGACGACTCTGGAAGACCTGATCGAGCATGATACGGCGAAGAAGTCGGGACGGTTGGCCCCGACGTCTTTGAAAAAGTTCAGTACCAAGGCCGCAGATTTGGACAAGGCTGCGGACAAGATGTATGGGGCACTGGAGCAGCTGATTGGGGACTTTGATAACCTAGTCGGTCGATCTGCGTTATCCCATAGCGGCGAGGCGGCGCAACTACTCCAGGACCTCGAAGCTGTGGCCAAAAAGATCGAAACAGACTACCAAATCGTGCTGGAGTATTCCGACACGCAGCCCGACGTCTTACAGGCATCGCGGACGGCGGAGAACCACACGTCGCGACTAATCCCCAGCTTGAAGAAGCGCGCCGCGGAGATGGACGATATGCTGCACTATGTCACGCAGGCGCGAAACGCCATTGCCTCCGATTGCATCGATTTTATGCGCAACATCACTGAGATTACCACGTTACACAGCAGCGTTAAGAATCAGATTAGTCTCCTGAATCAGGCTGAAGACGACATGACGACATTCGACTATTTGCGTCTTATTCACCAGCTCCCGTACATGTACGCCTCCTTCGTCTCCGAAGCGGTGCGACGCCGTGAGTGGTCTGATAAGATCAAGACGGATTCGTCGACGCTCGCCAACGAGATGGCGCTATTTCAAGACGAGGAGTCGAAGAGGCGGAGAAAATGGCACAAGATGGTCGGTAGCATGTACGGCCCTGACAAGGCTGAAGCCAATATCTTAGGTCTTGAGGTCAACTTGCTTGGCGAGGAAGAGACGTGGCCAAACATGGCCAAGCGAGATTTGGAAGAATTCTTGGAGCATCTCCAAAGACAACATGCAGAGGTCAACATCATTGACGACGTGGCAAAGCTGGTCAACGAGCTGAGCAGCCCCACGAAGCAACAGGCGAAGAGATTGAAGGCCTTCAAGAATGGGAGTGTTCATGAGGCTGCCCTTGGACGAAGCGGCTTGATGATCCGCGGTGATGACGACCTGCTTCGCAGCCTTCAGGATGACAAGTCGAAACTCAAAAACAAGCTAAGGACGGCGGAGAGCCGGGTGCGAAGGTTGGAAGACTTGCTCCACAGGCAAAGTGCGGCGTCTCGGCCAGGCATCGGAGGTCTATTCGGTCACGAAAGAAACGATTCATCGAACTCGATCAAGTCAAATGCCCCTTTGGAGGATAACCGTCGTTCGACAGGCAACTCGGATGCACTATTACAGCGGATCCAACAATTGGAAAATGAATTGAACAGTCGTCGATCATCCGACAACTCAGAAGCCTTGACCCAGAGAATACGGCAGCTTGAAGATGAACTCAATGACCGCCCGACACCCGGTAATTCGGATGCTCATGCGCAGAGAATTCAACAGCTTGAAAGTGAACTCAAGGCAGAGAAAGAAAAGTGCGCAGCGTTCGAAAGAGATCTTGGCGTCCGGGCTACCGCCCACGACGACGTCAAGGGCCGGATGGAGGAGGCGAACTCGACCAAAAAGGAACTCCTCGAGAATATGGAGGCCTTACAGCGGGAATTTGTCGAAGAGCGAAAGTCACTCGAGAATGAGATTAAGGGACTCAAGGCCCGCATCGAAGACACCGAAGATGAAATTGAAAACTTTGGCGAATCCAGAGAGAACGAGAAGGCCACTTACATTGAGCGGATGCATGACCTGGAGGCGGAGATCGAAAGGTTGCAAAAGGAACAGAAGGACGAGGCGCTCAAGACCCAAGGCCAGATTGAATTCCTGCGCAACGAGGCCCGACTCCAGAGGGAGCAAAACGAGTCTCTCGAAAAACAACTCCAGACGGCGAACGACGAGGCAAAGAGGTTAGCCAAGACTCTGAGTTCCACTCAGGAGACCGTCGAGGTACAGCTGAAGGCACTTCGTGATGTTCACGAGCAACTGGCTCCAAACGACGACACAACCGAGGATCTTAACGATCTCATTGATGCGCTTGTATACCGAGCAACAGATGTCGCAGCCAAGATGAGGACTCTGGAGAGTGACAGATCGATAATCAGGACAGGCCTTGAGCAAGCAGAGGAGCATATCAAGGCCCTGAAGGCTGATATCTCCGAAACAAAGGAAAAGCTGGCCTCCGAGGAGGACTGCTCCAGGCATCTGAGAGAGAACTTGAACGAGGAGAAGGCCAAGGTGGCTGCTCTCGAGCAAGAGGCTGCCGAGAACCGAGAGCAGTTAGACCAACTCCGCGCCAAGATTGCCGATGGCGAAACGGGCTCAGAAAGCCTCCGAAAGAAGCTGGACGAAGAAGAAGAACGGATCAGCTCCATCACCGAGGAACTCGCGTCCCGGCAATCCCAAGTCGGTAGTTTGGAAGAGGAGCTTCGGCTCTACAAGGAAAAGATGGACAAGTCTCAAGCCAAGCTCACGGCTGTTCTTGGTCACTTCGAGTCTAGATCTGAGAAGACTAAGGATCTGACACAGCGTCTCTACTCCCAGAACGACAGACTCTGTCGACTTTTGGAGCGATTGGGTTTCGCGGTCACCCGCCAAGACTCAACGATGATGATACAGAAGGTCCCGAGGTCTGAGAGAACCACCATGAGTCAGGTTCACAATGCCAATGACCCATCGGATCCTGGACAATCCATGATGCGTCGCTCTGGGATGGTTGCCGGTCGCACTTTGGCCGATAGCACCGACCTCGCGCTATTGTACTGGATGAATGACGCCGAAGATCCCGACGCTGAGACGGACAAGTACGAGGCCTTCATGACACGTCTGGGCAGCTTCGACATGGACCTATTTGCCGAGACGGTCTACAGGCGTGTCAAGGACGTCGAACATCTCGCTCGGAAACTTCAGCGAGAGGCGCGCGCTTACAGGGAGAAGGCACATACCCTGCAGCGGGACTCGCATGAGAAGATTGCCTTCAAGCATTTCAAGGAAGGGGATCTCGCTTTATTCCTCCCCACAAGAAACCAAACAGCTGGTGCCTGGGCTGCGTTCAACGTGGGCTTTCCTCACTACTTTCTGCGAGAGACTGACGCGCATCGTCTCCGCTCGCGTGAATGGCTTGTCGCTCGCATCACTCGCATACAGGAGCGTGTGGTGGATCTTTCGAAGAGCCTGCACAAGCAATTACCAGATAACGACTCGGTCAATGGCGAGGAGGACGACAACCCGTTCCAGCTCTCAGACGGCTTGCGATGGTATCTGATCGATGCACACGAGGATAAGCCGGGTGCCCCTGCCACACCTGGGTTGGGCAAGTCTACAATCGCGACAAACAATGTCGAGGCTATGGCGGATATGCATACTCATGCGCAGGCAAGCGGCAAAGACAAGCAGCGGGCAAATCCTCACAGCATCGAGGGCGTCAGCAAGGCGCTGAGCAAGAGTCTCGAGAGTCGTCGGAGCAGTTCCAACTCGAAGAAGGCTCTCCCTTTCGCCGTGGGTGGAGGTGCGGCGCTGCTCAAGGGCAATGCTTTGGGCAGCGAAACCAACTCACTCCGCGCAGCTGCGCCGGATACTCCGACAGAAACGAGCCCGCCCGAGGACGGGCCGCTTGGGTCATTGGCTAATGGGCACGAGCATTCGGGACAGGCTGGGCAAGCTTCGAGCCCGCCTGCGGAAGAGGGTCACCCCACGCAGGCGGGTGATGAGAGGTCCAGGTCGCCGGAGGTACGAAACACGATCGATTCCCTCGTCGGTCCTTAGACTCCCTTATCTCTGTGCTCTCTCCCCTGGGCTACACTCACTGATTCCGATCAGAAAGCTCGATCGCCCTCAAAACTGCAGCGCCAGAGGAGCGGGGCCAGCGTTGAGAGTCCAATGAAAAGGAGTGTCGTATGGGACTCTCTGTGGAGCGTTGACTTGAGCTTTGAGAGCAGCGGCAGTGGCGGCGCCAAGAGGAAGCGGGAGGGGCAAGATAGGGGGTGAGGCTTTCAGAGAATGGGTAAGGGGACCAGGCCGGCAATGTAAAAGCATTACACATAACACCCGCAGCCTGTCTAATAAGGGGGTGTCCTGGAGTATCTGCTTTCTTTGCTTTCAGCACGTTGGAACAATTCACCAGCTGCAAGCTAAAGGCTACCCAGATGCCTGAGCTTGTGTAGTGTTTGTTGTACGATGTCCTTTGTATCGGTATTTCCTTTGAGCTATTTTGGGGCCAAGCCGTGGAGGTTGTCTGGTTCATAATTATGGCTGTGCACTTCGGGTCATCTCCTTCTGATCAAGGACCGCCAACGACGGCGATAGTGCTCCTGCAGCTCCATTTAGAACATATGTTTTCAGGGTATGGAGAGTGCGGGTCTCTGTTAGAGAATGGCAAAGCGGGCGCAGCGCGATGGGGGATTTTTCTATTCTTGTTTTGGTTTTGATTGGAATAAGAAGAGAGACGAATGGACTTGGACGAGATTGCATGGCGTGGTTTGGGATGGGATAGATGACCTTACCGATATCTTTTTGGACATTACTCAATGGTCGTGCTTCACTCATTGTTCCCTACTTCATGGTGATCTGCGGATTCGGTAACACAAGTTGCTGGGCTTGACGTAGGTCAACTGAACTTGGTGTAATAACATAGAACTCTCTGATTATCACTTTAGTGCAAACGGCACAATGCTTGGTTTCGGTTATTCAATCATTCCATATAGAAGACTCCTTATATGGATCTCTTTTGGCGATGAACACTTATCTATGTTCACCATGACTTGTCCTAAGGTCTTAGTCTGGAGCCTTTGGTCCATTGTCTGTTCAAATAGCCCCCTTGAACAACACATATTCAAAGTCCCTTTGTGCATTTTTGGCAACTGGATTGGGTCTACAACGATGCGTTCTGGTGAGTATAATGCAGATTCAATCCAGTAGTTGGCATGTGCTATTTTGATATATGCAGCACGGGGGTGACAGGCTGACAACGTGGAAGATATTGCCACACTTCACAAAGGCTATCACGTCACTCTTGTTGTCATGTTTTGTTCGTTCTAGTAATTCCTCCGACTTGTGTTGATGGTTTTTCTCATCAAAGAAACACTCGCGCAAAAGGATGGCAACGATGCCCCGCTCCGAAGTAATATTTGGGGGCTCGGCTACTTATGTGCCTGCAAACTCCATCATATCGACTCGAAGTTGCGACTGTCGTCATACTTCTCAAGCTCTTCTTTTTCAACTGTCAATATCACAGTCCACCGAAACCAAAGCAGCATGGACAATAACCAGACCAACGCATATCAAAATCCTCCCGGTCATTGGGTCCGACCTCGAACATTACCATCGATCACAGAAATTCTCGGGTGCTGCCCGGACTACGGAGACCCCCAGCTGGCTTATAGGATCCTTGGCCTACATTCGACGCAGCGAACACCGATAACTCATAGACCGGATCCAGTGGACTTTACAACGTGGTGCAACACAGTGGCTCAGTCAATCTACGAATCGGCGGAATTCTCGAAACCGGGCTCCGTTCAGCAACGACGCTTCCTCGAGGCGAACAGACGGTTTCTGTCGGCGATACACAGTCTGGCGGGCATACGGCGGCCCGAACACGAAGACTGGAGACCGGATAAGAAGATTCAGATCGCCCCCTGGAGCAACGCTGGCAGATGCGATGACGCTCCGCTTGATCTGGAGGCGTCCAGCTGGGACTACATGGTTGTGGTTCCGCTACCGTACAATGATTTCCAGCAGACTTACGGATCGATCAAAGTGGCAAAAAGGGAACAGATGGAGCGAGACAAGGAGAGGAAACGAAGAGCATGGCTGGCAACAAGGCATATGATCGCCGATGCGGAAGAACGAGAGCTGCACGACTTAAGGGACGTTTTTTCCTGCTATGGCTTCTGTGCCGAACCTGTATTTCGATTCCCTCAGGATAAGCTAGCTAACCAGAAGCGGGCTCTTAGCCACACCTTTTACGCCGGCCCGGTTCCAAGAGACGAGAATAGCTTTTGGTACGCACTCGCGTAAGTATGGCCCCATACCTCCTACGTAGGTTAGGCTGACCAGCGTTCTTCTTAGGATCCTCGTCGAGGACGATCCAGTTGATGCGAAGTGGATCAAGGGAAAAGTTGCCGAATGGTTCTACGAGAATCTAACAAATCCATCGTCAGAGAGATACCGAATGTATCATCACTTACTCTCAGACTCGGTGGATAGTGTGGACCCGGACGACACGGATGATTGGGGTGCGCTCGACATCCTCCGTTGTTTGAATAGAAACGAAGTGATGGCGGGAATGCCGAGGGAAGCTGGGTTCCACGAGATGCTTCATCTCGTGGCGGACTACTTTGACACTGAAGTTATCACATTCACCCGTCCCTCATATCCAAGTACATACAACACTGATAACCAGGGTATGAAGCAGTGGCTACAGAGACACCCATATGGCATGAGGGTGTACGGGAAGCAGTCGTCTCAGGAAAACTACCGGCTGTGGAGGTTCCAGGACAGAAAGCAGATCCTTCTCGTGACAGATCCTGAGCTGCGGTACTTCCAACCCGTCGTGCGCGTGACACCCGAACTGCCCCGGTACGAGGCCGGCGACAGGTCGTTTCACGGGCACTACATCAGCACGGTGTCGTTCGATGTCTGGGACCGCCACATGCCGATGCCATGGTGGCCCGGGTTCCAGTGGGACGCCCAGAGCGACAAATGGACTGGGGACTGGGAGCACGACCACCTGCGCAGTGCCATTTCTGTGCATCAGAAGCTGGAAATGAAGCCGAGCGACATCACGACTGGCGTGATCATGCACTCGGTCAACCACAGCCAACTGATGGGGCCGTACTTCAAGTTCGAGCCGCACAACGTGGCTCCCGCTCTCAGACCATTGTACAACCTGAGGACCTCGTACGTTGGCGACGCGGACTCTAACAGGAAGGCCTTGGTGCGGTGGAACAAAGCATCGCGGCTCAGGTGGACGTCTGCGAAACCCCAAGCCGGTCACCCATTGGATCCTCCGCCGGCCGTCCGGGACTTCGATGCCCGGATCGGCTCGGATCGGCTTCTTCCCCGGTTTCCATCCAAGAGAGAGTGGAATGCAATGGCGAGCGGAGGCCGAGACTATCTACACCAACACTACATGGGACGTCACGAGAGTGGTGGATGGCTGAGGTTAGAAGCAACGGAAACGGAGAATAGGCGTCCGGATTGGCATGATAACAAGAGGAGAAGGAAAGTGGCGGGCAGCACTTAGCTGGCAGGAGAGTTGAGGGATGGGAAAAAGCTTGTATACGCTTTTTATGAAAGATCTAATATGTGATGCTCTGCTGATGCTAGTCGTGACATACAATATATGCACGGCCTAGCCACGCGAACCGAAGCCCAGTCTCGAGGCTCATACTGTAGGGCCACGTGCACAACCGACATGTCCTGAGCATGGGTTGATTTACAATGATGATTTATGGATGTAACAAAACATGGGTTTGGGGATATCAAGATCCGGGTGGATGTAAAGCTAACAAGCAGTATGCATAAGCTCGTAGCATGGTTGAATCCGAGGGGCAGGACTTCAACGGGAAACCGTGATTTTGCCGGACTACCAAGGAACACATTGGTGTCGGGCCTTACTATGAGAAGTTGATGATGTCAAAGAGGCCTGGTTTTCATAAAGATCGAATCAAAGTGGTATTCGCTCCCATTTTACATAGTATCCTTCAAGTTCCATATTACACAAGACATTGTTTCCAAAGGCCCTCAGACACGCTCATCATTCTGGTTCTGGCTGTATTCCCGAACAATTTCCTCCGAGCCATCATCCGGGTCGGTAATGCCAGTCATTTTGGTAACGATAACAGCTGCGAAAAGATCACCGCTGACGTTGGTGGCGGTACGGAATCGGTCAATAAACCAATCAATGGCGACGACGACACCATACATTCCACTGGGCGGGATGCCGACGCTCGACGAGATCATTACGGTCAAGACCAGAGAAGAACTGGGAATGGGCGTAGTTCCGATGGAAGCCAGGGTCGACAGCAACAGGATGATGATGTAGTCCGCAGCGTTGAGTACGTGACCCTGCGTTTGGGCGAGGAACACGACAACGATGGGGAAGTAAATGGCGGTTCCGTCCATGTTCACGAGACAACCCAGTGGGATGGCGAACTTGTTGACGGTCTCAGGAATCTTGAGCTTTTCACGGCAGCAGCGCATGGTGACGGAAAGAGTAGCGGCCGAGGAAGCGGTACCCCAAGCCGTCAACCAAGCAGGAGAGCAGCTGAACCACAACGTGTAAGGGTTCTGGCGCGTGAAGGCGAAGAAGATGATGGGGAGGATGACGAAGAGGTGCAAGAACATTGAGCTGATGGCTCCACCCATCAGGATACCTAGGTTGACACCAATATCGTTGATGTCAAGCTTGAACATGTTGGGCAGGATGAGGAAGAAGACACCGATAGGGGCAAGCTTGATGAGGAAGGTAATGACAATCATGATGAGGGTCTCTATCTCACGGGCTGCCTTGATGATAGCCGAGCGACCACCGCGATCGTCAATGAGGTAGCCGACGATGACGGCAGTGACGAGGACGGCGAGGAGATGGTCCGAGGCGAGGGCATCGACAACATTGGCTGGGATCAGGGAGTTGAATAGCTCGGTGACGGTGGCTGGGATGTCTTGGTCCTTGCGCGACTCGTACGACTCTTGGTCCTTAGCGGACATGCTATCCGTGGCGATGGACTCGGCCGAGGCGACAGTCATGAGGCGGGCCCAGACTTGGGATGTCATGATGATGGAGTGAACGATGGCCAGGATGGTGGTAATGACGTAGTATCCAATGGTCCATTTGGCAAGCTTGGCGCCGCCGTTGGAGATTTCCTTGAGCTTCTGAACAGCAAGAATCATGGCCGTCACGATGAGGGGCAGGACTAGAGGTCGTGTCAGTTTGTGACACTCTGGAGTGGATACTAGAAAGACGATCTCTGGGAGTATGTGGGCGAAGGAAAAAAACATACCGACAGCCTTGAGGGACCGCAGCCAGAGGTTGCCGGGGATAATGAGGATGGTCGTCGCCGCATCAGGGATATCTGGGTGGACGCTCTTGACACCCAGACCGATGGCAACAGCGATGGCGGCGGCGATGATGATCTGAACGGCAGAGCCTGGCTCGATGACGGGGTGCCACCACGGCTTCTTCTCATGGACAGATTCGTTCGAGGTGACGGAGGACTGCTGGGCCTGCTCCAAAGAGGAGTTTTCCTGGACGGCCTTGTCGGCGGTACCGTACTCCGACTTCTCCATCGTTGGCCGTTCTCGTGAGCTGCAGCACACACAACTTTGGTGGATCAGGAAAAGAGACTTGGAGATGCAGGGTTGGGAAAGAGGTAGATAGGAGCCCTCAGCAAGATCACTGCCACTCTGAGAAGGGAGAGGGGAGGAGAAGAGGGGAACTTCGACCCGGATCGGCGGCCCTTCAAGAGGGATATATACGGGAAGACAGCCGGGTTCGTGGGTCAGCTTGATCTCATGGGTTGCACCGAGAAGTCTTGTCTATCTATCAGCATGTGGCGATCCGGGACCGGCTGACTGCGGTATAAAACCAAATTCAGGTACATCTTCCTGAAGAAAGGGGTTGAGCTGGAGACAGCCCGCATGGGTGGTCTGCTGGTTTGGCTGGGAGGTACCGCCAGGAAGGATTTCACCGAAATAGGGCTCGGCACGTATATCTATCTTGCCAAGGATGAAATCCGAACTGAGAGGGCACACCGGTTGGTATCTTCTACGCGAAAGGAAGGTGTAAGAGGATCCATTTCGTCCCCGCGCTACCCATCAATCGCTCTCCACTTGGGAGCAGGCCACTTGGGGTGGCTTGGCCGATCCCTCGTTCTGGACTGGCAATTCCTCGTCTGCCTGTCTGCCTTGGGCATTCGTACACACACACATGAGAATGAGACATTGGAATGCGCACAAAACTGGCTTGGGGCTCGTGGGACGAGAGACAAAGTGAGATAGCGAGGATGTGGGCTGTGTGCGTACGTGACTGGGGCCACCAGTGGTCCGGAAAGGGGGGAGTGGGTGTGGGTGATAGGAGTCTTTCTGGGATCCAAAGACTCTCGTCGGAAGGAAGCGGGAATGGGCACACTCACCCGTGGACACCAGACACCAGACGACAAGTCAAGAGATAGGGAGATGGGGACTGAGTGGTCGAGTTAGTTCGATGCGTCGGGGGGTTCGTCTGGGCATTGGCCTTGGCTCGAAAAACAACTTGGCGGTGATGACAGGGCTTTCATGGCGGAATGCCACCAAACGAGTGAGGAAGGTCGTCTCCCAATGGCATGCTGCTGCCGTCCGCCGTCCGCCGTCCGCCCGCCGCCCGCCGCTATCGTCGGGATAAAGGGCAGGGTGTTACAGGATTCGTGCGAAGAGCCTCATTCTAGGCTTTGCAACTTTGCAGTCACGACAGGCCGCTTATATGATCAACTTGACATGCAACTAATATCTTGGATTAGCTGGGAAACTTCAGACGAGTTCTCCATCGAAAAAGTTTCGCTCTTGAAGATCCACTCCGTAGGGCACTGAGCAGTTCATCGTCTCCCCATATAGTGACAGAAGAGAATGACAAGGCAAATGGCTGCCCAGACTCCAGTTTTTCGTCACGTCACCAGTTAGCCAGAAGACCCGTGAGTGGAAGGTTTTGAGGTTCCAAGACTATCCAAGGCTCGATACCAAGAAGCCAGAAAACAAGATGCTCATTTGGCAGCGTCAGACATGACTCTCGGGCGAGGTTGGCGTGGGGTCGCCGCCCGCTTATTGGTCTGAAGCGGCGGATGCCTTGCCGCGCCGAGCATTGCCGAGAGGCTCGGCGGGAGCTACGAAAACGAGGGTCGGGGATGGGCTCCGAAATTTGAGCATGGGGGTAGGGGGGGGGGGGGGGGAATCAGTAGACAAACGTCTTGGCCGCGGCGGCTGGGGCCTTTCACTTCATTTGACTTTCCGCCTAATGCTCACTCCGCCCCGGATACTAGGGGTTCCGCTTGAAGCCGCAGGAAAGCGCCGCAGGTCTCGTGGGCTGATCGACCGACATGCTGTCAATTGCTCCCTGTTCTCGCGGCAGGGAGCGCTTTCTTCGCATTCCGTTACCCTTTGTCGATTCAAAGAAGATACACACCAGTCAAGGTTTCTCAAATATTGCATAGAGTGCAACAGGATGCAAGGTACTTATGTCGGCAGCCGCGCGCCCAGGAAGCCTTGGTATGCAATGGCTTGGATATAGCTCGGGGGCTCGAAGACGCCCGAGTCTGGCCACTGTCATTTAAATGCTCACTACGGTGGCCCTGTTTACTGGTACTTTGAGCAGATAAGACGTTTTTTCTTGGGGTTTCCAATGCCTGTTTCTTGTTTCTTGTCCTGCTCGATAAAAGTCTTGTCTATCTCTCTGATGGTGGAGTTGGGTGTGATAAGGTCCTAATTTGACGCACGCAGCTCATTTTTTGGGGGGGCCAAGTACGGAGAGTGGGCATTGGAACCGACTGATACTCTGTTCTCCTATCGTTAGGACTGGGGAGGGGACTCCTGTGTTGTTCAGTCTTCCGCTTGGGTGGTCTCGAGGACTTCTGTGGCTGCGCGGACCCTGGGTTTCTTGTATGACCACACGGACCCTTGATCTTGCACTGACGGGCTGTAAAGGTGAAGCCATTGAGCAAAATTTACCTCATGACAAAATGGATACCAAGGCTGGTACTGTTGACATAAAGAGGTTGTTGATCGCCAACCGTCAGCTATAGTATCTGAACCTGCAGCGTCTCATACAATTTTTGGAGACTCATCCATATCCATCAGTGAGTACCATAAGAGCCAAGGAAAGATTTATTTTTCTAGCGTGCTTTGAAGTGAATGGCGCTGGAAGAGTCCGGCGGGAAGAACCTAGAAGGCTAGAACCGTGATCATGTCTGCGAACACACAATTTCAGAGCCAAAGCATAAATCAGCATGCCACTCACGGCTTCCGTCTCGCAAACGATCTATTGCAAAATTCTATAGAGTAAAACCAAGCTAAGAAGACGAAAGCCATCCTTTAAGTAGGGTGCTTAATCCAATAAGCGCCAGACAAGATCTAGGTTAATAAGCCCTGCAAATCAACGAGACTGTTCTGAAGTCCATGGGTTTCCGTGACTAGCTTGTGGCGCTGATTAGTCTCCGTATCCGGCTCAGAACCAATGCGAAGCAAGTCATCGTCAGAGAATCGAGAGACGGTGGTTGGGCAGAAAATTCCTGGCAGCGGCACCAAGATGTGACGCTCAACAACCTGCTTGCAAACATTATCTATTAAAGTCTTCATTGCAACCTATCGAAATATGAGAAATTTCATTAGGAAGAATGGGGGAATCAGCTACCTTGTAATAGGCATTCAACCCAGCCAGAGCTTCTTCACAAGCCTGGTGATTCATATTGACACATATTTTAGGCTGTACCGCATCTACAAGCGAGTCATAGTTGTCTGGGGAAGACTTAAGGTCCAATCTTGATTTCAAAGGAGCCATGGGATGTATAGCATCATTGAGAGCCGACTTATGGTAGTCTCTGCGAGCTTCCTGGATGTTGTCGGTATAGTAATGGTTGTACATAATGGGATGCCTTTCTTCGTCAAGCAATATCTTGCGCAACTCTTCAAAAGCGTGAGTTCTGAACTTTTTCAACCGTTTTTGAAAAGTCATGGCCAGTTCTCCTCGCAAGCGATCTTCGGAGAAGAGTGTAGAAGCCGCCTGGTGAACCCATTCGCAGACGCTGTCCATAAATCCAGAAAGGTGGTCCTCTGAAATTCGGCGCCATGGACCTGACTGTTCGTGAAAAAGTTCGGCAAGCAAAACATGACTGTAATTACCAGGAAGCTCCCGGCCCCTTGTCTGTAAATAGGTCTGTAGCCGTTAGTCACTACTCAATAACATTGAAGCGAAGGACATACTTGCTGAATCCACATAATCATCTTGTCTTTTGTAACTATGAGCTGCGCCTTTGCATCGTCACTGGATTTACATGCCTCAAGATTTGGATCATTCACTGTTGCTCGTTTATGACCCCGACTACGCATTGGTGCGGCAAACTGGCCGTGCTGTTGATGAATAAGAGAACGGAGACAGGTGCCATTCTTTTTGTCGAAAAAGTGCACATCTGAGCTGTGGTAATTTCCTTCCAGGGCGGCCTGAGCAAGCGTGTAGTACCGCATGCTCAAATGTATCATAAATGAGCGGATGTCACCGAGAGACCGGCGCTCTGGTCCAATCGCCTCGAGTTCGTCCTCTTTTGATGCTAGAACCCGCTGAATCTCAACCTTGACCTTCGGTAGCTCTTTTTCAAGGTGTTCATATAATAGCTGTTGCAAGAAGATCTTGAGGTTTTCTATACCGACACGGGCCATATCAAGGTCTTCAGCTTTCCAAGCAGGCAAGGCGAAGAACTGTGTTTCCAGCTCAGAGCGGTTCAGCTTCGCACCCAAGGCCTTCATCTCTGCAGGGCTTGGATTCTTGAGCAGGAAGAAACCAAGCTTTAACTTGATAGAATCTTGATTCTTTGCAGTTTTAGCAAGCTTATCTTCGTTGCCGGCGTTGATGAGATCGGGCTTCGTGATAATCCCACAGTACGTTGACCGTTTGGGTCGTATTCGCGGGCGATCTTAATGATGCCTTGATTTGCGATATCGTTACTAGCTTAAACAACAGTGAGAATAATAGTTCTGGTGCTATACAAGTAGCTCCTGACCATGTCATGAACAGTTCCGATATCTTCTTCGGACTGTTCGTCGTTAGAGACAGAGATGAGGCCAGGAAGGTCGACGACACTGAGTTGTAGTCCGGTTGGACCTGTGACTTCGATGCGGAGGGCATCTGAAGCGAAGGCCGGATCGTTCGACGAATCGGTAAAACCGCGGAGGCCCATAAGCTTAGATACCTCTTCAATGGTGACTGGGAGGTCCGAGAGGTCTTCTTTCATCTCACGCTCATAGTTGCGAAGGGTTTGTGCCACATCGAAGGAACGACCAGAATGAGGACGAATGAAGGCCTTCGCTTTCAATGGCTCATTGGAATGGCGTAGGACAATCTCTGTCGGAAACCGAGTGCAGAGCCCTGCTTCTCGAGGAAACGGTATACCAGTGATTCCCTCGAGGACAGAGCTTTTCCCAGCAGACTGATCACCGCAAACAACCAGCTGAGGCAAGTTAACCAGATCGCCAATGCCGCTGGCTCGGATCTTTTCAATCTGGTTAAGACGGTGGACAGACCGTTTAGACCGCAAGCCATTAGACCGCAAGCCATTAGTTGGGACTGTAGTTCTGATAGGACCCGATACTGCGATTTTGAAGGTTGGTCTTATGGGCTTGAACAAATCAGGGTAGATTAATGTGGAAGAAGATGGTTTCAATTGACAATCGTGATAAACGATGTCATACCCACAAATAACAAACACAAGAATAGTTGCAACAGGTTATTTATCAACAGGAATTTTGGCATTTGAACCCACTCTCTCATGTGAAAACGCATGTGAAAAACACATGTTGCAGAACTTATTTTTGTCTTAGTAACTCCCCCACCCTATATCCGAACCACCCCCACATCCGAACCACCATCATCACCACCATCGCCACCACTATCACCACTTATTTCACCATCTCTGCCGCCCACCCATATGCAACTTTCGGCCTCGCTAGGTAATTCGGATGCCCTGGATTCATCCGGACTATCTATATTGCCAGCATCCGGACTCTGCGCCCAGATTATATCCTCTATAGTGGCAAAGGTGCTGTTAGGTAATAGGCAGACCTTTTTCCTCTTACGTAACTATATATCATCTAACTAGGCCTGTAATAAGTTAACTTACCTCTCTAGAAGGGCTGCTCTAGATACCTACTCATTATATCCCTTTTACACCTTTCTAGATAGGTAACAGATAGTATAAGTATCTAACCTATCCTTACCTAGCTAAGTTAACTAGTGTAATTAATACTATAGATTAGCAGATTAATAAGGGGTTAACTATAGGATAATAGATTTAGCTTTATCTTACTATTAGCTACTAGACTACTAGCTAGCCTAGCTAGCCTAGCTAGCCTACTAGGCCTTAGTAACTAGTAGGTTAGATAGAAGGTGCCTTCTAGATACTAGCTATAACCTAGTAGCCCTCTAGCTACTCTTAATATTAATATCTATAATAAATACCTTATAGGCCTTAAAATAACACTCTAGAAATACCTTTTTACTAGTAATAGTTAAATCTATTACCTAGTTATCTAGATATCTAACCCTCTAGTAATAGGCCTACTTTAATAGGCTAAAAACAGCTATATCTAGAGGCTAAAGGACAGTAAAGGTATATAGCAGTAGAAATAATAAATAGATATAATACTACTAGTATTTTTATATAAAGTTAATAGTTATATAGCTATAATACCTATTAAGAACTAGTAGTCTAGCCTCCTCTAGCTAGGTAGGCCTAGTATATAGGATAAAGACCTCCTCTAGCTATTTAAGGGTAGTATTATTAGTTATCTAGCTATTATCTATTACTATAAATTACTAAGCCCTATATCTAGATAGGTTAGATAGGTTAGATATAAACCACTAGGCCTAAAGTAACTTACCTTTATATATAAGTAAAGGGGGTAAGGAGCTCTTAGTAGCAGATATACACTTAATAATAAATACCTATACCTAAGATCCTAGCTACTTTTTCTAGATATATTATAATATTATAAAGCCTAATATTAGCCTATTAACTCCCTTACCCTCTATAATACTAGTCTTATCTATATTCTATCTATTAGATAGATAAATACCTTAGATAGTAGAGATACTACTAAGGTAATAAAAAAAATCCTAGATAACCTTAAGGGAATAGGCTGCCTATTACTAGGTATTAATTACTTTAGATTAGAGGGTTCTAATAAATAGATTTTACTATATAAATTAGGCTATTTATTTCCTCCCTATAAAAGGATACCTATTACCTATTATATACTTTACTAGGCCTTTTACTTATTAATAGGTAATCTGCCTGCTAAAGGAAGCTTAGAGGGATATATAAGCAGCTAGATTATCCTCCTAGGCTTAGGATAAGTGCTACCTATCTTTAAAAGCAGTATTCCTACTTTACTTACTAAAGTATTAATACTAAAGTGTTATATATAGTATACCCTATCTATAAGCAGTAGCCTAGAGGCTATACTGCCTAGACTGTATATCTAGGAGGGCCTATTAGAGCTTATCTTTAGAATATTACTTTATAATAGGTTAAAGAAGGTATCCTAAAAAAATAGCGTTATTTAGTAATAAATAGTAATTGTTATAATAGTTTAAAAAAGGTAGTAGTGTTAATAAAGGAGGGGAAATATGGGAATTTCGGGTGGTTTGGATGCAGGGGTGGTTCGGATATAGGGTGGGGGAGTTAGTCAGTCCTGTCCCAGACTCATCTATGGCGATGATGCGATCAGAATTGAGTTAAGGTTTGATTTAATTAGAAACATGCAGATGAAAGGAAAATTTGTACTTACCGTCATTAGGGCATGGAATATGATCTTCCGGAAATGTATTAGGTCCATCATACGTCGACGCATATGCATGTATGCAGGTAACTCTGATATAAATTGGTTTGCATGTCAAAACAGCAAGCCTGAAACGAAACGCCTCAACAATTTCAACCATATCCCATGTGATTATATTACATCTTGAAGACATCGGTAATAAACCTAATTTTGGTGGTAGCATGCAGCTTTGTACTGTTGCTGTTAGCAATGGGCCCTCAAAGAAGACGAGTGAGTCTCGCAAGGATGTGTCATGTCATGAAGATAGAAATCTGTTCATAGATTCTGGCAAGAAAAGCCACATATCAATACAAGACCAAGAGGACTGACATGGAGTAATATACATAGTATAAATCAAATTTCGCGACTCGCGATCGTTTGAAGTCTTCCTTAACAAACCAATTTCGTTGGGGCCAGGTGCCTGATATTAGGAGAAGAAGCTCCAAAGTAAGGTTTGGGATGGTCTATATACGCCCACGTGATTTTATTCCATTATCATTATCATCACTACGCACCTTTTCCCACAGTCTGTGTTGGATACATCTAATGAGTTCCATGTGATACGTTTGCCACCGAGATACTGGGTTCTGTAACCGTTCATGCTGTTATAATGACCATTCACCCAATCATTACCTGACTTGGCTTCGTAAACAACAGCCATATCCATTTGTTTGCCTCTTAAGCCGGACTGTCTGGTCTAGGATAGCAATTCGAGATTTTCAATCTTTTCTTGAATGTACTAAAGGCTGAAGATGGTGAAGATAAGGGATCGTGGCACATGCCGGAAAGATGCTTCAAAAGTCTAAAAAATTGCTTATCAGAAAAGCTTCTCTCATCGGCTTAATTGAGTGGCTAGAGTTAAAAACTTATTGCCTACGCAACACTACCTAATCAGGATGTGGATCAGTTTAACACTACTTCACCATGGCAGCCTTTTTCTTTTCTTTTTCTTTGTAAGAAAAAACTTTGATTGTCAGGCCACCTTCTACCTAGTAAGCCTGTTCCTGAGACTAGCCTATCCCAACGTCTGTGAATAATGTTTGAGACATTGAGGCTTGTCTACCCTAGGCCCTCTGGCCTTTACATGTGAACAATGCCTTGAGTAGGCGATGCCGCTGAATCGTTGAAAAGAAGCTCATGCTACTGCACAGCAAGGCAAAAGGCAGCCAATATTTTCCTTTATAAGGAAGTGACTTCAAAAACAGAGTTCCCAGGCATTTGCAAGATTGCGTCAATTTCGTAAAGCCGCAGGCGCTGACGTAAAGACGGACAGATAGCCGACAGTGACGCCACTACTCCAATCTTCTTTTAACATGTTTCTGCCGCAAACATGGTCCAATTGTAGTAGAAAGGATTCATCAAGGACCTTAGACTCGACTGAGCTGGTTTAGCTTTCACTAGCTTTAACCTGGCCCTCACTCATAACCAACGCTCAACTTGAGCGAACTTGAGATCTTCTCGACTAGCTTTCACTTTCTATATCATCCAATCTTGATCTATGCTCCCAATAATCTAATGATTGATCCATGTTTTTATTGCATCTTTCACATGGTCGCCATGAGGCCGAAGCGCCCCGAAGCTGGCGTGGTTTATTCTCATTGGTCCGGAACATAGGCCTTAGAGTTAAAAAACGGGTCTCTTTCTCTCCTTGAAACAGGTAATTGGACAAGATAACCTAGATCTCTATGATCAAGTTCCGACGTGTGATGGAATAATAACGTATTGTTTTCGTCCTCAATAAGTTCAACATTATATAACGCTGTTGTGGCCTCTTTTTTCATCAAAAGAATAATAAAAAGAACCCGCATTAGTAGTACACATCCATTGTGTGTGAAAGTCTCTCACGAACTGGTGAGCAGGGATTGCCCTTCCTCTCTTCGGGGATGCATTAGTCAAAGGAAAGTCTTCTCATCGTGGATGGCTTTGCCTCCATGAGGCTATGAATAAATGCTCTACCAGAATAGAAGGGTCTCCTTTACTGTGGGTTATGCTCGTGGGCCAGCCACCCAAAACATTCTCTTGGCAACGCCAGTACATCCCCGATCTTCCGTGGAGCCCCGAGCGATACCAGCTCGTCGACCGTAAGCTCTTGACCCGTTAACCATGAGATGTTGTCCATCATAACTTGAGTAAATGCGAAAGGACCTGTGGTAGCCATTACGTCTTCAAAAGTGGTTGGGGAAACCTCGGACGTTGAGCTGAGCAGTATTTGGAGGTTGTTTGTTACTCGGTCAGCCAGCGTTTACATAGCTGGATGTCCCGGATTAACCAGTACTATGTACTGGAAAAGATGTACTGAGTACGGAGAGCCGTTTCAGATGGGCTTCTTGTGGTGGTCGTTCTCTATGCCAATAACCATGTTGATGGAGTCGAGGAACTTTTCTGGGATCCACTTTGACAGGGGCTGGCGCGGATAGACGTCGATGTCGGCCCAGACACCGCCCTCGCGGAGCAGAATGAGATATCGCAAGAAGTCAGCCTTGACAATTTGGTCTTTCATGCTCGTGAAGAGGTCTGAACTGGTTACTGTTGGTATCTGTGATGCACTCGTAGCGCCACCCAGGGTTGGCAATCCTCCAATGATGGGGGAAGCCGACTGTGCGCTCGATCGGGTCTTGCGAGCCCTCCTTCCAGCTCTGCCAAATCTTGGTCGGGAACGATATTGAGAGGAGCGATTGCGACGATGGTGACAACGACGCCTGATCGGCATGGTGTGCAAACGGTTGGCGGAGCATGTTTGTTTGAGCGTCAAAATGCGACGCTGAATTGACCAGCAGCCCGACCAGCACGAAGCCGGCCAGTAGTGCAACTATACTATGTAGCCCTGCCAGGTATCGCTGATGGCAGCATCTTAAACATAGTGCTGTGGCTGTCAAAACAAAGGCATGATGGTTGCAGTTTGGTGGTGCCCTCAGAAATGAACAACGAGAAGGGAGAATGAAAGAAAGGGATATCGTACAACAGGCAACTATGATATCAAGCATCGCGACAGGAGTTGAATCCCATGCTCCGTTCGAATTGGGAGGGCCTGTGGCATAACCGCCTAGGCTAGGGAACCACTGTTGGAAGCGACCCGTGGTCCTGGAACCAAACAGCCGATTATACAACAGTTCATGTGTTTTAGACGCGCAACAGCGAATCAACGCAATCAGGAAATGTACGGAGACTAGGAACCGGCGTTACATACTAATTGCAAACGACACATTGCCAGCACACTACCCGCAGCCATATCGTGCTCCACCAGGCTGTCATGCGGACATACAAGAACAAGAGGGAGTTACATCGGGGAGTTCCTCTCAATATGTATGTTGGAATTTTCCTTTCCTCATGCCAATTGTCATGAACTGCCAATCAATCGAATTATAACAGTTGTCGGCGTGCAATGAATAGCCTTTCTTTAACTCTCTATTCTTCTTTGAGTGATGCGAGTAATGAGTGAAACACCACATGATATAGCCCCTGAAAGACCACCTGACAGGTGCTGGATGAAGCTATCGTGGCAAGCAGCTACTCCATCCTTTAACAACAGCATGTTAACCTGCTTGGATCCAGAAACAGTTTATAGGTGTGTCACTGACAAGTCATTCTTGAGTGTAACCAGTTTCATCGAGGAGAATCTACATGACATGAGGTCTGTGTTTAAACCTAAGAAGACACAAAAACAGCAGTACAGGTGCTTGTGACATTACTTTAGCTATGTAAAAGGTGTCCCCCATCAATGAAACAAGCAATGCAGTTTCTGTGACAAAGCTCATAGCGTCTATGAGCTCCGTCACATGAAGTGCAGGAAGATAAGAACTTCTCCTTGCCGGCAGCTGACTTGAGAACAAATTCCATCAGATGTGACCATTCTCCTATACAATGGTTCAAAGAGGTGTATTTGTGGATTCGTCTCCAGGCTCTCGATACTCACTGAAATACGCCGCTTTAAGGGTGACAGCAAGGATAAGCCAGTGTAATAGTAGCTAGGCTAAATGAGGGTGGCAAGGTAAGTCAATACGGTTCGGATTGTCGAATGATATTTCAGGCAGTTATTGTCGCACGAAGCAACTGCCCCACCCCCCCTTGACCGGGAACGGCACGCCGTAAGTTTACCTTTGGAGCGAAAGGCAATCATTCCCGTGGACAATATGGGGAGCCGGGTACAAAAACATGAGACGAGTGGATCGGGTGCTACATACTACGGCAAAGATTGCATATCCAAAATGCCGGTAACCGGGTGTGACGGAATGCGCAATGCAGATCAATCAAAGCATGCTGTCGCTTGCGCTCATCTGTAACAACAATCACACAGTCTATGACAACCATGTCGTGCTTAGCGGCCGAGTCATTATGTCCTGGGTTTCCAAATTAGGGTTCAGACTCGTCTGAAATAGTGCCCCGGTGCCATGGTGCGCATTTTTGAGGGCCTTAGTGACAGGTCGCTATTGACACGAGTTTGGACGATCAGCTTCTTGGGACAAAAATCATCTAATCTTGCCCAAAGTCCGATCCGTGAAAACCTACCAGAGGTGACCGGGTGAAGAAAAGATTTGTCTATATTTGTGCCTTAAAGCTTGTCAAAGAAGCTTGATGAATGAACTACGATTGAAACCAGTTTGCGGGAAATGTTCGAAGGTCGCCTTAAAGATCAATGGACGGATGGATCTCAAGTTAAAGTGTTGAATGAATCCATACGCAAGTCGATCTGCGTCTGCCAAGACTCGGATCATAATACGTAGTGCAACCAGATTCTGGGGAAACCCGTTTCTTCGGTCCAAGTCTTGGCGTAAACATATCTTCTAGCACCACAGCATCACACGTTGGAACTTCACTCCGGTATCCCTGATTATTAGGAGGTGCCTAGACGAGCGTGATTTGAATCCGAGGAACAGCGAGCACGACTCAGGTCGATGATACTAGCAACATCCCAGTTTAAGTTTGTGTAATAAAAAAGAAGGGGGTGGGTTCTAAGTACCTGTATATTGTCGTATTCTGCGTTCAGGGGTGGGTGTCTGTGAGATCATGCTTGATTCAAAGTACCGGAACCCGCAAACATCTGTCTGAGGGCAGGCTGAGTTAATAGAACCAACTAGTGCTAGCCCGGCCTGCAGCACTGTAACGTTGGAGCAACTGCTGTGGCCGGATGACCGGCTTCTAAACAAGTCACGTTGCAAGATATGGCTCAAAGATGCTACCCCGAGTACAATAGGCTCAATTGTGGTGCCATGGGGAAGGGGGTGGTAGTCCAAGCCGCCGGGAGAGCCCATGGACATAGAAGTCGGGTAGGGAGAGGATATGTATATAAAGGCCTCGGTGGAATCTTCGTTGTTCAATCCTTCTTCTTCTTCACTCTTGAGCATCCGCCTTCTTTAGTCCATACCACTCTTCGATCTTTACATTCATTCCGTGCTGTGCGCGGCTTTTTATCTCACAATCATTACCTATTACGACCTGGAGTCATCCTTTCATTAGCTGTTCAACATGAGGTTCACTACCGCTACGCTCATTACCCTGAGCTTTCTGGCTGGCAACGTCGTTTCTGGTTAGTTCACTCTACCTCACAGACCTGTGACATAAAGCCGCACCCAATGAAAATGACGGTTGACTAACAAGCGCCTCAGCCCCCACTGCACCGATCAACGACGTTGCTGCTCCTGTCGAGGCACGTGCTGCAGACTTTGTCGATGGCGCTCACCTCGAGGCCCGCAAGAACAAGAAGAAGAAGAAGGAGGGCAAGAAGGATAAGAAGGCCAAGGACAACGCCAGGGATCTCACCGAACTTGAGGATCGTGACGCCGACGATGTTACTATAGTCGAAATTCGTACACCTGAATTTGTGGCTGACGACGCCCACAACCTCGAGGCCCGCAAGAACAAGAAGAAGAAGAAGAAGGGGGGCAAGAAGGATAAGAAGGAGAAGAAGGCCAAGGACAACGCCAGGGATCTCACCGAACTTGAGGCTCGTGACGAAGAGGCGGATGATGCCGCTCAACTTGAGGCCCGCAAGAACAAGAAGAAGAAGAAGGGCGGCAAGAAGGATAAGAAGGAGAAGAAGGCCAAGAACAATGCCAGGGATCTCACCGAACTTGAGGCTCGTGACGAAGAGGCGGAGGATGCCGCTCAACTCGAGGCCCGCAAGAACAAGAAGAAGAAGAAGGGCGGCAAGAAGGATAAGAAGGAGAAGAAGGCCAAGAACAATGCCAGGGATCTCACCGAACTTGAGGCTCGTGACGAAGAGGCAGATGATGCCGCTCAACTCGAGGCCCGCAAGAACAAGAAGAAGAAGAAGGGCGGCAAGAAGGATAAGAAGGAGAAGAAGGCCAAGAACAATGCCAGGGATCTCACCGAACTTGAGGCTCGTGACGAAGAGGCGGATGATGCCGCTCAACTTGAGGCCCGCAAGAACAAGAAGAAGAAGAAGGGCGGCAAGAAGGATAAGAAGGAGAAGAAGGCCAAGAACAATGCCAGGGATCTCACCGAACTTGAGGCTCGTGACGAAGAGGCGGAGGATGCCGCTCAACTCGAGGCCCGCAAGAACAAGAAGAAGAAGAAGGGCGGCAAGAAGGATAAGAAGGAGAAGAAGGCCAAGGATGCCGGTGCGGCTTAGATTGACGACAACTTACACAGGGCTGCGTAGGACAAGGGAATATGTCGCCACCACTTGCGAGTGTTTGCAGAACCAAGTATCCACCGTCGATGGTATCACCTGACATTTGTTACAATTACGGCGACGACCCACGCGTCTACGGGTGTATGATAAGCTTCTTTGATCGGATATCTATTAGGAAGACGAAGGGAAATGAACTGGCCATGTACTTATAGTCTGAGAAATTGAATACTCCTTTCGGACTTTAAGCCACGCTCTCGATCCGTCTGATGCTAGTCTGTGTTATATGAACCGATGGCATCTCATGTTCTGCATCGAGCAGCAAATTGACGATTATTATTGGAAGCTTTATGCGTTTATAGTCATAGTTTCCCAAATGATCTGATTGCTTACACCATATTTTCGACGTCTGTAGTAGTTGGTTTTCATCGACTTTTGCTAAGAACACATGATTTGCGTTCCTGCCTACACCTAGGTAATCATGTCAAAAGATGCCAAGATCAGACATATGAATGATCAGGTGATATGATCGACCTTGTATGAAGGGTCATGAGCGGAGGTACCGGTTGGGTGCTAGCCTTGCTGCTGAGACCTATGGACTGGTAGGGTTTCATCACACCGAACAGCGATCCCAATGTGATATGAAGTGAGTCCTACCTAGCAGACAGACGAATCAAACGTGAAAGTTTGCTGGACGAGCATGACTATGAAATAGAAAAACCGTTGAAACTCAAGTAAATTACCCCTTCTCAGTTTGCTTCTGCTACGACGTATGCTTCGAAGCACTTCCTGTTCTAAATACCCAACACCACATCCTCACATTTCATCGTATAAAATCCATCTGCACACTCCCAATTCCATGCCATTATGTCCTTTCCGGGATACTACCTTGATTCAGGCTTTCCTCACTGGTTCTAAATTGAATATACCGATTCCATCCGGCGACTGCATACGTGGCAGCCGCCCTCACAAACATTCCTGATATACTGTTTCTGGGTTGTTTCTTTGGCAATCTATCTGGACCGAGAGGTTGCGATCACGGCAGTATCAAATCAGGTGGCGTCTTTGAGATCCAGCGGCATCCTCAGACGTGTATCTACCAGCTTTATTGCTAAAGCATATTCAAAGGCAAGAAGAATGCTTGACTCCTTGCTTGCATGCACAATGACTGGCCTGTGAACGAAAATCGATCTATTACTTCTATTGACTTATATAATGGCCAAGTTCGAAACCAAGTCCGATGTCTTTCACTCATAGATGACTGCAATCACCGTGTATCCTAGATGTACGTAGAGCTGGAGGGGACCTGAAGGCTGAATCCTTCCGAGCTGTATGTACGGAGGCCAATGTTGTAACAAGGATTGCGCAGACAAATGCGATGTGCCTCAGCCAACAATTCGGCAAAGCTGACCAGGCTCCATGAAAACTTCACGCTACCTAAAGGTAGACTTGACACTTGCAACGGCTGAACTATTGTAATAGCGCCGGCCGCAATTGACAAGGGGTCCATGGTACGGAGTCGAAGCATGATATTGCCCTGTTACGGAGCCAGGTGAATTCGACATGGAACTTTTTAGAGTGAATTTTGGAACAGATGGGTTTCAAAGTTAAATCGATGTGTTGATTAGATAAACATCACATGGTCGAGAGGCCGCAAACTTGGGGTTCTCTCATCCCAGGCAACGAGACGGCCGTTCTAGTCATGCGACTTGCTTCACACCGAAACGACACTATGCACAACCCAGTCAAGTAACTGGAGCTCGTCCATTATCTCTCTAGACGTGAACGAGTCGATTGCATTGCTGGCAAGGTGGGAGTAGGCAGTGCGCGCTGGTAGGCACAGTGTCTCGGTGACAAAATGCCCAGATATACAATACATCTATCTCATCAGGAGGGCATCAAAAGCGCCGCAGCAGACCTTTAAACTTACATGCCTCATCGTGCGTAAACAGGAGTAAGGGAAACCAAAATCATATCTATCTAAAAAGACTTTTCATTTGAAAAAAGTGAAAAAAATCAAAACAGAAACATAAGTCTCATGAGAAGCCAAGGCCCACTTCCCAGAAGGCAAAGATATTATTCTTGTTACCATAAGGAAAGAAGGAAAACAAACAATCAAATGCATCCATTTTAGTTAGAAACAGCTATGCCTGTAAGGCGACTAAACCATAAAAGAGGAGAACATAGAACTCTTCTCAGAGACGGTCTATGGGAATATCAAATGAGGCAATCGGTATGCATTGTTAGAACCGGGGCTGTTGAAATATATTGCTTGGTTTCTTCAATATAACAAAGCTCATTGAATATGAAATGCCTACGGTCAACCTCGCTGATCTCTATTGTAGCTGGTCTGCTTCTACTCAGCGACGTGGTCGTGTTTACCCATGTGATGGAGCTCGGTCTCTAAGGGTCCGTCGGTCCTCGTTTGATTAGGTCACCGAGTCCATCCCAACTAGGGTCATGCTCCGCTATAATAACTGTTATAGGTAATATTCTTGCCATCTTTCATTGATTCTCTGATTGGGGGAGATAACAGGCTTTCTGAAGGACCGTGACGTCTCCATATGTTTTAACGTTTAGACATCAAGTTGATAGGGAAGTTTATTGCGGCAGGCAGATTTCCTAGATCCTAATCCCCAATGGCGGTCTGCGCATAAGTGAAGGAAGGAAAGCAAATGGTTGAGGTTCGAGAAGACGGCACGTGGACGGAGCTCGAGACTCAAAAGCCAGTGGAAAAGCCAGAGGGGTCGAGACGATCTTCGCCGTCGATGCGGGGAAGGTTGTTAGCCCGCGGTGGCACACTTCACGTAGCTTTCCAAACTGCTTGATTCAACGTTCCACTAAACACGAGAATAGTCTAGCGAGAACAGGGCGAAACCAGAATTCTCGTGCATTAAACACACTCATGCGCACACACGCACATAAATTTGGGCTGATAGCACTCGGCATCTCGTCCACCTCCCCTGATCAGGGGTACCCCTGGTCTGTCTGAGCTGACTCAGCGTTCTGGACTCCAACAGATCGCCGCACAGTTGCATCCTGCAGGACTGATGTCATTTTTTGATCGCAGGTGCGGGGCTGCCGCTGTGGCCCCCAAAGCCGCAATGATTTGCAGTGTAGCAAGCCGTGGTGGGTGGTCCGTCAGGTGCAAGATCTCCCTCTCTCTGTCTCTCTCTCTTGGAGTGAAACCCTGTTTGGGCTCTCGACTGTGCTGTGCAGCCGCGACGCCTGACGTCACCTTCAGTCGAGAAAAGCAGGAATTCAAGATTCGTTCGGCAATGAGAATAAACTCTGGGACATGGACGTCAACTTACGCGCATGGGCCTGCGTGACTGGAGACATCATACGCCATAATTATCCCCGTTCTTAACTTCTTGCCCTCCCGAGGCCCTTTTAGTGCCTTCTTTCCCAATCCTCTCTGTCGACGCACATAGTCCGATACACCAACTTACACAAGCCCGATCGATACATTGGAACGGTGAAGACGACGAGACAACAAACGCGAGTCACTACGGCACATCTTCCAGTACCATATACCATTAGCAACATCAAAGCATAGCGAAGATAGAAAGAAAAGGACAGACATAATCCAAAATGCCTTCCGTTCTTGGTCTGACCACCGACCCCTCCCCCCATGGACCTGGAGCCGACGAGCGCCAGAAGAAGAAGAAGAAGCCCCAGTTCCAGGGTGGCGGAGAAGATGTCGACAACAAGCAGCTAGCCCGTCGCGCGAAACCCGATGGCGAACGCAAAGCATCCTCGTCGCAGTCCCCCCCGGCTCCTGAAGAGAAGAAGAAAAAGAAGAAGACGAAGGAGAAGAAGGAGAAGAAGGCCGGCAAGCAGATGCGCCACTACTCGTCCGACGAGGAAGAGGACTCAGAGGAGGAGGGCCCCCTTAACACTATTAAGCTGCGCAACCACGCAAAGGCTATCGAGATGGAGACGCTCCTCTGGGGAGCCCTCTGTCACAAGCCCAAGAGCGCCCTCAAGTACATCGGCAAGGGCGCCATCATGTGCAACCCCATCATCTTTGGCGACAACGAGGTCTACTCGGAGCGCTCCGAGCCCACCCTCAAGGAGATGCTGAAGGAGCACGCTGACCCGCCCCTGAGCTTCAAGATGCATAAACCCCACGTCTGCGAGGTAGGCCTGATGGCCATGTCCATCTGCTGTGACGTCACCTTCTTCCGCATGGGCGAGGACAACACACTTGAGGCCGAGGAATGTAGGATCTCATCCAGTTGGAGACAGTGCGCTAGCGGAGACTGGGAGATGGGCAGTTGCATGGCTGGATGGCAGGATTAGAGCGCGCACGATTTGGCATTCCAAGGCGGCATGGATTTGGGTTCCATTACGTATGTATGGCGTTGATTAGCAATTTCGTGCAGGGTTTCATTTCCAATTGTAATTTACCACGGCCTATAATGACCCCTTCCGACTATAACCACATGAACGATGAATTTTCCGATAACACCCAAGCTAGTAAAATGTTTACTTGTCGTTGTCAAAAGACCAAAGGTCTAAACGACTTTGCAGATTGACATTACCCTAACGTTGGGCCATGGTCGATGTGAAATAGTATTATAGACCGCAGCCTCTCCACGCTGACTGGTTTCATGTAAGACTCTTCTCTCTGTTGCGCGCGGCCCTGCATCGAACCCGACCAGAAACACAGCCGAGCCTGAAGATGGTTCATATCCTTCCGCATCCCGCACCGGATCGCCCGGAGACGATCCGGCAACCGGAGGAGGCTCAGCTGACTCCCATGCCGATGGACCTGACGTGCGACTTCTTCGCTACCTTCAAATCGACCTCGCCGCATCGACTGCCTTTCTGCACTCCTTTGGAGCTGGTTGCCTTGTTCGATGGCCTTGTCGGCCACAACCCGTCACCCGTGGCCACTCAACCGCAGGTCAAGGCTACTACTTTCTCGACGGTCCTGGCTGTCGGCACGCTGGCCACCCGCCACACAGACATGGCTGCGACGTTGTACTTCCGCGCCATGCGGGTTGCTGTCATCCTCGAAAAGACCATCGCTTTGCAGATGATCTGGGTCGCTACTGTCATGGCTGACAATCAGATCAACCTCGGACGGCCCAGCTGCGTACCAGCCCATCGGGACTACGTGTCGAAGGACTTTCCATGGGACTACACAAGGAGTCCTGAAAGACTCACTTGGGCGCGACTATGCTGCAAAATCACCGCACAACCCTTTGGCTTCTCTACTGTTACGAGACGTGAGTCGGCCACCTAATCTTAAGTGAACACTCAGTTGCTGATGCTTCCATGGTCTAGCTTTATCAGTTTCTACCTCTTGAGATACCGATCTCTTTTCTCCTTCACCTATGGTGTATACTGATACTATGCGTATACCTTGCCGGTTAGCAAGCTTTCTCCTTGACTCACACTTTTATCCTCCATTCTCGTGCCTGCAACCTCTCATTACATATACACACAAATAGCACAACACAGCACTGGTACGTGGGCTTTGAATTATGGAATTGATCCAACACAAAAGTGGTACAGTGTTTTCGACTTGAATAACACACTTTTTATCACTACCACTCCCTGAGAGCCGCTATCTCGCTCATCCAGCCCAGCTAAGACAGTTTCAAAACGCATAATCGCCAAGACCTTATTCCCAAGTACAGCAAGTCACTTCAGAAGGCCTGCGACGAGTATCTTCGGAACTAAATCACTTACGAAGAGGCAGACTTCAAGAAGGTTCGCTTGTTTTTCGGTGAGATTGGGCTCCCAGAGCCAGATCACAAGCAGATCATTGAGTTCCGGAATATCTACACACCAGCATACCGGAATCATCGCAGGGCGACGCCGGATAGCGTTGAGATACTGATAAGCCTACCTGAGAATGGCTTCCGGCTTGCGATTGTTACCAATGGTCAAGGATCAGTTGGAGAAGGCGGAAGCTGTCAGAGTGCATCACCTCGTCGACAAGATCATCACTTGAGAAGAAGCAGGTTGTTGCAAGCCCGGCACCAAAATTTTCCGTCTAGAAATTGAGAGATCGGGGACGTCGCCTCATAAAAGCTACATGATGGGTGATTCTGTGGACTACGACATCAAGGGCGGCCTTGAAAGTGGACTCGACGCCATCTGATTTTGGCCCATTGCCACAGACTCCACGCGCGCATTATCTGGAACAGCTGTGCCAGTCATCCGCAGCATGTCCCAGCTCCCAGAACATCTCAATTCCAGCCCCCCACGATTTGCCCTACGTATCTACTCGCAGCACTCTCAGGTTACTATCGCAGGAGGAATCGGAATGGATGTAGTCACTGAGCCACGCCATTATCTGGTTAACGAAGGACACAGTGAATGGCCTTTCAAGGCAAATAGCCGGTGTCCTTGAGTACACTTCCAAGGAGAACTACGTCTCTGCCGTCTCCCGACTTGAAGCGATGATCAAAAAAGTCGCGAAAGCTGCCTCGCCGGTCGACGAGACTGCCATCCAGATCTCATACCCCGGCCAGGACCACCAACTAAGCGAATCGAGCACCGACTTCCCGGTTTATATCACGGAGAGACTGCATAGCGTGTGCGTCGAACACAAAACATACGTTTTCGCATCTGAACTGACGATTGAAGCTCACTTACAGGAGTGCATTGAACTACTTCAAAGTTACTGCGACAACCTCATGCGAGACCACCCAAGAGCAGCACTGCGCAACCTTTAGTTCGTAATGTTGATACTGGCTAAGGTTGCTGGAATACAGACTTCTATAGTCGGTGAGGGCGAAGGAATTGGTCTCGACGGGACTTGAGGGACCAGACTGTTTTTGGTAGTGGCATAGGTGTCTTGGCGTCTTTAATATTGTATCTTCAAGTCTTGGTAAAAATACCAGTTAATATACACGTTACCGTATCCCACCTGCCTTTTTGGTGCTAGAGTCACGTCACATAATAGCCATTACGGAACAAGCCTCCTAGAGGCTCTGATAGAATTTACCTTATGATTATGGGACTAACAAGATTTGCGGGCCTTGTCGAACGTGTTTGCAGAGCAAGCGAGCAACCATGGAGCCAACTATCACCCATCGTGCTCACACCCGGATTGCGTGACCTTAGGGCGGCGGGTGATCCGGCTGCACCTCAACCATGTAGTGGCAATCAATGGGATGGAAAAGTTTCACGTGCGCCAGAACAACACAGGGAATTGGAGGACTCAGTGGTATATTTTACTGTTTTCCGAGTTTAAGTCCCCGATCTATATCCCGATAGAGTTCATTATACAGCATCTTGAGCATCTAATGTAGGTTCTTTTAAGCAGTTGACATGAAGTTTATGCTTGCTTCACCTTTGACAAAGGTTTACCATCATTGCACACCATAGCATCTCAAGGTGGGGATTCGTGTTGCAAGGACCAAGCAGCTAAACCAGCGCGATGTTCAAACTAGGAAACCACCTAGCAAATCCTGTTGAAAATGTCCTGACGTTGTAGATCTCGCTCAATTGAAACCACATGGATGTGCCCAAAGAAAAGAAGAATAGCAGTTGACCCGAAAACCATACCTTCTGATGTGTTCCCTCGAGGAAATACATTGCGGTCATAAAGGGTAGAGTGGCACATATTCTTTCCCACGGGATAGCGGACAGTCTTTTTGAAACCTGGAATGTTCTGCCGTCATTATTAATCCAGCATCTTACCTACGTGAAGTAGGCAGAATGGGGAGACATGCCTCACGTCGAACTGCCGGTAAAGCAAGTCGCCTCTATGAGCTGGACTGATTGGATGATCCGATGGTTGGCTGCAGTAACACCCCATCCGTTGCGGATGAAGGGCAGCGGAATGACTTGATGAACAGACATGAGAACAGCCAAGTGATTATGGATAGCACAAAAATGAAAATTTTCTTGTAGTGACTTCATCCCATGAGTAACTGTGGTGCATTGATAGGAGCGTTTTGTTGAAAAAATGATTTGCCAATAACTTGGAGCAATGAACGTGCATGGGTGTCTCTGGACCGTAATTCGAAACGAAGCAGAATCATTAGATAACTGCAACCATTGACGACTGGGAGCACCACTAACGGTGCTTAGAAATAGGGCTCACCATACTCCGCAGGCAGCTGTTTCATGGATGCCAAGCACTCGCAAGCGAGCTACCACTCAATACGGTTATCGTTATAATAAAAGTAAGGAAATGCCTCATAAATGCTATACACTTGCTCCCAGATCGTGCAGATCGGCGAATACAGCCCCCCTGTTACTACCTGGCGAAGCGTTGTCAGTCAACTCAGGACGTGCAACATTAACAAGAAAGAACCAGATATAAGAGTGGTGCCGCGGAGCTTCAACATCTCTAATGAAGTGGAAGGACGTCGTGAAGGTCGAAACCGTCGGTAGGCGCTAGAGGAAGTTGAAGCGCGCCTCTACGAGCTTGCCATGCCTGGAAGGGTGGGGCAGAAAGGTTGGACTCCCTTTATCAGATGCACCGTGAAGCTGATTGAAGCAATTTCCCCCCTAGGCTAGCTACATAGGACGTGCACGTTGAGATTCCCCTTCAGCCGCGACACGGCTGTGACAGTGGTGATAACTCAAATAGTCTGTTCCCTGGCAGGCTGGGCCCAAAGACGGCCCGAGATGGGCCATGATGAGAGATACAAGTGCTCGCTCTGCTCATCGTGGTGGCTATGATAGCAGCAAGACCGGACGAAGGGGGTCAAAGAGTTCCCTGTTCGCATTGGCAGGCGAGAATTTCATGTACGGGAAGCCGAGGCAGATGCCGTCCTATGAGCCCGAAGCTTGTGGTTGTGCTTTCCGGCAAATATCTCCGGTGCACGGGACTTCGAATGTTTAGAACTAGAGTTTCGCCCTGCTGTCCTCGTGTATTTCCGAAAGTCTCTGATATGCCAGACCATTTTCGGACGTTACCGAGTCATAGGGATCAAGGATCCAACAGTCATGAATATCGCATTGCTTGTTCTTAGTTCTGCATGGGGCTCACAGCTCCACGCATGGTACGGTTCACGTAATGACAGAGTACTTCGTCCCAACTCTTTTCAGGGATGTTGCGAAAGCTCTTGCTTCTTCATAAGCCTCCTTATCATGTTCCATCAGTAATATAAAGCCCCGCTACAGGTTCTTGCCAACCATGGGTTGATTGTTTCTGCCATGAAGGTGCTACTCTCACTTCATCAACTGGTATCCCATTCGGAAACCGAAGATGGCTGTGGTTCCCTTACCAGGATGTGAACATTGTTTAGGAATCCAAATGAAAGCGATGGGCTCCCTGGCAAGAGCAGCCAACCAGACCTATTCGACGACATCCGAGCTGAATGCTACGGCACCAGGACTCAACGAACGTGCAGACGACGATACGAAGGCCCAGGTCATGCAAACAATTCTATGGGTTCTTGTTGCTCTATCAGCATTGTTTCTGGGATTAAGGATATACTGCAAGTTGATCTATTCATATACGAAGATCAGGTTTGAGGATATACTTCTCTTTGCGTCTTGGGTAGGGGCCTCATTGTCAAAGTTTTGCGATCGAGCTATTTCTGACCCTGGAGTCTTTAGGTGATTCTTGTAGCAGATGCTTCTCTGACCGAATTTTTAATCAAATCTCGATTTGGCCGACCTGGGTTTCCCATCAACGCTCACAATATATCAATCCTCGCAATCGTCGGCCTGGCTTCACTCACCTGCTCGTTCGTCGGCCAGGTTTGGAGCAAGACAGCATTCGCTATATCAATTTTACGTATGTGTGATGGTTGGAAGAAAGCCTTCGTTTGGTTCGCGATCATCTCCATGAATATTCTATTCGCCTTCTCCGCCTCGTCATTCTGGATCGGGTGCGTTCCTCTCAAGAAGAGATGGGATCTATTCAGTGATGGAACTTGTTACGACCTAAAATGGGTGGTGTCATTCGGCATTTTCGTTAGCGGTAATAAGTTTCGGTCCCTGTTTGTTTTGCAAGCGTGTACTGATGGGTTCACAAGTATATTCTGGTGTGCTCGATATCGTCCTGGCCGTCATTCCCTGGTTGATTCTTGTGCGGCCCACGCCGGCCGAAGCATCGTCAGGTCTAAAACTGAGCCAGAAGGAAAAGATTGGTGTCTCAGTGGCACTGAGTATGGGAGTTCTGTCAGTTCCGGATGTTCGATGCCTTGGGTGCAGCGCAATAGCTAACAAGAGATAGCGCCGGAATTGCAGCCTTCATCAAAGCGTCCTACATGAAGTCGGTTAATGACGCAGCGGGCGACTTTTCTCGTATTTAATGTCCAAATTAACGCTGTGCAAGTCCTATACTAACTCTACAACCAGATGGCGGAGCGGAGCTGACCGTTTGGGCTGGGGCCGAAACAGCAATCACCATCATGGCCGCAACAATCCCAGTGTTGCGGGTCTTTCTACGTGATGCCGCGATCAAAACGCGATATCTTCCCCAATCTATCAAAATGAAAGTTCGTCGTACAGTCAGGAGGTCTGAAAGAGTTTTGGGAGAGCATGAACCGCATCCAGAAGAGAGATTGCCCATTGTCTCTTCGGGGGTTTCCATGTCTACAGAAGGGGCGTTCTCATGCTCATCAGGGTCATCAGTCCAGAAGACACTTGTACCCGTAAAATAAGATTTTTTGCTAGCCCTAGCTAGATGGGCTCATGACTTAATGACATCACTTTGACGTGTTCGGAAATTGGATAGTAATGTTAATGAAATATCCGATTCTGATCTACCGCATTGAAAGTTCGATCATAATTTGCCCTATGCTTGCTTTCGAGCAAACCACCGACTTCTACTCCTGGCCAATGGGCTTGCCTTGGAGTTGCCAATCCATCGGGGCGGAAGCAGCCACTAGAGGAGCCGTTGGGCCACCCTCCCTTGGATCATCTAGAATGAAGTCCATCGGGAAGCCAATGTGGAACTTCTTGATGCTTTCAATCGTTTGGATCTGTTCCTCCGTGAGGCATATGCTCAATGCCTTGATATTGTCCTCTAAGTTTTCTACCTTGCGGCCTCCGACGACGGGAAATACGTAGCGAGCCTTTTGCATCACATAAGCCAGGGCAATCTGCTGAATACTCTCGGTTCCGTGTTCCTTGGCAATTTGCTCCAGAACTTCGCTGGCCTTGCGCTCTTCGTCGGACTGGTTCGGGCCAAACGTGCATCGCAAGCCTTCGCCAGCCTTTTGACGGGCTTCGAGCTGTGTCATGGACTGTAGTTTGCCGCCTCCAAGGACATCCCATGGACACAAGGCCATGCCGAAGTGTCGGGCCATGGGAATGATGTCACGCTCGACATCGCGGATCAAGACGTTCCAGCGACCCTGGTAGACGGAGAAGGGGGTCTTCCCCTGCGCCTTGGCATATGTGTTCGCAGCAGACACGATCCAAGCGGGGGTATCAGAAACCCCCAGGTACAGGACCTTACCCTGCTCAACAAGGATGTGGAGAGAATCCATCAACTCCTCGATGGAGGTAGTCCAGTCCCACCAGTGCACGTACAGCAGGTCAATGTAATCTGTCTGCAGCTTCCTGAGAGAATCCCGGACCGAGAGGTGCAGTGACTTCTTGTGATTGCCCGAGTAGTTGATGCATTTGCCGGGCCCGAGCTCGTGCTTGCGGTACTGTGTGGTGAACTTGGTCGCAACAAACATGATGTCGCGGTTTCTTCTGGCGGCCATCCATTCGCCTAGAATCTGCTCGGATTCTTCATTCTGGTAGTTGTTGGCGGTGTCGATGAAGTTGCCACCCGCCTCGACGAAGGCGTCGAGAAGCTTGTAAGATTGGTCTTTTTCCATTGAGCCCAAGAATGACGACCATGCCGAGCCAATCGACATAGCGCCCAGGCAGAGCGGGGAGACCCTGACACCGGCGGTAGTAGAAAGGACGCGGTACCGACCGAGCTCGGTTTTGGGCTCTGGCGCCGGCGCGAAGACATTTTTGATAGCGGACATTGTGTGTCACACTTGACATCCGACGGAAGTTCCGCGGTTTGAAGATTGTAAATCGAGTAAGGGGCTCCCGAATGGAATGGCACAAGGCCCAAAATCGGACAATGAGCGGCACCATGGCCTTTATATCAACATTGTCGATACAGCAGCTGATTCCCATGATGTCTACTGAGGGATCATAACCCGCTCAGACACCTGAGGCCGACAACTCCTGTAGGGCTTCGTTGCGAAGCCGTCTGAACGATGCCGTCAAACTAGGCAACGTCTGTGCTCCTCACCCCGCCATGACATTCAAAGGGGCCTTGGATCTCGGATCACGATCGGAATGATCGGACTCGGACTCGGGGTGGATACATTCGCCTCTTATTCACAAACTCGGCGTGGTGTGAGTCAGAGTAAGGCTTTTCCGTGATCATCGTCTACTCGCCTTCAATCTGAGTCTATTTTAAATGACTTGTGATTACGGCGCCGTAGTCATTGATGTCTACTATGTACCTTTCAACGTCAATGGCTCGACCAGACCGGTCTTTCCCCTTCCCATTGTGAGACCAAAATCACTGCCCCAAACCAAGTGATTCAGAAGAGTCTCCGTCAAGGATTCGATACCCGGCCCCAAGCGATTGTACTCTTGTCAGTGGCTGAATCTGGCCCGATTCAAGAGAGGCCTCGACTCTCGCCGTCCCGTCCACGATGAATTCTACTGACCAGGCGGAGACCCACAATCCTCGTATAAATAATAAGTCCCGGTGTGTTGACCGTGCTATGCTTCATTGTATGAGCTTCCCACGTTGATACTACGCAGGACAATGGAATCTTCCAGCCGGAAAGACCCCGAATGTGAGTAGCAGCTATCACCATTAAATTTCGAAGGCCGTATACATCAGTTCCGCGGATCTGTCTGCCTTGGGCCCCGGGTTCCGCTTGCAAACAATTCACAGAGCTACACCTCACCGAGATGCCATAAATGCCTACTATAGCAATCCTGTGAACCGTTCGACCGCGTCTTTTACGTGGTTGATGAACTTACTGCAACAGCACTGTGTTTCAAGTACCGTATGGTGACGACTGGACAAGAACCGGGTTGATGATGTGCACCTCTGTGTGGCCTAAAACTGAAGACCGGCAGAAGTAGCTGGAGCAAGTGTATACGACTTTAAGGAATCGAAACATCCAATAGTTGAGTCAAAAGCTTGGGCGTAGGTGTTTTGCTCGTCTAGAGAAAGCGACAGAATCAGGAAGCCGGATACGAAAACCTCAAGACGACGCAACTTAGGCGTTTATTTGAGTAGAGGCTGACGGCGCCCTTGGGGGTCTATGCCAAGGATAATGTGCAGCACTCCACAGAAACCACGAGATGGCTGCGGAGTTGTGGGTGTTTCCTGTCGTATATGCTTGGGATTTGTCGTAATCCCATCAGTCACAGTTTGAAGGGGGACATATTATGCATCACTGTGGCATAATTGCGAGAACACGCGTACACTGCCTTGAGCACGGAGGTGGCGAAAAGACATCGGTCGCTATCGCATAACCTAGATTGGAACTCCGACTAGAGTATTAATGCCGCCCAAAGACATGTGTCCGTACCACAGACGGGCACCTCACGCGTGTCCTTGAAGCATTGTCTTGTACGCGTCACGACTATGGATTGCAAGCGTGCTCGCTTTCGATAACTGACCAGATTCGTTAGGGATCCCCCCTCTTCTACGGAGTGATGGGCTTTGTAAATGATTCGTTTGCTCTTACGCTCGAGTTTGGTGGATTTTGTCTTGGCAGCAGGCTCCCGAGGTGCGGTGTTGAGGACCAGTCTTTAACCCTCGCAGCACAGCTCGAGGCATTGATGGTTGAGGCCCCCGACGGGCATTTCGATACTCTCGCCCCCAGCGTTGGAAGAAAAGTTTCTATCATATGTTAGAAAACAGCTCATTGGTCAATGGTATCCAGCCATCGAACTGACTCTTCTTCCAGCCATGGGTATGGAAAAAGACCGCCAGAATGAAATTACTTTGAAGAGCCCTTGCAGGAACACTTGCATAAGCAACTCATCTTGAGAATTAAAACAATCGACAGAACCATTTAAGCGTCACTCGCCCCTTTCCCCTTCAGGATTGATAACGATGTCGTACTATCGCCTCTCCTTTCCTTCCTACTGTAGGCATGTTACATTTGTTGATCTGCACTGGCATAATGCCTGGCAATTAACAGGAGATAATAAGACCAGAAATAAGCCTGTTTATTTCGCGGAAATGGACCAATAGCTTTCAGTCAAGAGGAAATGTAGACATAAACCAGGAGAGGATGAGCAACATGGCTAAGCGTGGAAACTAGTACCTGCCGTGAATAATACCACACAGATAATATAAAGCATGCAACCAATTGAGTTTTTAAAAGAATGTTTTTGTCTTCCCAATAGGTAAATCGGCTATTTATGCATCTAAATCCAGTCCTAGCTGGCGTGGTATCATGGTATTTGTCTCGACTATATCTTAAAATCCAAATTTGTTCGACTTCATAAGGTCGGACCATTACGGATTACCCCAAAAATATTACATGGGATTCTTTTTGGCCCCTCTCATTATGGGTCTCGGAATTGTAGTGATCAGATCATCATGGCCCAAGCTAGAGCACCGGCGAGAGCACCGCCAGCGGAAAGGACGGCGCGGCCGGCGGCATTGACTTCGACAACGGTGTTAGTGCTGGTGGGCCTCAAGGCAGCGGTTGTGCCGGCAGGGGTTACCGGGATACCGATATTAACGCCATCGTCGACGGTTCGCGTGGCGGCAGGAGGGATGGCGCCGGTAGAGGTAGGTCCATCAGTCTTCGATTCAGGCTCATCGGTCCCGGTCTTGACAGTCATAGAAGCCTTCGCAGTTTCCGACTCAGTAGTCGAGGACGTGGTTTTGGTCTCCTTGGTCTCCTTGGTCTCCTCGGAGACAGAAGAAGTGGTAGGAGTCACCGACTTGCTGATCATAGTGGCCTTGGGCTCTTCTTTGTCGTCCGAGGGCTCACCGCTCTTAGGGTCACGGTACCAGTTGGAGACCGGGTCACCAAGACATTCTCCGACGGTGCTGAACTCGAAACCTTTCTCCTTGGCGACGTCAATCATATATTGAACGAAGCCATCCACAGTGAACTTATGTATATCGTGTGCCAGCGCAATGAATGAAGAGCTCGAGGGGTTTGCAGAGTTGATAGCACTCGAGTATGTCTGCTTGGAGTTGACACCGTCGTCAACCCAATCCTTGGTGTCGAGGTTGTAATCCGCCTGTCATCAAATGTCAGCGTGTGGGAAACAGGGCTAAGGTGGGGAGGCAACATACGACGTGGTAGGATAGATCGTTGAGAGTCGAGATACACTTGTCATCGCAGTGGGTGTAAGGCGGGCGGAAGTAGGTGGGCACAATGCCGAGAGTCTTGGCGAAAACCTCTTCGTTCTTGACAAGCTCCTCGACCTGCTGGTCATGGGTTATGGTGTTGAAGTCTTTGTGACTCCATGAGTGGCTACCCAGTTGGTGGCCGGCGCCTAGCATGCGCTTGAGAAGAGGGGTGTAAGCCGGGTTGTTAATACCGTTCTGACCATTGGTGCCGACGAGGAAGAAGGTAGCCTTGATGTTGCCGTTCTTCTCTAGAGTGTCAAGGACCTTCTCGGTATACTCTCCAGGGCCGTCGTCAAAGGTCAAGGCGACCTTGCCGTTGACGGTGCAGCGGGTGATATCGACGCCGTATGGGACATTTCCAAATCGAGGACGGTCCATGTCTCTGGTGGCGAAGGCAGAGGAAGACTCGAGGGGGATGGCCGCTGCCAGTTCACCTGAGGCCACCACGGCCACCAGAAGGAAAAGCGAGTGTACTCTAGCAATCATCTTGACTGGTTGTGACGGTGTGGAAGCTACTTGATGTGGTATGGAGCAAGTATCGTGAAAGATGGATTAAAGTTACGGGGAAAGGGATACACTTAAATCCAACTAACAATGCCAAGACAACAACACACAAGCCTTCTGTGAATAACAAGCCCCGGAGAGAAGATAAATGAGAGTGTTAGCCTAGCCCACCGAATGGTACGCGGGGATGACTGGGGAGGCGCGGCGCCCTGCCCGTGTGCCACGCCCGAAGGCGGCGGCCGTGTCCTCTCGGGCGACACGGGGCGACAGGCATATCGTTGGCGCTGGCCGTATTCTAATGACGGACCCAAAAATAGGAGGACTAAAAGCAAGGAGGATCGTGCCGTACGATTAGCCTGTCTTGCAACTTGCAAGGTTGGGCGGGGTGTCTCCCGGCTATGGCTTGATGTCGCAGGAAAGAGGCGGCGTAGAAGGCGACCAAAGTGCTGTTGCGCTAGGGGCCAATGCAGGACACACCCGCACGGATAGATGTCTTTGCGGGATTATGGCTGGCAACAAACAGAGATTGAACGGCCGCGGTCGCTACTCGCCTAATAGTGGGATCATCACAAAGGACTCAGGCGAAGAAGAAATGAAAGCCAAGAAGTTTGGGGTAGTCGTTGGTCAGGGCCTCCCTCCGACTTTGGCTTCCAAAACCTTCATGTAGTGCCCCTGATCCGGACAGGCATTGCTGACAATACGATGCCAAATTGCAGTCCCGAGGGTGTGCGCCCGAGGCACTTGGCAGTAGAAGTTCGGGTTTCTTTTGATTTTTGTATTGTTTTTTATGGACACACGTTAGCAATCATATAAGATGGGCTTGTACTCCGTAATACCTTCTAGGTATAAATAAGTTGTAGGCAGACATTTTAGACCGGTAGGGGAGGAACATTGGTGGCTAACGGCCAACGGCAATGGCTTCTCTTGTGGAAACTGGGTTGCGGCAGGTGCAGCGTAGGCCACAACGAGCGGAGTTGATTGCCCTCCCTCGCGCGCACAAGAGCGTATTGGGATGGGTATGACGGGGGCCGATCTTGGTAGCATTAGTGCCGTATGAAAGGGGACTGACGCAAGGGACGCGGTCTCTGTGATTGGTCGTCGCCCATCAGCCAGCCAGCCCACTTCACGAAGCAGGCCACTGATTGCACATGACGGTTGTCTCAGACGGGAGAAAGGCGGTGGTTGTCCCTGACAGGATAGCTGGGTGCTGAACAGGCTGGAAAAATTGCAGTATGGTTTCCCACGCTTCCTGCGCGTTCGGATGATCAATGATGAACAAGGAGAAGGGAGATTGGAGATTGACGGAGAGGGTGGTTCGAATGGACAAAAGCTTAGAGGCGCACGGGGCGGCGACGGCGTGGCTAGTCATCGTCTCAGTTTCATCCCATACGGGTTTCTGACGGCGCCGTTGGGCTCGTTAGGACGAATGATGAACCTAAGGTACTTGTTCCATCGCATCGTCGGTCGGAGGTGGTGCTGATCTCTCGTCAGTTTCTGCCTAGCCTAGTGCACATCTTCGAAGCTCATGTTTCTAGTTGCGATGTGCCGTGGGGATTGGGTACCTTGGCCTTTCGTAGCAAGCGCATTGAATGAATTGCACGACTCCTGCGTGGTGCTTGTCCACCACCCCACAAATCGAAACGACCCCGGCGGGCACCTGTCTCTTGTCAAGGTCTCGAATGGAGAAACGAGGCGGGGTATGATGACCGACTTCTGGAAACAGCAGCATGCTTTCCAATCACCTAGACTCAGCAAGGGGGAAGAGGATGCCGGTCAGCTCTGGTGCGGCTGCGGACTGAGTAAGCTTCCCGGCGACGCTCTTTCTTGGGAATTCTTTGGGAAAGACGCAGTTTCCATTGATTCTACTGGTTTCATCAGCCTTACGCCAATGACAGCGGCAGCACCTTAGGGGAAGGAGACAGGAAGGAAAGAAGGAGGGATGAAGGGAAGGAAGGACGCAAGCCACGAAAGAATGGTGGCGTGGATGCCGGCCCATCATATGTTACCTCTCTTCCCATACCCATCGCAACACAGCCGAGGCAATGCGCCTCTCGCACTCTTCGCTCTTGCCTCGACTCATGGAGCTTCTTTCCTCCTGCCATCGCAACCTCCATTGAAGTAAGCTTTTGGTCAAGGCAGGAACCACCACGGTCCCCTGCGCACACGCTTCTTCTTCATCTCACAAATGGATGCGATGAGGAAGCTCAGTGCGGACTGGCTAAGCAAAGCACCGCCGCGTTTACATCTCTTGGCCTCGGGCCGAGCATGTAATAATGTATAGCCTACTACTGACACTCGATGAAAGACGGGGGGCAGTGCGATGCATTCGGCGGACTGCGGCGACACCAAATCATTACTGCCCTCGTCTCTTTATGCGACCAGAGCAAGGCCCCAATTGTGAGGCCATTTTTCGGTGGGTTTTTTTTTCTCTCTCTTATTCTTGTCTTTCTTCTACCCGTTTCCCGTGCCGAAGTACGTATCCAAGGCGGTCCCCTTCAAAGAAAGCCATCGCAACCGTAACCGATGCTGAATCAATAGAAGCCTGGCCGTTGCACCGAGATACGTACACATCCTTCCCACTTTCGTTTGTGCCTGAGGAGTCTGATCCCATGCCACCAGTCTATTATACATACCTAGGGTGTAATAAGCAGCGAGAGCAAAAGTGTGCCAAGCGTAGGGTCTCGGTCGCGACGTGCCCAATTCTCGCCAAGACCGTCACATCTCACTCATCGGAACACACACAACTCAGCCCCCGATACTGCGTCTCACTGCAGATCACGATTTCCCCGACTTCCCGTCGGAGCTTGAGCCAATCCTGACTCCTTATATGCTGCGTCGGTCTTGATTCACTGCTGCGCCGCTGCTCCATGTCGCCGACAAATTGCTTCATCGTGCCACCGGGAATAAACAAGCCAGCAATCACATATCCCCTGGTAGGATCATCGACGCATACCTGCTTTTTCCGGCACTGCGAAAGAGCTTGTCTTACTCATCCCGTCTGCTGTACCACACAAATTTACGCATCATCTCAAGTTACGCGTAAGACAGCTCGTTAGGAATATAGTAGTAATATCCCCAAGTCGCCGACCGAACTTCTTCTCGCCATCACATCCATCGCGCCAACATGGAATCGCTCCCGATTTTGCGCCGCAGAATCTGTCAGCTACCACATTAACAACTCAGTATGCGGCAGCAGCGGGCCAACTCAGCCTCTAGGCCCCTCGTCAAACAGCAGACTTTCTTGACCTTCGGAATACGAGCGCTCCTTATAACTGGCAAATAGACGCTCATGGGTCGCGATTGAGGCGATGCCATGCTTGCTCGTAGTGGCTATAACGGCCCTTCCAGTGTGCATGCAACTTGGTATATATGTTCGAGAAAAAAATGCGGACTTCCTCGGATGCCTAGCTTATTTACTGCTGTCTGATGCCTAATTCCTACAGCAAATCAAGCACCAATGACTTTTGTGGAGCCGTATTAGTCCATCTAATGAAGCAAAGGTCTTGGTTGTTAACTTTGCCTGATTGTCTGAAAGTTCTCAGCACTGAGCCGGCATCTACTTCCTCGTCACGAAGGCTCCAGCTATTTAAACCCGAGATTCGCTTCCACTAATAAAGGTCTCCGGCATAAAGACAACAAGACCATGACTCTTATGTGTATAGTACGTCATAAAACCTTGGCCAGGTGTACACAGCAAAGTGCCAACCCCATCGCGGTTTCACGTTGGTATCCTGAGCGTCTCAGTAGTATTGATCTTTCCTTCCGCCATTGAAAGTGTATACGAGGCAACCTGCCTGCGTGCTGCCGCCAATCCCGCCATTGTTGCCTACCGCAAGGTTAATCAGCACGAATTGGCTCCAATAAAAGACGCGAAATGGAGAACCAAACTCACATTTTCTGTAGTTCTCGATCATGATTTCAACGCACGAAGGCCCATATGGACCTAGAGGGTACTCAATATCCTGGAATCCCAGCGTCGTGCGGCAGTTGACGCGCCAGTGAACCTTGAAGTCCAGGAACGTCGAGGCAACATCCTTGTAGCGCCAGCGCCAGGCGTGAAGCGGATGAGTCTTGACGTCGTCGACAGCTGTGAGAGTGGCGCGCGTAAGGCTATGCTCGCAGAAGCGCTTGCTGCCTTCATCGACGTTGGCAGCCTTGACATCTGGGTGGTTCTTATACTCTGGGTAGTTTGGGTCGTGACAATCTGGGGTACCCAACTCGAAAGGGGCATTGTCGCGGGGGCGGACGACCCGCGAGAGGGAGGGTCGGCGAAAGACCAGGCTCTCGTCGGATCTAGGTCCGATGATGGCGTCTTTCATCATACTGCTTTTACCTCCGAGGGGGTCGTCGAGACTTGGTTGGACACTGGTGGGCTCGGGGCGTATGTCAACGACTCCCCCCATTACACATGTCGCGAGAGCGAATATTGCGAGCGAAAACCTGAGAAAGTAAAGATACATGATATCGCGTTTGTAAGAGGTAGCGACAGCAGTGAATGGGGGCGGTCAGGACGGAGAGGAAGTCTGAGCTATAATTCGGGGTTTTTGTATCAAGTCTAGAATATGCTCCTTTTTGTCTGAAAACCCATATTCGGTATAATAAAGTACTTGCTCCGGTGAATTGTGTCCTATGAATGGGATCAGCTGGTATGGAAGTCGTCCTGACGTTACACGTTGACAGGCCTAGTGTATGACCAACTCATTTAGTTGCGTTACTTATTTCTTTCAGTCATATCTTAATGGTTCTGATAATTACGTGGTTCAGTATGGGCCCTCACATCTTGTCAGCACAATGAGAATCCCTCTGGAGTTTGGGACGGAGACTCAAAAGAAAGAGCATATTGATGAACGCATTTATAAACCTCTAGTCACACAGATTTGCAGCCCTATGGCTTTTTCTCTGGAAGGATTGTTACTTTTCCAGGGGGACGTTGGTCGAAATTTAGCTCAAAGCTGTAGTCTTGTGGCAAGGAACGACGATAGGTCAAAGCCACCACCTAGGGGCGTTTTCATGGTCAAGTTTTGGGTTCTCCACGTTCTGTTATTTCTGTTCGGTTCTCTCCCTGTCCACCCGCACAACTCTCTATTCGGTATAATTACAAGGCTGTCTTGAGGTCGCATGTGTACCTAGTCATAGCCATATACGCTCTAAAGGAACACGTTAAAGGTACAATTCTAGGTAATCAACAGAATATTAATTGTATCGTGCGTTGATGCCGGTTGGGAATAGGCATCGGGCCGATACCTATATTTGTCTGCCCAATGTGCAACAACTTGGATGAATAAGGCCCTGCATTGACTAAAGAAATGTCATTTAGGTGGGGGGAACACACTGGTAACCGCACAGAAAGGCTATTGTGTGACATATCCACCATTGAGAAACCGGAAAGGATCCCAGTAATTATGCTGCAAAGGGAACAGCAACGCCCATAATTTGTCTTTAGGTTACGTCTCTAGCCCTCCCTGAATGAATTAGTAATTGAGGACCGGCATCTTGCAGTGATTCAGCCCGCTCATACTTTTAACTTGGACCAAATTTGGGTTTATAGACGCCTTGGGCTATGGTTGACATTCTCGTTAGTGCCGGTGATCTACGAAGGGGTTTGAAATAGCTCGAGGCGCGAGTTCCACCTGTCTCGGGATCTTATTTTTTTCTTTTTTTTTCTTTTTTCTTACATCAGCGCCGAGTATTCTACACAAACTAATAGAGTGGGATTTGAGTTGGCGATTAAAATTAAGATCTGTGTTAGTATATTATTTATTGCTCTCTAAGACCATATGAAAATATTGTGATCTAGCTTTCATAATAACTGATCGAAAATAAGGGAGCCAGCCTTGTGCATAAACGACATTTATATGGGGTATAACTAGAACAAATGACCTCTATATGCCCGCTATGGAACTTCAAATAAATATTATTTTAGTCAATACCTGTTGGTACAAAAGAGACGGCGGTCGATGATTGGCCGTTAGCTGTTGAGAGATCTTCCGAGGATTCCGCCTGACTGCGAATCACTAAGACCTCATGTCCTCGTTGACTCTTCTCTGATAGGATTGAGCATCGCCTATTGTTTGCAGTCAACTTACTGAAGTTAAATACTTCCAAAGCTCTGGGCCCGTTCTTTATCAATCGTATCGATCGAATGAGACCTGCCGTTGTTCTTCTGTCCGCCAGGCTGATTCTCAACCTCAACGACGACCGTAGTCACCGTTTCCATTTGAATGCCCTCCATATTGCCACCGCATCCCCTTAATGATTGTTGGCTGATACTCCGATGTGAAAGTGTGCTCTGACGCTCACGTTTGATGCCGTGTCCCCAACGATTCTTCCCGAACAACTTTTGAAGCCAACCGCCGGTGCCCTCTTCAGACGGAAGGTTGGGCCTGGTACTTCCGGCGCCCTGGACCCAGACCATGTTCCCAAACCGGCGGTTCGCGGGTGTGCGCATAAAAGCAAAAGTGTCGAGGCCGGTTTCCTCGTAGCCTGGTGACGCATTAAAGATGATAACGTGACGGGTGGTGGAGAAGAGAAGAACGTCAAGCCAGCCGTTGGATGCGATCATGGCACCGGCGAGGCAGAAGTAGTCCAACGAAACCTCTTTTCCGGCCATAGTGATGACACGACCCAATGCCAAGGGTGCTGTGCAGAGGATGTAGATGATGGGGTAGATGAGGAAGGCCGGGTGATGTCCAGCGTTGCTCGGGGTAGTTTTTGGTGCGTCTTTATGGGGGCTCTCTGAGGGCTCTGATTCAGAGTGCGCGTGTGTTTGGCTGGATCTACGGCCATGACCACTCTTGGAGTCAGAGGAAGTAGTATTGTTAGAAGAGGATGGGAGTCGGAGAGAAGGGTCAGTACGGCGAATATGGCTAAAGACGAGGATGTAGAACACCGCGGTGACGAAGAAGGATATAAACATCCACAGGTAGTGGAGGTAGAGACGCATTGCTTCATAGCGGGCATTGATCCAGCACTGGCTTGATGTTACTACAGGTCCATCTCGACGGATCGACAAAGACGACTTACCCAGGCAGAGGCGCGAACATATAAACCGCCCTCAGCAGCCCCATTGTTTGTAACGATGACACCAGCCGCCGCAAAGGCGTAGATGAAAAACCACACAGAGCCGATCATGGTCCAAAAGGCCCATGTAGGAAGCTTGTAGTCTCGGACGACAGACAGATAGGTGTGCACCGCAATGGTGGAGATGAAGGCGCTGGAGGCCAGGTCGCCCGTTGAGACAAACCAGCCTTGCGCCCAGCACGTTGTACTCTCAACGACAATGGCATTCCTGCCCAACCACGACACATTGAGCAGGAAAGCGATAGACTGCTGGATATCGGCCAGAAGAAGATTGTAGATAAGCATGAAAAACTGGTTTGGTGCGTCCATCTTTGTCTTATTCTTTTTGCTGCCATCGGGGTACATTGTGTCCGGAAGACCCATTTCTTGGGCCAGAACGGCGTCGGCATTCGGCTCGCCCGCCATACGCTGTGGCCACCGGGGATCCGGCGTCAAATACCACGCAAACAGCCTGTACGTCAGAACAAAGAGTAAAACCGTTGTTGATACGAAGGATAGGAAGCCGAAAAAGGAGACGGCCGTCAGACCCCGGTGGAGGGCGTCGGGAAGTGGCGCAAGCGTTTGGCTTTCTGGGTCCATGGCGGGCGGTTCACGGTGATCGAGCGCTGGGTGGCGTTTGTGGCTGGAACGGGCTGGGTGATCAGAGTTGCCGTCGAGCGGCGTGTGGTTACGGGTCTGTCATCCAATCTGCTTGTGGAAGAACTTCCTTGGACCTGAATCAAGTTTTAGAGGAATCGTATGGAAGGCGAGGCAGAGAGTGGCCGCAGGTAAGCAGATAAATAATGCCCGATGGCTTCCTGTAGCCTCCGGAGCCAGACTACGGAGCCAGGGTGATGATGATAGTTGAGACCCTGACCCTGTCAAGCTCTTATGTGAGTGGTGTTAACAACCTGGAGTTCTGCAGTCTGCAGATGCCTGACTAGGGGCATGTCGCTAAAGACAGAAAGGGGAGAGAAGGCCATGGCCCTGGATCCATCCACCAGCACCGACGGCCTCCCCCATCTCGCTGGAGGATTAAAAGAGGAGGTGAGGGGCGAATCTCGTGCCAATCTTTTTGAAAAATGGAGTAGTTGTTCCTACGCAGACAGGTGATGCCTCATCGGTGAAACATAAATCTCAATTGACAGCCTCCGTCTAAAGCAAGCGTTCCATTGCCTCCGTGAGGACCGAACCAAGCGCCATGGCCACTACCGACACCTGGAGGAGAGAGGCGTCTTCCAGAAGGACCTTCTTCACTAGCATTAGACGCCCAGACTTTTCGACCTTCATTACACTTCGATGTCGATGTAGGGGATGAGAGCCAATGAAGGAAGATTTGAGGCAGGACCTCAAACATGAAAAGGGGAGGTGGCTGCCACGAGGGCGGTTGGAGCTAACGCTTGACGAACTGATACCAGCGACTAGGCCAAACCTTAGGTGTGCCAAGAGACATGCTGATTGGTGCTCTTGCGATTGCCTGGCAGGGGTAAGGCGAAATCGCCAAACCGACAGTCCGGTTAGGCCGACATGTGGTCATCGAATGATATTAGGTATAGTTTTTATGTGCCGAAAACGTAGCCTTGGGTTCTTTCAGCGGCACCATGCCGGCTACTTGTTAATATGATGCCTGTCTCCATATACATCATACATCGTACGTCTTCGGTCCCGGTGCCCACAGCCATCGTTGTGGGTTCACGCTAGGCTCAAGCTGGTTACGTTTGACGAGAGCTGAGCCCGGCTGCTCTTGGCTAATACCTTTTTTCTCGGGATTGTCCGGACGTTTGACGTTTGTTCCCCCTCCTTGGTGCGATTGAAAAAACTCGATTTGTGACTGTTGGGACTTTGGATAAATGTCAGACAATGTGAGACCAGAACGCAAGCTGTCAACCTGGTACTTAGGAGATCTTGCCGAGGCGGTCAGACGTTGGGTCCGGCATGTCAGATGGATGCGATTGCCTGCCTGAGCATCTTGGTGGCGCCGCCACCAAATGTCACCTCGCTGCTTTCTTAGCTGGCGATTTGGCCGACTCTGAGTCGTTTACTAAAGATAACGACAAAAGAAAAGAAAAAAGGAAAGAAAAGGAAAAGAAACACCACTGGCTGTTTATGCCTCTCAACATCATAGGATCTTCGATGTAAGCCGGGAAAGGGGAATTTAGTTGAGCAGTACTCCGTATGCTGCGTAGCTACTTATCTGATGACTCCGTGTCCGTAGGACATGCCGCACACCTTGGGCTTGGTGAGTGGAGTCACGACTCGCTGTTGGCAAGGCGGATAACAGCCCCCTCCTCTGTTTGGCCTAGCTTAACGACAACATTAGATCCTCGAGTGAGTGACAAGAATCGTGGGCCAAAATTAATCGCGTTGCATGTTTCTAAGCCTCGTAACACTTCATGTCATCTCTTCGAAATCAAAGATTAGGGATGCGATTTCAGTAATCAATAGACACGGTAACTGATGGAAATGAAGGGGAAAATGGGTATCTTGTCAAGAGTTGCTACCATGAACCCTTAGCGAGGATCCGTAGCCAGCGCACTTGCAGGGCAAGGTGTCAGGGCCTAGACCGTTGCAATAGAGCTAAGGCCTAGTCACGTTAGCTTCATATTTGCTAGCGCTCAGCCGTACTACAGGGGACATATCCGATAAGACAACCATACACAATGATATCTCAACATGAAACGATTCGTTTGCCTTCTGGGTATGCGGGATAAAGAAGGAACTCCTTGCGAGGCTAGACGTTCCCAGTGCATTACTACGTATGTTCCATGACGCATGCCCAAGCCGACTGTTAGGCCGTCTTGGTGTGGTAACAGAATTAGAAGGCCGACACATATTCCAAGGATCTTACAGCCAGGTGTGTACCAGTATAAGCAAGGGCTTCGTGAAGAAGTGCGGGGTACAGTTGATGATCATGTACTCCGTACAGCTGAAAAGCTTCCGCGCCTCTTTAGGTAAGGCGCTGGAACCGAAGAATCACGAATGTTGATACCATTCGAAATAAAGGGACGGCCCAGTTTGCGCCACGATCAGGTATAGTGGTTTTCTTCCGCACTTGAGTTCTAGCAAGCATTCTCGTGGCCATGTCGAGCCATAAATCAGTACATAAGGTACACGCCGCACTTAGTTATATAACGCGACAAAAGCTGCAGAGAGCTGGGGCTACAACAAAATGCGTTGATGATTGCCCGTCGCCACGTATGATGTCAATAAAGTGCCGGCTACTACCGGAGGAAGACTAATAGTGAAAAAGACTGAAGCGTGGCAAACCTTAAAGCGGTTGATCGGACGATGGCCTGTCAACTATGTCATAACCAAGATATTTGGGAATGTCAGGCTTGCGAAGAGAGAGGCTTGAGCTTCTACCAAAAGGGCATGTATAGAAAACCTCCTGGCCATGAATCATGTTATTTCCCAACAATCATATGACTCCCAATGAATATCGCGGAGATGCTAGACATATTATGGTGTTCACGAGCGCGCGTCTACGTTTTTTGTTAGCTTGGCGTTAGAGTTTCTTTTGCCTACGATCATTGAAAAAGTCTCAAAACTATGCCTAGTCAAGTTCATATTTTCAAACTCAATCGACATGGAGATTACATGGCTACCCCGAGTTATACGAACACTCAGGGTGTTGATATATTACGACAATGACGACGAGAATAATTTAATCGTCGTGGTCGTCCCTTTGGTACTCTAAGACATGGCCATTGTCGTCAATGGTCGTTTGTTATTATTGATTTTGGTTCGAACAGTCTCCTTGTTGTCTGTGAGTGTGTCAGATGGCATGTGGCGGGATGAACCGTGCAGCGTACATTGGCGCTTACTCCCACTAGTCCCCGAGTATCCGTAGTGCAGACCACCACCACCTTGCAGTGTTGCTGTTGCTCATCTCAGGTGGCCAACTCTGTCATCGGCTTTCCAATACAATTCACAATCATCAGTCTTTGCATCCTAATGCACCTCAATACCGACTGATTTGATCTTTGATAGCACCAATGCAACTCCCCAAGCTCCCAGCGAAGGCCGCATACCTCCATATAAGGAACCCAGCGAAACGCAATGCGCTGAGCCTTGAAGTTCTTGAGGATCTCCGCACACAGCTGCTGTCGCATCTTACGTCACGGGAGACGGGTAGGGTCTTGACTCTCCCTGCTTTCAAACCCTCCGTCTTATCTGAACTCGAAACTGCGAGTCATCATGCCCACTCAAGATCAGGCGGCTCATCGAAGCATCGCTGGCTTGTGGATGCCAGCGAATGGAGGCGTGTCAGGGAGGGTTTGCCTAATGTGCTCATCATCCGCAGCACGGGCCCCGTCTTCTCCTCAGGCCACGACTTGAAGCAGATCGCATCTCTGTCCCACGCCGAAGTGAAGCACACATTCGCTCTGTGCGCCGAGATCATGTCTCTCATCCGGCACAGCCCGGCACCCGTCGTATGCCCCATTCAAGGCCTCGCAACCGCGGCCGGGCTGCAGCTGGCATTGTCGACGGACTACCCCATTGCCCTCTCCACGACCAAGTTTCAGCTACCTGGTGCTAGAATCGGGCTTCCGTGCACAAGCCCCTCCGCTGCCGTATCCCGTCGTCTCCCACCGGGTCAAGCCTACCGGCTTCTTCTTTCTGCAGAAGCAGTTCCAGCAGACGAAATGCGGGGTGCTGTGGATGTGGTGCCTACTCCCGACCATGCAGAGTCCACCGACACAGCCGCCGCAGCTTTCGAGGGGCGTGTAGCAGAGATAGTGGAGCGGTTGGCAGGGTCTGCAGGGCAACCTATGGCTCTCGGAAAGTGGGCGTTCTGGACACAGCTCGGCATCAAAGGCGACGCTGTCCATGAGGGAGGAGGAGATGGTTATGAAGACGCCGCAACCTGGGCCGGCCGGGTTATGGCGTTGCATGCGCGGAGTGTTGATGCAAAAGAGGGCATGTCAGCTTTTGCTCAGAAACGAAAACCCGTATGGCAAACGTAACCTGCCACCCCAGTCAACCAACCCCGTCTCCATAAAAGAAACATGGATAAAATATCAATGATTAACTTGAACACCCATTGCGGTCCAAGATGCAACTATTCCCAGCGCGGTGTTCGAATTCGCAGCCTTCAGATAACTATTTAACAGAAGCCTGAGCCAGAGCTCGACACCGCCAAGGATTAAGTGGGACATCTTGGTCAACACTAGGTGGGAAGCGAACGTGAACACCGTCTGGCTGCATAACATGCATCATGAGCGAACTTTGCAATTCAGAATAAAATCCATAAAAAGACATCCGCAGTAATAGGAAACTTAACAAATAATCTGGAATTATATAACAAGTCCATTAGTTGTACATTATATACTTATTTATAACTTAATCTCTTTATGCTTTCTCATCCCTCCTACATAGGCAAAAACCTTGCCTGTTTTGCAACCGTAACAAACAGAGCAGCTAAGAAACACCATGAATCAAGAAACGACCAAAAAGCTGACCAACGCGGGGCTCGAACCCGCAACCTTCAGATGACTATTCCATAGAAGTCTGAAGCACTACCATTACGCCAGCCGGCCAATCCGTTGAGTTGATGGTTTCCAACTTCGTGTGACAGCCGAGGTGTCGTGGATTTAACAACGGCCAATGCCACGCGGCGACGCAGGATTTTTTGATAGCCACCCAATATTACACCGTTGACATGTCTATTAAGTATATCACTTTACCAAGGATGAAAAACATGGTGCTTATTCCCGTGATAGACCCTACTGACTTCCAGGACTCTTAATCAGATGCTGTTCTAAGATACCTGCGTCTCTGAACAAATGTCATAGCATTTACGCGGACTGTACAAGCGCCTTCAGCTATGAAACGCAATAGCAAAAGCCAGGTACGTCAAGTCCTATGGCCTTACTGGTCAGTTGACCAGCACCGATTCTAAAACGGCTTGGTATAGTGTAGAAACTAAGATATATGCAAGCTGCGGTGACTTAAGTGTTAGGGTGAAGGCTTGAAATAACCAGCGGCTTTATCTTCAATAGTTGTGAAGTTGTAATCCAATCGAAACCTGGCAATTAACTGATGAACATGCATAATAGATGAGGTTGTTAATGTGTACTTCGAGTGAGCTTACAGAGTTCACCTAGCTAATAGCCCATAGCTACTGTGCGAGAGGGGCTAATGATACATCCTTGGCTTATAGAGCTCTCCGAAACCGTAAACGTTCAACTTGAAATTATTTATTAGTTGTAAAATATAGGACTCTTAGCAAAGAATTTGCATTCGCCTGGTCCAACTAGGGGAGATCCATATGTCAGGTTTCTGCTAGTGTTCCGTTTACATGACACCACGATTAATATCAGGATACACCATCAAATCGGCCTGCCCGCCGTCCAAGCAGTCTTCTTCTTCTTCTTCTCGTGTAACAAGAACGTTTAACAATTATCGATTACTCCTAGAGTCACTAACGATAAATTACAATCTTGTTTAGAAACAATAATAAAAGGTTATGAAACCAGGCCTAGCTCCGAAGAGACTACACAGGGTTTGCTCCGACGAACCACGATTTGGATGCTTTTGCCATATCGCCGATTAATGCATCCTCTAGACTCAGAGACTATCAGTGGCAGCTATCCTAAATATCAGTCTTCTCTAGATCGGCCAAATGAGACAGTCGATCATTGGGCGATGTGTGATTCAGCACCGCGGTCAGGCCAATTTCATTGTTGATCTCCTCCATGCGCTCAAAGTCAGCAGCGGCTGCCCCCTCGGAGCCAAACAATAGGTCCTAGACGAGACACTCGTTAGCACACCAGGTAGATTGAGCGCCGTGAGGAGAAGTTGGAATGACGTGAGCACAAGAACCTACCATTTCTTCCAGCGATAGGCGCTTGGTTTCAGGAACAATAAACCAGATGAAGGCCGCTCCAAGATACGTCAAGATGCCGAATAAAATATAGGTTCCGTACGTAATGTTTGTTAGCATATCCGGAGTAACTTGTCCCACGCTGTTCGTAAAAAAGTCAGTACAAGCCTCAGAAGCTCAGGTACCTTGGAGGTCATAAGGTTCTTACATGAAGTTGTTCCTATAAGATAGCTATTAGAATTATTCAAGGGCTTTGGGTATGGCAGTACTCACATCCAGTTACTGGAAGCACCAAGTGATACACCATATGGACGTGTGCTCAAAGGCCACACCTCGGCAATGATAATCCACGCGCAGGGGCCCCATGAATCTGTGATTGCGTTAGCCTTTTTTATATCGAGATATCTGGACTAGGGTTGAGGAAGAGCTGACATCCAAAATGAACAACAAATAGCCAGACCATGCAAACGGCGGCCCAGCCAGCGGCAGGCTGTTGATCAAAACGGTCAATGTTCTTAGCAAGAATTACAGCAATGATGAGGTGACAAGTGCCCATGCCGATAGCTCCGATGGTAAGAACTGGCTTACGACCGACACGGTCGATCCAAAGAACCGCTGGAATCGTAGCAATGAACATTACAACACCAACCACACCTGTAGCCAACAGGCTGGTAGTTGTCTCGCTAAGACCTAGCTGTCCGAAGATTTGAGGCGCATAATACAGAACCTATCATTTCAGTCAGCCTACTTTGGATTCCAAGTTTCAACACGGCTGTCCAAACGTCAAAATAATGGATCTGAAGCATCCAGGCTTATGTGATCACTGGCCAGTCAAAAGAAGAAGCAGAAAGAGTCTAACGATATGACCAACTGGAGGCCAGAATTTCGGTTGAGGGAAAAGTCGGATACTTACTGCATTAATTCCTGTCCACTGTTGGAAGAACCTAATACTGTTAGTTGTATGAGGCTAACAGCTGCATTGAAAGACAGGACCAACATTGTGACCGTTGCTACGATGACTCTCTTGAACATCGCTTTGGTTTGGAAAAGGGCTTTGATCGCGACGAATTGCAATTTGAACGTGTTCCACGCATTGAGTTCTTGGAGATGAGGAAAGTGCTCGGCAGTGCTGCGCTTCTCAAAGAGAGACTGGGCCTTGATTTCAAGAAACTCGAGTTCGATCAGTTCGTGGTTCTCTGGGAGATCCCTTAGGTTGGCAAGAACCCTTCGAGCCTCTTCTTCACGGCCGTGGTGGATCAGCCAACGGGGTGAGAACGGCATCCATATCATTCCAATGAAAAGGAGGGCCGCGGGGGCTAGTTGTAGACTGATAGGTACCAGCCAAGCCGCATCGGACTGTGTCGCCTCCGTTGTGCCGCCGATGTAGTTGCATCCACTAACAATGTGTCAGTACAGTAGTAAATTCCCAGTAGCATGAAGCTTTGAATCGGGTTTCCTAGGGGCACAGCATACTAGCTATATTGACGTTAGTTGGAAAGACGTCCTATCGGGAAAAGGGGCTACTTGCTCAATCCAGAAACTGATCATAATTCCGAAAGTGATAGCAAGCTGTTGCAAAGCGACAAGAGCGCCTCGAACCTCGCTATGGGAGTATCCATTAGAATGCATGGGGCACTGTAAGAACATATTTGCCAGTGACTCACGGTGGTGCGCATTCGGAGTTGTATAGGGGTACAATCATTGACAAACTTCCAACACCCATGCCCCTGTAGCCATGTCAGTGTTTGTATTTGTAAAATGAAAAAGGATTGGGGCCATACGTGATGAAACGTCCTCCCAAAATGGACTCGTGGCCACCGGAAATAGACGTGATCTGTACAACTACACCAAGTATGAAGACACCGGTAGCAATCAGTACACCGTATTTACGGGAGCATACTTCAGCAATGAAGCCAGATAAAATAGCGCCAACCCAGGCACCGAGTTCCAAAATGGCTGTCAACCATCCCTTTTGGGTTTGGTTCTTGGTATACCCTTCCATATCTGGCAACGAATGAATGTATCAGCAACCGGCGTCTTTCATAAACATACGTCAATGCCCCATCAGAGGATAAATATATATGCGTACGCTTTTCAAAAGATGGCATAGCCAGAATGCCAGAGAACATTCTGTGCATCAATAGTGAGCTTCATTAGATCAAAGCTTGAGGAAGAATGGCGTCGCACCCTTGATTGTAGCCATATAAAACGCCTCCAATGCAAGCGAAAGCAGCAATACGGGCAACCTTCCAGTTCTTGACTAGAGCTCTGGCACCACTGGCGCCCATCAGCGCTTGGCGTCTCTGCAAAGCAGCATCGTAAGCTGCGTTGCCGGAAGCGTGGCCGCCCATAGCTGGTGAGATATCTCAGCTGGGACTCCCAACAGAATGATGCGTTCCTCAACGCGTCGTGATGATTGAAAATCCCCCTTTTTTATGTATTTGCGAAAGAAACTCAAACCGGTGACGGGGTAAGTGGCTTAATGGAGGACGGCGGAGGTGTGTTGGGGGATGTCAGCACTCTTATCACTACCAAGAAGTCACACTGGCGGCACAGAGGTACGGGCCATTAATAAAGCTAGGATTTAAAGACCCCGACCACCTCCCAATCACACTATTCCGCGTGAAATGTCAATCGGCCCTACATAGTGGTAGGATTCTGACTTAACATGGACAGGGACAGATACCGAGACTCTTGGCCCCATGGGGAAGCGTGAAACAAAAAGAACATGGTGTGCGAGGTTCTCCCTTTAGGCGACACCGGCAGGCCGCTACCCCGCGGGGAAATGACCAAGCAACCCCATGTTCTTTTGTGCAATCACGACCGGCAATAGCTATTTAGCCTAAATGAAGCGCGCTCCGCCGTTCGTCTTTTGCCAGAGAGATGTCTGGCACCTATACAGAGTACTCCGGCGGTTCTTGGCAGGTGATTGGGTAGGTTATATGCGCTTCCACTAGTGTAGTCAGGGATGCAGCGCGAGCTGTTGGAACTCCTCATGTCGGATCCTCTATTGCATGCCGCTAAGCACCTATGGTTTGCTCACCGACTGGTCTTTTATTTATCTGGCCCTACACTTTTAGCTACGGATACTCGCCGGGAATTAGACCGATTTGCGAAGCATGGGGCGTTCGGTACGGATCTCTGCCACACACCACCTTACCAGTCGCCACAGGTATGTTGTTGTAGCACCAACATCAATGAAATCGATTGTACTGCATAGTGGCGTCTGGGATTTGGGGTATCAGGCAGAATTCCTCTGAATGCCCGGGTGCTCACGAGATCCATATCGGGGGTTTCTGGCCAGATGGCGATCAACCTTTATGGAACTGCGGATATACATTAGCGCTGTGATTTGGCGGGAACTGGATGCAATGATCGACCATGTTGGGAATGCTTATTTCACTTTCTGCTTGCAGAAACACACATATTACAGTATAATTGACACTGACAGGCATTGGTTGAACCATGGGTTGGATAATTTTATTGACGCCGCTGTACTGCAGAGTGCGTGGGCTGGAGCACGGGACAGCCCTAGGAATCTACCTCAATCAACCTGCATGCCTTGAACTGGCCAGTCTTGATCAGAACAGTCACGAGAGCAAATCAGCTTTACAAACTATTAGTCAGAACCGAGAGTTTATTTTCTATATTCATGCCAAGCTTCAGGCAACATCAATGGATGATCTACTATGCTGTCTTGCCGAATACCAAACCAAGAAGTCGCTGGCCCCAGCTCGCTGACACAACTTCAATAGGCTTCGTGCGACGCAGCTCACCGGAGCGACGGGGGTCATCACCGATCGGTTGCTGGATCCAGCCAGTGGGTATCTGCGCGATAAAATCGTACCAGTAATCCCCCATCATCCGGTAACCTGGATTCGTCGGATGGAGTCCATCTCTCAGAGCATCCATGGGAAATGTTGAGAAGTCGACGGCAAGAACGTGGTTTCCGGCATCGCTCCGCGTCTGGACGATGCCTGGAATCAGGGACCGAAACTGAGCAATATTTCTCATTTGGATCTCATCGTGACAGCCAATGATCATCCCGACAAGAATAGTAGCATCTGGACAATCCTCAACGATCTTGTCAATGAGCTTGCCAAGGCGATCTGCCGCCTCTTTTGGGTCGTTGCCTTCCTTGGCTACGTCTAGATTGGGATGCATGTCATTTGTACCGGCGTGAATAAGTACTATGTTAGGCCTTTGCTGGAGCGACGGTCCAACATGGTCAGAGATGAACTTGATGGTCATGCCCGACCAAGCTGCCTGTCATGGTGGATACTCGGTCAGCTCAGTTGTCATTTAAAGAGAGCAGCTATCGAGGTACACTTACGAAATAATTACCAGGCATCGTGCCGTTCATAGTCTCCGTTCCCGAAAAAACGACCCGGTCTTCTGTGTAACACATCAGCTCACGACTGAAAGAGACGCAGGACAATATGAACTTACTTGATAAGTTATCTCGGAGCTTGAGTCTGTATCCATTGCCGTCTCCCCCATCTATGTCACTGAGAAATCCAACTGTAATCGAGTCCCCAACACCGAGGATGCGTAGGGTCGTCCCAGGCTTGATTTCCTGGCCGGGTTTGGTATACTTGAAAGAGAGCGGAGAACTGAAGTCCATGATGTCCCAGGCTCGTAGTCGTTATACTTTCGACGGCTATTTCCCTAATCTACTCAAAAGACAACGGAAGCATGCAAGGTTCCCTCAGGTGTGATAAGGTGAAGCACAATTGAGTTCACAGAGAGTATGAGTGATATGTCAGGTGTGTGCCTGGCCCGCACGGATGAACGATAGAGCATGTGACATTTGTTTCAGGCTGGGGTCTCATTCTTCTAACTTGGGTACGTTGCCAAGGCGGTCGCTCTCATAGTCGCACAGGTACACAATGATAGTAGCACAGTCGGGAAAACACAGTATAAGTGTCATGCCCAATATCCGTACTCAACACAACAAAGAGGCCTGCGTTTCTAACTCAAGCCACTCGTGGACCTAAGTAACCGCAACCGAGGTTTTTCCAGTCCGAAACCCCAGTTAGGAGCTTGGTAAGAGGCGTTTAACGACGCTCCCAAGTTGAAGGCGTATTTATAATCAGACATACGGTCTTTCTTCATATATTTGATGCCATTCCCATTATCACCACGATTGCAGTTTATATCAAGCTGTGCCGGTAATCTTTGCTCGATTTACCGTCCATCATGTATTTCATCCCAGTGCACCTCAGGGAAGTCCGCGGAAGGGGTGTCCAGAAGTGGCTCCTCAGTGCCCAGAAAAGTCTTATCAAAGAAAGCTCTGATAAACGTCCTCGAGATATTGACCATTCTGTTACCGTCAATCGGACCGAGCGGACGTGTTGTCCCGAAAACCTTCCAAATTGTCCTGTCAGACCAGTCACCGTGGGTGGTACCATCTACAGATAGCAAACGCCACCAGCCACTTTGCCAGGCGCGGTAATTGTTCCAAGTTTGATCAGTATTTGCATTGTGATTTTGGAAGCCAAGAATAAGTGATGGCTTTCTCAGGTCCGAGTCGGAGGTGCTGTTTAATCGACCAAATATTGTACCGTCTACGTTGATGGCGGCAGCTACTGCGTCGCTCTCTAGAGCCACAGTAAGAGCAGCGGAGCCTCCGATGGACACGCCGAATGCGCCGTAATTGTCAGTCTTGAAGGGCGCTTTGAGGTCTGCCACTAATGAAGGAAAGAAGTCAATGAAATGCAGTTGGTGCTTGACCCTGGTGGCGTGCAGCTTCTCGACCCATTCACTAGTGTAGTTACTAAAAGCTGGCGAGAGGCCGTAGACACCAGTGCCATTGGGATATCGCAGAAAGGGCTGCTCGTAGATGTGGTCAAATGCAGCCACGACGTATCCTTCACCGTCAAGTCAGCGCTGGCTAGGGGAATGTCCAGAAACGTGGGTTTACCATGCGAGACGAGGTCGGAAATGACAATGTAGTTGCCATCAGTGGGTGGACCCCAACCACCGGGTCCGAAAAGAAGCGTCGGGCCGGTTCCTTCATCCAGATATGAGGCGTTCCACCGTACTGTCGACGTCAGGTGAGATATATTGAAGCTCCACAGAGTGGCATACAGCTGAGCAAGCTCAGCCTCTAGGTAGGGCTCTGGGCAAGGCTTCTCATCCGAGGTTGGATAATATAGTGTGGCGAGATATTCGGTTGCGATGCCGTTCGGCCACACGGGATCTTCCTCGTTCAAGAAAGGAATAGCAAAACGCTGGACACCGACATTGTACTCGCCCGTGGGAGCGGGAATTTGTTCTCCAAGGACTATCTGCGCAATCAAGGCCCCGAGATAAAACTTTAGGGTCGAGTGGATTTGGACCTTCATGGTGATTACCGAATACGCAAGACAATATCTTGCAATGCTTGACAAGTTGGTACAAATTGGGCATGCCATGCTAGTCTGTTTAAATAAGTAGTGTGGCAAGTTTTCTTTTCCTTAGCGTGGTAATGAGGATCCCGCCTGGTCCATCAGGATCAGTCTTATCTCAATTAGGCAGCTGGGAAATCTCTTGCTTATTCTCAACCCTTGGCTCGACGTTGCCCGAGAGCTAAGACGTATTAGATCAGCGGCCGCGCCGAAACAGCACTGGGGCTATCTTGAGAAGGCCCTCAGATACACAGAAATCAAAATACAGTAAGCTTCTAAATATAATACTCACCTTCTCAATCGCCTATAGTGATTATGCTCGCAACCCGCGCTAAAACTACAACAGCCACCAAATTGGCGACGTGCTTACTCGTTGCTTGCCACCTTGGACGACAAAACGCAGAGTGCGGGCGCCGCATTTTAAGCTTCTGCCAGGACTAGAACTTTCTACCTTGCTAGATCCATTATCTAACAAATAGATACTCTGTTTCTAAAATATTGAGTCTACTGTTGCCAGCAAATCTGTTCAATGCCGTTCGCAAATGAACCTTAGATAAACCTGAATATGACAGACATTATCTAGATACAGGGTGTGATCAAGACATGAACAGAGAAATCTGGTTAGGATCACCCTCAAGGCCCGTAGGCTTCAGCCTGGGCCCGATATCGGGGTACTCAACCCATTCGGTTTTGTAATCAATCCCCTTATAGTTGAGAGTTAGTCGGACTAATTCATGTATCAGTTACTATCAGAAGACATACGGAATTGTTATACACTCACTTATCCAAGTATTCAAAGACCAGCATGTACTTTTCCTATTAGGAATGTCGAGGAAAACCAGTGAGGACACGTGGCCATTCATGCAAGTGAGAGTGAGTGAAGGGTGTAAGCAAAGACAGAAGCGGCGTAGTTCCAAATCCCGCGAAGACACGGCCCTATGGCGACACACTTGTAAGCTCCATGGATCCCGCGTCACTGGGACAGCTGACAGATCTGCGGAGACAAAAGAATAGTCCTACACAAGGATAATTTAGTTGAATCCGGTTTCCTGTCAATATTGCCCTTGATATATGCAGTAATGAATGAGAAAGTAACAACGGAGTACTCAGCCAGGTCTCTTTCATTGACAATGGTGATATGTTATTAGCTGTCATATGGTTATTTCCCCTGATCAGAACCCACATATTCTAGCAGAAACAGCTTATTCCTAACAATACCGAGTTAATGGCACACAGATAATGGACTTTTGAGGTTTCATTTCTATAATTATGGAAAGGCTCTAAGCTCTGCTGCGTTTGGCGATTGCACCTATCTCTGTTTTACAATGTGTTGCTCATTGAGATTATGTGTCACATCATCGGAGCCTCTTTATCAGAGAATTGAAAATCTGTTCCGGAAGACATTGCAACGTCCACCCAGCCTCAGCTTGATGTTACAAAGCAGCCATCGAGGTAGAATATCTACGGACCGAGCTATTATTAGATCAAATTAGAGTCAATTACTTATTATCTCCATTAATGTCACATTTGCCGCTCTTAATGTTGTCCTATCTGCTCTCCCCTTAGATGTCATATTGTCTACTAGAGGAGTCCTGTGGTACTGATGTTCCGCTTTCACATAGAGACTTTCTTGTCACAGGATTGGTTTTGTTCAGAAGGAACCAAATGGTAGTAGCGGGGCTGCTCGTCTCGCTGCATCGACTTGCCGGTTAGTGGGGAATGGTTTCTCAATATTTTGACATGTGACACTAGAATCACCGTCTGTTTTTGACCGGATAATGGCACGTTTTCCATTGTTTGGCTGTCAATTCTAGTATAATTAATAAGCTGCCAATTGCACGAAGACTCTTCAATTGCTGCTAACAACATTGGATTTAGAGTCTCGAGCGTTCCATAGCCACAGCAGCAATAGTAAAATTGGCATCGCCATACTATCAGCAATACAGTCCAATTTCCCCGATGGCACAATTGGCTAGCGCGTCAGACTGTTAATCTGGAGGTTGGTGGTTCGAGCCCACCTCGGGGAGGAAATTGTGGTTAGAATCCACACCGTCATTGGATTTCATCTTTTTACTTCTTGATTCGAGCCGACAGGGATCTCTTAACTGTTATAGCAAAAACAAAAAAGGAAAAAAGGAAAAACGCCTTGCTTACTTACTCTCCTTCATTTCTGTCTATCATCATCCTGCCGTAAGTTAATCTCTCTTGAAATTCACTGATTCCCTGTGAAAAGAGATGACAATTATTAGTTGACTGGTGGATTTGGGCCCGGGTTTACAGTCTCTGGCGGATATAACCTGGTAGGCGAAGGTATTCGGAAGCCCAATCCTATCAGCAGGGCCAAAATGACAATGAGGGCTGATATCTGCTCCAGGGTATGATGCATCCAATGAAAAGATTCCCGACGAAGACCCTCTAGATTTACTTGGGCATGGAAGTCATGTGGCCGGTATTATTGCCGGCAAAAGTGAGTTATAATAAGCAACCTTAGCCCTCATGAAGTCAAACTGATAGATTGTGGGCTGATACCCCCCGGCTCCACAGCCACACTCCTGTCGCCCCAGGGGTTGATAGTCTTGCTTTCAAAATATCTGGTGCTGTAAGAATATGGAGGTTGTAAGCAACGGTACATGTGCTAGTTGTCATAGTTCGAAGGTACTGATGAAGCCATATTGATTGGAGCGACTGTCTTGGCGTATGAGTCCGGTGTAAGCATTCTTAAAGGATCCGGCATCTCATTCCAGCTGAACGCGGATATCATGACCGCAAGTATCGGACGTGCCCACAGTTCTTGGACGGGCTTAGGGCTACAGTGGCATCCAGAATCGTGGAACAAGGCGTCATAGTCACAAGTTGGTCAATGGAAGCTATACCGCCTCTGGCAACTATACGTAAGTTTTGTCCTGACTGCTACATACCTTGTACAAACATCAATTGTTGTATGACTCAGGAGCTAACGACCCGGACTGTAGAGTGCGCTTTGCTGCACTCGTACCTTTCAGCAACCCAGGGCAGTCTGACAGCTGGGATATTTGGAGAACTTCCATGATTACAAGTCTGCCTTATTACAATCCCTACCCCGGGGTCACGGGACAGGCATCTGATACCTTGGAGGCTTGGGACCTGGATCCTGGATCCTCGCAACGGGTTTTATTTTCTTGATATTGAAAAGTAGTAGTTCTATCATATGGATGATGTCTGGAAGTTTCACATGGAACGATAACGCAATCCTCCAATAATAGTCTTCTAGGTGCTGGGTGGCGCACAGAAAACGTTTCCCCCTCGCATTGGCTTCCGTCTGGCTTTGAATACATTCTTTGACCCGGTAAGCCCGAACCATCATTGAACTGTCTTATGGACGCAATAATCGCCAGTATTGATTCATGGCTTATGGAAATACTTCGTTAATTAACCTTGACTGTGGAATCTGGATACTGATAGTGCAGTTGGGATAGGCAATTGAGGTTTTGCTTAATTGCTTGCTACAATAGTCGCTTAAGCCTTTACTTTTTTGCCCTTTCGACAATTCCTTGTAGCTGCAAGGTCGTAACTAAAGCTATAGAAACACATTGTCATAATTAAATGCTAGAAAGCACTGAGGTGTTGTGGTCGCCCTTTCTAAATACCCTTACCGTTACGGCCTCTAATTAGCGATCATATCATTAAGGCGCTATGAATGGTAGAAGTTGGATGTGACCGCTATAGCCACGGAAGATAGACTCCTTTCCGGACTTCTACAATCTCACTGGGCGTGCTTGAGAATGGAAGCTGTAAGTCTTGGAAGAGGGCGACTGGAAACGAATTTCAAAATATGCGACAATATGTTAGTAGTCATTAAGTCGACTTTTATCAAGGTACAGAACCTTAAGATAATCAAAATTCGGCTTTTTGAAAGCTGTTTTGGTTGCTCACTGTATACAGCACTAATAAGTAAGCCACCATGGCCGTTATGGCCAACATCGCCGTGAAGACCAACATAGTTAGTTACCCACTCCGAGCATTTTTAAGAAACGTTCTTTGGAAGGCAATCTGATCAAACAGTTCAAAGGTGATAGTTGCAAGATTTCTGCTAATAATAGCTTTAACTACCATTTCGACTCCAATAAACATACCCTTACGTGAAGTTTGCTCATACTTTTCAACACGCGGGGTGCTAGGCTAGGGCTGGGGAAAACTCTAGATGTGATCAGACTTCTCTGAGTTGGAAGGCCAGGTAAAGAACCGTCAAATTGGTCCCTTTGTTTCTTGTAAATGACATTTATTGTGTCCGTTAATAGGGCATTGACAAGTATCTCGCTTCGCCGTCAATCAACTGCGATGTATAGACAAGACTTCGCGGCATGTTTGGAGCTAGGCGGCGTTCATCCGGTGCTCCGAGTATGACCCCGGTAACCTATCTTCCCAGAAAAACTAGGAAAACGCAACTGTTTCGCCATGACTAATGCTGCTTTGATGACATGACGGGTGACGGCCCAAGAGTCTTGGGCCAAGACTAAATTCAATAGAGCTTGGCTCTTGGCGGACTCAAAGTTCCCCTCATCTTTACCGTCGACCTTCCCGATCCGACTTTCGGTTCGTAGGCATGCTCCAACCAACGGTAGCCGTGTGGGTGTCAAAGTCTCGGCGTCCTGGGATATGGCATGCAAACCATCATTTTTCTTGATCTGCAGTGGCAGAATGACGCCGCGATTGACCGCAACACCAAATCATTTAATTGGAAAAACAAAGCCTGGGCCACACAGAATTGCTACATAGATAAAAAGGTAGCCGTGACCCAGCTACGACTACTGTGTATGAGTCTACTACTTTGCTGGCCAGTCCCAGCTATCTCGCCTCGCCTTTGATACACACGCAGCCATGAAGCTCTGCAAGTCTGCCGCGGCTTTGCTTTCGCTAGCTTCCGGCATCGTCGCAACAAACACAACATGCAGACCCAAGATTGACTCCGAAAAGCTTCAGGCGGACCTTACGACCGAAAAGTAAGACACAATTGCGAGGTTCAGAACGACTCCAAATTGACCAGAACTCGATTGACTGACTAGTTCCTGCAATCAAACAGCCTTATGGCCAATCTAAAGGCCCTCAATGAGATTGCATTTGTCAATGGGGGAAACAGAGCTTTCGGCCTATCTGGTTATGCTGCATCGGTTGACTACGTCTGGAATCGCGTTTCAAACATCTCTGGTACCAAGGCTTGGAAACAAGATTTTCCCGCCACTTTCGGCCAGGTCATCTCGATCGACTTCAATATTGAAGGGGAGTCTATCTATGTCTTCGGCTTAACCTACTCCCCCTCCACAAGTGAAGAGGGTATCACCGCTGAGGTGATTCTGGGTCCCGAGGGAGCCGCTGGTTGCGACGCCGCCAACTACAAGGGTCTGAATGTCCAAGACAAGATTGTGCTTGTGCAGCGTTATCGATGCCCAACTGGAGGTACTCTTGCGGGCAGAGTCCGACCTGCGGCGGCAGCTGGTGCTGCCGCTGTCATTGTATATCATGATGTGACGACTAATGCCACGGCGGGCTCACTCAGCGCCCCTGATCCGGAGGGGTTCGTTCCCGCTGGCTTCATCAACCTTGCAGATGGTCTGAGGATCAAGGAGCGCATCGATACAGGCGAAACCATCGTGGCTCACTTCCAGCAGACTCAGATTGTCGAGGAGCGCATCACGCAAAACGTTCTTGTCGAGACTGAGGAGGGTGACCCGCACAATGTCATTATGGTGCGCATTCCATTTGCCTACCCATTCAAGTACCCGTTGCTAACGTTTTTTAGCTGGGTGCCCACTTGGACAGTGTCCAAGCTGGACCTGGTATTAACGACGACGGTAAGTGGCATTTGTTGATTTAAAGTGAGTGTATATTGACATGCTTTTAGGATCTGGGACCAGCCTACTTATCGAGCTTTTCCTTGCCCTAACCAAATATCGAACTAAGAACCAGGTCCGGTTCGCGTGGTGGGGCGCCGAGGAGAATGGTCTGCTCGGATCCAAGTATTATTGTTCCAACCTCCCCACGTACGATGTCGACAACTTGCTCGTTTACCTCAACTTCGATATGGTAGCCAAGGGCTTCTTCGGTGTTGCCGATACTGATGGAAGTACTCACGGAACCGCTGGACCTGCAGGATCTGACGTTGTTGAGCATATTTACGAGGCCTATTTCGAGAGCCAGGGTCTCGAAGTTACTCCCGCTGTTCTTACAAATGGAAGTGACTATGCCTCATTCTGGAAAATCCTCCATAAGCCTTTCGGTTTCCTGCACACCGGCACAGCCGTTGCTCAAGATCCTTGCTACCACCAAGCTTGTGACACCATCGATAATCCCGACCCTAACACTATTACTGTCAACGCAAGGGTAAGCTCACTGTTGACATCAGTCGATCGACTGTCACTAGGGATACAAATTGACAAATATCATAGGCTGCTGCTCACATGTTGACTGCTTTATCGCTAAACGGAACAGAGCTCATTCCGAAGACTCCTGCCAACGCCACTATGTTGATGCACCTGCAATCAAGAGGTCTTGAGAATGACATTATACACATTGAGGAGCTTGAAGCTCTCGGGGAGAGGCACCTTGGCTGCGGCCACGACATTTAATTGCCGATGTCAATTTTTTAATATGTTTTCTCAAGAGATGCTTCATATTACAACGTTTGTACATGCAGCATGTCACCGTTTTAGTCGAGCTGATTGCGAGAGAGAGCAAGGCAATATTAAAGGGAACATATGCGGATATGACTACTGCAGAACATATAATGTAGACACACCGGCCCCGCCCTTAGACTTGTTTTGATATTGTCACTTTACCCGATAATACTTGCATGGCTAGTTCTTGCCAAAGCTATATCAAGGCAGATTTGAGTGCTATTTATAGGCCAGGCCCATTCAAAACTTCGAACAAATTTTTCAAAGAAAGGCGTCAACAATTGGCTGTCGAGCTGCGGTTTTGGCCCAAATTTCACAGCGAAGAGAACCCGTTTCCCAATCGGTTGGATGACATAGGTACTTTGCTTTCCAGCTTATGTGGACAATACACAGTGTAGAGGATAGCACACAACCCTGTCGCCCAGCTTTATCAACAGACTTGCAAAGTAGTGAAACGCTATGGTTCTATTATGTATATACTGAAAACTTATTGAACTGCAATGCCGTGCGGAACTGGACTACCAGCGGGAGATTTAGCTTTCCAACAGATCCCAGCGAAGTAAAGCTTCTTACACCACTTCCTTGAAGAACTATTGGCAGGTTGATGCAGCGGTTGAGTGCTATCACTACAGGATTTGATGACGGATGACATGCAGAACGTAAGCCCACCGGTCTGGCTGGCGCGGGTGGTTGGGGGCGGACCAAGACCCAGATATGGCTTGCTGTGCTTTATCGACGGCGGCTGAACGTTCACGAGGGCCAATCTTAATTGCAGCTGGAAGTTTACGAGCTGCCTCTTGTGATTGGGTAGTTCTTAAATTGACCAATAGGACTATGCTGACATTAAAGAGGAACCGAAAAAAAACGTACAGGGCCAAGAAGGGATTGGGTTTGTTCATGTTTGCCGGGCTACCGTCACTCCACAGCGGGCTTGGCAGTCAGCATCGTCGACCTCGGCAATCAATAAATTCAGAAATCTCTGTCATCGGCGTTCTTTTGACTTCCAGATGGCTCAATGAACCATATCGACTTTATCAACCCGAGAGCATCTGTCAAGTTGAGCTCAATTAACGAGAACGGTATTAAACACGGGAATCTCGTCTCCAGAGAGCACAAAAAAGCTTCACCACCACGGAAACAGACACACAAAGCACCCCAATCCTTTTCTTTAGAAATCTGTCCAATCATGAACGGTGCATCGTATTTTTCAGACACACTGGAGGAACCCGAAGCAGCAAACAGTGCCTTGGGACGACTCCACAGCCGTGTTCTCCCGCTGCTTCCACGGTTAGCAAGTACGCTTCCTTCCAATCAAGTCACTGGCCTCGTAAAAAGAGGCCCAGGCGATGCCCCGAGACGAAAACGAGCCAGCAAACCAAAGGTTCGATCCGGGTGTCTGACATGCAAGATTCGGCGGGTCAAATGTGACGAACGGAAGCCTACATGTAGTCGCTGCGAAAAGGCGGACATTGACTGCGACGGCTATATAAAGGAAGCCATGGACCAGAAGAAAACGACTGAACAACAACAGATCGTTGCGGCAGCTCAACAAGCAAGTCGATACTTGCTCCCGCGGCCGAACGTGCCGGGAAAACAGGGCTCAGTTCCAATTCTGACTGCTCGGCTTCGGACCAACCCTTCGCTGCTGCATTTCGATCATAAAGATGTGCCGTACTATGATCTGTTCAGATATCAGCTGATCCGGGACCTTGGAGGTTCATGTCAGGCCGACTTCTGGTCGCGCATTGTTCTCAACGAAATGACGAGAGATCCGTGTGTTCGAGAATCAATCTTGGCGATTGGAGCAATCTCACAAACCATATTTTTTGATGAAGAATCAAGTAAACGGTTCGGCAGGGTCCCTCCGTCTGCTCTTCGTCCTTGGGGGACTTCGAAGGCTGTTTTGACCGGCTTCCTCAATCGACACCACAAGGCAGCTTTACTGCATCATGTCAAAGCAGTCGCTATATACAGAGAGCGTATCCAACAGTCGGCTTCTGATACCTCGCCCAGGTCAATCATCATCATGACTTTGCTACTTATCGCTTTTGAGTTTATCCAAGGCAACATGAAGAACATTGACTCTCTGATGGGGACCGGCATGCGCCTCTTGGAAAACAAAATCACGTTGCTACACGGTCTCCAGCCAGGAGAAGAGTTTGAGGTTAGAGGAGATTACATATATTCTCGATTACGAACAGGTACTCCAGACGATGAGATGGAAGATATCGAGCATCTCCTGCCATGTTTATGTCTCATGGCCGGCTTCACCCATTTTTTCAGCTCGCACAGGAACAGCGTGCTCTTAATGAACAGCAGCCCGAAACTTCAGCTTCCTAAGCCAGGCGTTACCGTTTTGGCAAAACTTCAAGCGTTATGGGGCCAGTTCTTCACAAGGGCTGTTGTCCACGTGATGCGAACAGTGCACGACCAGCTCAACTACAATCCGATGGACATTCTGAAAGCAGCGGAAGAGCAGGAAAGGTTCGTTGAGTACATAGGTATGTGGCAAGGTGTGTTGGAAACGTATCTCAGCGATCCGACGCTCGACGAGGACGCAAGAAGAACGCTGGACAGCATACAGATACACCGTCTGCTGATCCACATCGTCATTAGCTGTAGTCTTGACCGCAGCGAAATGATGTATGACTTGTTCGAGCTCGAATTCAGAGAGCTCCTGGACCGGGTCGTTTGCTACCTGCGAGATCCTGGTCCGATATCAAAAGTATGCTTCACCTTCTCGGAGGGCCTGACATCTCCGCTAGCTATGATCATCGCGAAGTGTCGCAATCATAACATAAGAATGGAGGGTATCAATGTTCTGAACAGCCTGTCATGGAGGGAGAACGCCTGGGATGGGCAGGCTTTGGTGGTTGGCAAGTCAGGAGTCGTCTGGCTCGAAGACAAGGGCATGGATGAAAACGGGTTCATTCCGCCTGATTCAAGATGGATATGGATGTCAAGCAAGTGGGATATCGAAAAGCGAGAGCTCCTAGCGACATATTTCAGATTGACGCCAAACGACGATGGTACACCGTTCTGTGCGCAGCTCACACTCGATATGGACAACTTGGTATACAGTTGTGACTCGATAGGCTGCCCAGGGCGTCACGATCCTTTCAAAATCAACCAATCTTGATCAATCATATTTTCTACTAGCACTTTCATTGAACCATAATTTTCAATAAACTCCTCGCAGGGAGACTCGGCGGGCAGGACAAAATTCTAGTTATTACAGTATTCGGCTTGACCTTTCCATCTTTTGCTGGTTTTTGACCGTGAATTTGATTTTCACTCTGTATAGTGAGCCGGGAGGTGGACTCCCTACCTTGTAATAGCAGTGGTCTGGGCTGTGGATGAGGGAGGTCATGGTGCATTAGAGTGGCCTTCCTATAATAGGTAGGCGTCTATGCAAAAGCTCAACACATGGTAGTGAGCTGCCTATTCGGCTTGGCAACTTGGTAAATGCTGAATCACGAGAGTTTGTAAGGGTTAATCCTGAGCCTCCAACATTCGATGACTCCATCTCCTGCGGCGAATTTGAGTGTAAGTCAAACTACCTACTTTCCGCCCCCCCTGCATTCCGCCCACCTTTTCCCACCAAAAAGAGCTAAAAACAGTTATTTATATCTAAGGGCTTATATAGATATTAAATTATAAGAAATTCGTTCTAAGTAGACAGTATAAGTAAAAGGCTATAAAGTGTTTTTTAAGCTTTTTTATATAGTAGATATAGAGAAATAGTACTAAGTATATAAGTGTTAAGGTTTACTAGTAGTTTACTAGTAAGTACTAACTTCTTAATATCTTATATAACTTTTTTATTTATAAACTTAAAATAAGAATTAAGGTACTTTTATATACTTTATACTAAAAAGACTATATATATACTACTATATAATAGATACTTATAGCTTATTACTAAGTTATTAGTAATATTAGATTTTACTAGTAAAGTTTTTTTAGTAAAAAGTTTACTTTTTAAATAACTAAATATATAAAATACTTTAAGAATCTAAGTAAAGATACTTAAAGCTAGATTACTTTAAAGTAATTTATTACTATCTTACTATACTTATAGCTCTCTTTTATTAACTATATTCTTATATACTATAAATCTTTAAAGCCTTGATTTTATAGCTATTTACTAAAAGATACTATGTTTTCTAAAGTTTATAGTATTAGTCTACTATCTAAGAGCTTATATAGAGAAATCTAGGATTACTAGTCTAATAGGTAGATAGATATAAGTTGCTGTTTTTAGCTGTTTCTGGTGGGAAAAGGTGGGCGGAATGCAGGGGGGGGCGGAAAGTAGGTAGTTTGACTTATCGTATTTGGCCTCTGTAATTAAGCCCTAAGCGTAATGATGGTGGCTGTACAGTCATTTTCGAGATGCGGATTGACACTCCTGTGCTTCATTGAAGCAGACCTAGAAAGGATTTTAGAAAGCAAACAGTTGATAGAGGCAATGCCAGCTATGAGTAAGAGAATGACACTGCCAACCCATTTGCGTTGTGTGTGCGAACGGCGAAGGGATGGCGATGGCCCCGGTCCGTCAGAATTCCCCTTCTGGCCGAATTTGATTGAGCTAATCATCTCTCGAAGGTGTCTTCGTGCGAGTCTATCAGCCCTCGGCAACGACCTGGTTGAAGTAGCCCCTGATCGTTCCCACGTATCACAGCGTAGGCCTTGTGTCAATCATGGCAGCACCCACGCAGGAGGGCCTATAAGAAGCGCGTGGGACTGCTTCCAGGCGATTCTCAAGTCCTCTTCCAGTTTGATAACAACTCGGATTTACAGGGAGGGCACAACTCCTAGTGCAATAGAATTATATGTAAGAAGGATGAATACTCGTAGCTCTGGATGGATGTCCAGTGAAGTGGCGTTTTTATTGTAACCCCGGAAACGCAGGGCTGCGTCTAGAAGCGGCATATGGGATCGGAATAGAAATGTCCATTTCAGTGCAACACGGTACTCTTCACCGCGTACCCAGCCGGCAACAGTGCCGTGTACCGGATCGTTAGGAATCCACCCAGGCATTGCTCGGCAGCAACATATCAATATTCGAAGAAGAGTCAAGAACGACGAGTTTAGCATGTAGGAAATATGCTGTAAAAATTGCTTATTAGAGCTTAGAGGGCTCTGGGCGAAAATGTGTATCTCGGTATTGATATGCCAGTACGGGCAATCATCAATAAAATCACGTCAATCTTCTTCCATTTACTGGGCCACACGCAAATTGAACTTGGATGCAGTATTGATTCTTTCACTTAAGTTGACTATTCTGGCTATCGTCGTTACACCGCGATATTACGGCTTGTGAAGAAGAATCCAGCAGGCAGTATCGAAGGCAGATATTCAAGCCGTTTTCCCGTGACTTTTCCAACCCAGAAAGTGGCTCTGTGGCACCATAAGATGATGAATTAATTCAAGCTTCGCATCATTCCGTGCTTTGATCGAGTGCCCTCTTTGAATTTAAGTATCCTCTAGCAATGGTCCTTGCGTCCCCGCTTAGTGTCACCTCAAGACCATCATTGACTTGCGGTAACATCGGCAGACATCCGATGACTAATAAAGGCCTTATGCTGCCACCTGGCAGTACCCAATGTTCCAGATGAACCAACCTTAAAACAGTTACCCCTCATAGTTCAAACTTTCCTCACAAAGACGTAGCATATTGTCGACGGCGAAATATATGTTGTCATGGGGTCTTTTGAGGACAAAATCGACGGCGCTGTGCGGAACAGCGACATCCCAGGTGTCATGCTATATGCTCAAGATACATCTGGTGCGTTTGACCCCGATGATACATACGTTCAAGCCTGTCACTAAACGTGATTCGAATCCCAACTGATCGGATAGGCAACTTTCAATATTCACACATTTTCGGCCACGACTTGAATACCAAGAAGTCTCTCGCAGCCGACAACATCCTCACACTAGCATCCGTCACGAAGCTATTCACAACCATTGCCGCTCTGCAGCTGGTAGAACGTGGCATCCTCTCCCTTGATCAAGATGTATCAAAGCACGTCCCAGAGTTGGCAGAAAAGCCCGTGTTGACGGGTTTCACGGAGTCCGGGTCCCCCATTGAAGTCCAACGCAAGAATCCAATCACCCTCCGCCACCTCCTGACCCACAGCGCTGGGAATAGTTACGACTTTCTCAGTGATGGGACACGAGAGTGGCAATCTTTTCACAAGATCAAACCTGTTCGCGGCTCCACTGTTGAAGAGCGCTTCTGTTACCCGTTGGACTACGAACCAGGAGAGGGCTGGGCCTACAGCTCCAGCTTAGACTGGACAGGCAAACTCATCGAGAACGTGACTGGGAAATCTCTGGAACAGTACATGCGCGAGAAAATTTGGGATCCAATCGGTGCCGTTAGCTTCACCTTTGACATTGAGACTATAAGGCCCAAGTTATGGGGGATGAATACCCGCGACAAAAACACGGGAAAGATCATCCTTCACCGCGGTCGAAGCTTGAATCAGGGGGTCACAGACTGTTTAGGCGGTCAGGGGTCGTATGGTTCGGCGTCAGACGTTATGCGGGTGTTACAGTCTCTGTTGGTCGATGATGGGAAGCTGCTGAGACCGAGTACGACTGCAGAAATGTTTAAACCTCAGCTTTCTGCTGAGGCAAAGAAGGGCCTTTTAGCAGCAATGGAGGAGCCTGAGTGGGCTGTTGGTCATTTCCCTATTACTCGTGAGTATGATTGGGGTCTTGGGGGACTGCTTGTTGACGGGCATAATCACCCGAACCGGCAGAACGGAACGCTGATGTGGAGCGGGGCCTCCAATGTTTTTTGGGTAAGTTATCCAGAACACTCAACAGTAGGGGATGATCGGGAGGCTAACCCAACGCAGTGGATTGACAGGCAAACTGGGTTGTGTGGCTTCTTTGCAACGCAACTGCTGCCAGCAGCGGAGGAGGGAGTACGGCCGTACATCAAAGCTTTCGAGGACGAGATGTATGCAAGAGTCAGAGGACCCAAGGCACGTGCTGTTCTCTGATGAAATAAGTTTATGTTGAATCAGATACAGCATTCTACAGTGACGGAAGTTTTTGCTATAGAGCTGTAAAACGTCAGCGGTTATAGTTCAACTAAAGATGCATCAATTGTCGACTGATTGATGCAGCTAGAATAAATCCAGCCTACTAGAGTCTAGAAGTGGGAAACAGCGTATTATCGCCATGAAATTCATCAACAGCTTGCAAGAGGCGGGCTTGAACAAATAGATCATTAGATCATGTGTGTTCCAAGCTCCCGCATATAGGAGCACTATGATCCCAGCCGAAAGCCGGGGCGGTTTGTTACCCAGTCTGTGCAGCCGTCATATTTCGAGCAATTTCTGGGTTCAGGCTTGAAATAATGGGTTTATTCGATCTTTGCCTCCCTTTGCGACCTTGAGAGGGCCGCCTTGGATACATACCTTAGTAAAAGGTTGGTTCATTCCACTGTAACGTATTTCAGCATCGTATCTTATCAGGTTAGGTGCTATCGACATCGTGTCTCTATTCAGGAGACTCTATTTGCACTAATGGTATAATAGAAGTGATCTGCTTAATATTCTCTGCAAGCCCAACACTGTCCATAGTGTGCAAGTACGAAAGTACAGTTTCTCTCCCTACCTAATCATACCAATCGCAAGAATATCTTTGGCGTACAATATGAATCACCCCATATTCAGATTTTATTCAAGGCCACAGATGCTCCTTTGATGCCTTGGTCTTCACTTTTGGCTTGTTTTTGGCTGGTTGTGTATGGTTAACAAGTGATATTTGGATTATCGGATATCAACGCGGCAAAAACTCACTCTTTCCTTCTGTACATATACCACATAAAAGTGACACTAATGATGGCGAGCCCCCCGAAAAGTATGAGAACCTGATATCCATATTTATACTTAGGTGCGTCGTAGGTTGGGAATAGTACCACTGGTGTTGCGTCACTCACGGAATTGTCTTGGCAACAAATTCGAACTTATATGGCACCTAGAGAACCCACGCATAAGACACCATGTTGGCGGTGGCCATTAAAAGCTGTCTTAAGCTCGGGTCGCCGGCGTTAAGTCTGTTCGCCTAGCTCTGAATTGAAAGGCTCTAGTCAGTAAGGCGGTACGAATTGGTAAAATAAAGTGCTGTAAAGTCACTTATAATAAGAACAGGTATGGCGGCTGACCCAGTATATGACAGATAGTAGGTAAACATGAAGGCGCCTTTGGGGATATACTAGACAGAAAGGAGGATGTTGGATAATATCATTAGAGCTTAGACGATAACAATTATTAAATAGTTTTGTCCTGTGTGATCCGCAATGATGCCCCAAATTACTGTTGCGACGATGTTTAAGGCGCTTCCTCTAGTGGGGTAGATATTTGTATCTATAACGCTATAGCTGGCTGCCTTTAACCATAAGTTGAAGTAACTTGTTGCTGAATGATAGGCAGTAACTATGCTTTGTGTGAAGGTTAGTAATTTGCCCCTTCTACTGTGGCAAACCTTGACTTACGTGTAAGGAATAACGAAGATCTAGATTTTCTAAGATAAATACGCTTGGCTTCCTTCTAGGTAAACTTCTGCTGAGCTTTCTGGCCAAAATTCTTAATTCTTTTTACGCCGTACTTGATGTGCTATTGCTGTTGCGTTATTTGTGTAATTTAAAAAGTGATATGAGTTATAGTAACCTTACCTTGGGTGTCTAGTAAAGTGCTTTTGTATTATGAGGCAGATCCGGAAGGCCAAAAAAGCCCTAGATTGTAATTAGAATCGAGATAATAGCGTCTATGATAAAAAGCCACCTCTAGCCGGAAATACTATGCCGGCTATCTATACTAGTGTAAAGTCCTGCTTGCAAGTAGCTGCTGAACATGCTTGTAATAGACTTGATCTGGAAAAGGATGGCCAAGCGCTTGGTGAGCTCCTTAGGACCGTACTAACCGCCTAGCATGGCAATGTAACTGGGGAACGCGCAAGCCTTAAAGAGCCTGATGAAAAAACGTAGAGCGTATATCTGATTAAGACGTTAATTATTGACTTTGAAGTTTTTTATGGCACTTGGTCTTACAGTTTTGATGTTCTTTGCAAATCCTATGCCGACCACTAGCAAAGACTAGATAATTTCACAGGATGGAATGAGAATAGACGGTCTGATGAAGCTTAGTTGTGACAATTGGGCAGGCACACTACTAACTATGATGCCTAGACTGAACTAGGTGTTTAGCTAGTTGCGTCTGTTGCTATACAGACCAAGGTCTTTCTGTATGCCACTGATAAAGGCATTGCCTATTGAACCTAATTAGCGAAAGACTTTGATGTCTAAATATATTGTTACTTACTGTAGTTAGTCTGATTATGATACTTGATGAAATAGCTAAAACTGACAGTGGGGCTGAGTATTGAGAGAATATTGTTAGTGTTGGTTTAATCACTGTGAAGGGATATCCTAATATTACGTAACAGATTGTGATTTAGAATGGTTACTTGTTCTTGTTTTTTGTAAAGTGTATCTAGACTATTAGGTAGTATAGTATATTAGTGGTGTAGTAAATACTACTAAGGGAGGCAGTATGTTATATAAATATTACGTAACTACCTCCCCTAAAGTATACCTACTATATACTAACACTAGTAACTTTTTTTTTATAGTAAAAGTTACTAGTACCTTAGCTATTGTCATAGGACAAGGTGGTAAGTGCCTGTAGTTAGGAGACAGATAGATAGTAGGGACTAAATACCTAACATATATATAATACGTTATATATGCCCTAGGTATATATCCCTTTAGTAGGTAACCCTTTATAGAAGGAGGGTTAACTATAAATACACTTACTATCTATTACTTATCTTATCTTATATTATTTATTTAGCTCCTTATTATTATTTATCTTACTTTACTACTTTACTATTACGCTTTACTTTTATACTATATTACTTTATAACACTACTATAGCCTAGCTTTATCTTATTAGAACTATAATAGCTACTAAAAAGGCTATATTAAGTAGTAGTATAACTATCTTAATCTATACTATTTTATTACTTTTACTATCTTTATTATTTTTATTAAGTTTTTCTTTTTTACTACTATATAGTAAAGAAATATATACACCTTAATAAAAGTAAAAAGCTTAGAGATATAGTATACTAAGAACACTTTAACCTAAATAAATCTTTAAACTTAAGTAATTCTATATATAGCTTTAGGAAAACCTAACCTATAAGATTACTTAGTAGCTACCCTAAAGCCTTTATAATAATATATAATCCCTTATAACTATAAAATTTAATAAGGATATACTATACTACTTTAGTAATAACTAGTAATAAGGCTTTTAGTTAGATATTAGCTAGGCTAATAACCTCTTTTAGATTAAAGGCACTTTTTATATAGTAAAAAGGATTATTAAAGATATAAGAATTAACTTACTACTTTTATTAAGACTATATAGTAAGGTAAAAAATATCTAACTATTTTATAGTAACTTATAAAGCTTTTAGTTATTTAAAAACCTAGTTATACTAAAAAAGAACTTAATTAAGTAAATACTACTTACTCTTTAAAAAAAGCCTCTTTAATAACTACCCCTAAGTAAAGATATTATAATAAGTAATACACCTAGATAAGAGAAAAGTATCCCCTTAGACTTATTATTTTTAAAGTAAGTAGAAGCTACTATAATAATATAGTCTAAGTTAAAAAGTAAAAAATAAGAAATTATAAGCCTACTAAGCTATAATATTATCTTACTAGTAGGCTTACTTAGACTATAGTTTTTTACTATACTAAGCTAATTTTTAAATAGTATAGGTTACTATACCTAAGGCTAATAAGAATAAGATATATACTTACCTTTAGAGTAAACGTAATACTTACTACCTTTAGCCTAAGGTTAAGTAAAAAATATAATTCCCTTAAGTTAGTACCTTAGTAAGGAGGCTAGTATTATAACTATAGCTACCTAATTAGTAAAGTTAAAGTTAATAGTAAAATAATTATAAAAATATTAAGACTTAATAAATATAGCTTAGTTATAAAATAACCTTAGTTAGTAGAAGTAGTAAAAAAGCTTATAGTTAACTATAGCTATACTACTTCTACTAGTGTTAAATATAAAAAAGCTTATAGTAGCTTTTTTTTATACTATAACTACTTAAATATAAGTAGTAGTAGTACTAGTAACTACTATAGCTACTTTAGGTTATTCCTTAGCCTAGCTATAGACACTATCTACTATAAGAATCTTTTAGCCTAATACTAACACTAAGAGGTACTTACTAAACCTTATTTTTTATAACTACTTTATAACGTATTACTATAATATAAAGCTTTAGATTTAAGTACTTAAGGTAACTTATAAAGATCTTTTATCTTTAAAGTATTTTTATTAAATAATTAACTAGTATTTTTATAAATAAGTATAAAACTAGTAGGAATTCTAACTTACTAAAGTAAAGTAAAATATCTTTAAGTAAAAAGGTTAGCTAGTAATCTTAAGGTAATTTAGGTACTACTTTAGACTAACCTTAGTTAAAGTAGAAAAGTAGTTTTATAAAAATTACTTTACTACTAATAAGATTAATAAGTAGTATAATATCTATACTTTTACTTAATCCTACTTTAAGTATACTAAGGTATAAGGTAACTAAACCTAATACTAATAGCTAATAAGGTTTTATAATAACCTTACGCTATAACTATAGTAATTTTTTTATAAGCCTAAAGACTATAACTCCTTAGATAAGTATATTACTTTAGCTAAGGAAAAACACTAAGCCCTTTAGGATGCTACCTTACTATTATAAAGCACCCCTATATATACTAATAATATAAGTACTTAAAGTAGTATAAATAATAATATAGCGCTATAAAAAAGCATATTAAAATAACTAAAAAACTACTACCTTTAAGATAAAGACCTTCTAGAGACTAATAAAGAAGATATAGCTTTATAAGAATCTAATAATAATAACTAGTAATAATAAGATAACTACTAGTATAAAAAAAACTTTT